GAGAGAGAGAGAGAACAAGACGGGGGCTGGAAGCGGATGACCGGCAGTTTGAAGCACCAAGCCAAGGTCGAGGCCAGGACCTGGACCTAGATCAATCGACCGACCGACCACCTGCCACGCGGGCAGCAGGCCTGGCTAGGCCTGGCCAGACTGACGCGCCATCAACGTCCCGTGGCGGCGATCCCAAACCCAATGACGCCGGCGGTGCCCATGATGTCCAGCGCATTGTGCTTGTCCGTCAGCTTCTTCTCGAGCGCAGCCCGCTGCTGCGGCGGGAGGAGCGACCTCGCGTCCCCACCTCCCGTCAGAGCTTTCGCTTCTCCAGCCGCCGCACCTTCGACACCACGGCTTGCCCCCGCGTTGAGGACGCTCGACGAGGGAGCAAAGCTGAAGCCGCCAGCACCGGCACCGGGGCCGCCGCCGCCCATGCCGCCAGCGTGGCCACCGGCGAGGCCCCGAGCATTGGTGAAGGCATTGGCGTTGAGGCCGCTCGAAAAGAGGGTGCCCCGATCGCTGAACGGCTGCAGGCCACTAGCGGCCCGGGTGGCGCCCGCTGCGTCGTCGGCTGCACCTACCGCCAGCTTGCCTCCGAGACGGCCTGCGCCGCGTGCGGCCGCAGAGGCGCCGCCCTCGCCGCCCTTGAGAAGCGGCAAGGCCATGGGCGCAAAGCTGCCCGCCGTCATGAGCGTGTTCATCGTGCCGCCGCCCGACGATCCCTTCTGCGCCGCCTGGAGCTGCTTGGCCAGCTCGGCGTTCTTGAGCGCCAGAGATTCGCTCGCCTCCTGGGCGAGCAGGCTGGAGCCCTGGGTCGCCGCCTCCCTGGTCGCGGCAGTGGCGACTGCGTCCGTTGCCGCCGTGCCAGCTACTCGCGCCGCCGTGCCGCCAAGCAGATCTCCGGAAAGCGTCGTGAGGACCTCTGTAGGCATGATGCAAAGCAACGAATGTTAGGATGGCGTCGGTCAGAATGTCCGGCCCCGACGTGGGCGCTGGCAGGTGCAAGGTCAACTCACTGGGCGCGAGTGTCTCGGCACCTTCGACGACGGCGGCCACCGCCCGCTTGACGAGGCTGTGGGTCAATCGGAGTCAAGGAGTGGATGGGCGCAAGATAAGCCATCGCGCAGTCACGCCGACCTGCTTTCGGTCAACGCCTCCATCGAACTCACGTGTGGTCGCCGGGGCCATGCTCGATCTTGCGTTGGCCGTGGAGAGCGGCGTCGTCTCGCTTCTGGTAAGCTAGACCGCCAAAGGCAGCAGAGCCTGCGTTTTCGCCGAGCAGGCCACCCGTAAAGGTGGTCGAGGGCGACGCCATCTGCCATTGCTGCTGCGAGGCCATAGCCGCAGGTGCGGCGACGGCCGACTGCACTGACGCTGCGAGGCGGGGCACGGGTCCCTTGGCATTGTTGTTGGGCGTGACGAGCGGGACAGGCTCCCGGCGATGGCTCTGTGCCACCATCAGATCGCCGACGATGCCGCCGATTACCATGGCGAAGCCGCCGATCTGCATGCCGGTCAGCTTGGTGCCGCGCTTGTCGATCCTTTTGCCATTGTCGCTAGCGTCGTTGCGGCGGCCGCTGCTGTTGGGGTCATGGAGACGCTCGTTGCCCGTAGCGTCGATGTCGCGCTTGCTGATAGCGTGGGCGTTCGACGATTCGGTCGTCGGCGAAGAAGCCTGCAGCTCGCCCAGCAGACCTCCCACCTTGACAGTCGTGCCGGTAGCGTACCCACCTCCTGCAGCCGCCGCATCGCCCAGGATTCCTCCTGTGAACTGTGTTGAAGGCCCAGCCTGGTTGAAGAGGTGGCCGGCATCACCTCCCGCGTCCGCAGGGTCGCCCGCCACCTGCTGCTGTTGCTGTTGTTGCGGTGGCTTGAAGTTGGTGTTGGGCTGGATACCATTGGCACGCAGCTGCCGCTCGAGGTCGTGCTTGTACTTCATGGCCGCGGAATCGTCGTCCAGCTTATTTGCATCGCGAGGGAACGTCATCATCGAGGTCAGGGCGCCCAGTCCGACGCCGATGGTGCCATAGAGTGCGAGGAGCTTGTTGTTCGACTTCTTTGCGGCCGCCTTGATCAGGTCGCTGTCGCTCAACTTGGCCGCAGGGCTGCTAAAGAAGCGCTTGACAAGCGGCCGGCCGGCACTGGCTCCGCTGAGAGCGCCTCCAACGCCGACGCCGGCACCGTCGAGGCGGTTTGCTGCTGCTGCGGCTCCTCCTCCTGCTCCTCCTCCCGTCTCACCGAGCAGACCACCAGTGTACTGCTGAGACGGCGAGGCATAGATCGCAGCAGCTGGCTGCGTGACGGCTTCGTTCCCGGCCGAACTCGAGGTGCCGTCCGCGGCAGGTCCAATGACGGCACGATCTCCGGGACGGCCGCTCGGCACGCCGGCGGCGCCGTAGAAGTTGCCGTACTCGCCGTCCTGCTTGGCCGAGAGCTGCTCCTGGGTCGGATGCTTCTTCTGTCTGTTCTTCTCCCACATGTCACGGATGACCGGGACGAGCATGAGCGGAATCATGCCCACGGCAATGACCGAGGTCTTCTTCATGTGCCAAAAGTTCATGCCAGGGATTCCGCGCTTCTGGAGCTGCGACGAGGCGTCCTGCGTCGTTCCGTGAGCCTCGTCCTGGTGGCACCCCTCGAGCTCTGTTGAATTGGACCGCTGTCGCGGCTCGGACGACGACGTGCGTGCAAAAGCCTTGTCGGACTCGGCCTCGGGCTTGGGTTGGGGAGCGTCCGTAGTGGAGCGGGTTTGCAGAAGAGCACCGCCTTCCCCGGCCACGGCAGCTGGTGTGGCAATGTCGTACGAAGTCGCTGCGGTACTGCCGGCCCCCGCGTACCCATAGTTCGGAGCACCGCCATGGCTCAAGCTGCCGCTGTAGCTTGCACCGGCGCCGTCACTCTTGGACGGGTTGAGCGTGCCGCTGATACCGATCGCGGGGTTGGCAGGCGAGCCTCCTTCGTACTTGATGCCGCTTGCGTCGAGCTGGGCCTGGAGCGCCTGGATGTCGTGCAGCTGCTGCTTTCGCTCCGCGACCCTCTCGGCATGGTCCTTTTGGAGCCTGTTAAAGCCAGTGGTGAACTGGGCGCCGAGGACCTTTTGGTTGATAGCCAGAGTTGGCCGCGTATGTTCAAGGGCTGGACGTCAGACCCTCGTCCTCTTCCGAGTATGTGGACCGTTCTGAGTGGGTCTGCAAGCTCCTCTCCTATTGCGCACTCACCAGGCCAAGCACAGGTGCGACTATTGCCGGCGTCATCGTCGGCATTGTTCAGTCGGGCAGAGCAGAAGCGATGAGCGAACGTCCAGCGTCTGAAAGCAGAAGCTTGGTCCGTCCTGATCCCTGACACTTACGGACATATCTGCTCAAGACTGAGCGACGCTGCAGGCCTTCAGTGTGATGAGCCTGAGAGCAGCGCGAGACCAGAGCGAAATTTGAAGCCGTCAGTGCTGCTGCGGCTGAAGCCAGGCTCCCAGCGTGCCACATGCCTCGCTGTTCTCGACGGCACTTCACTCACCGGCTCCGCATCGATCTCTCGGGCGAGCTTGATGGCTCCTGTGGCGCAACAGAGGCAGGATGTTTCAGCGAAAGGCCGCGAACATGCATCAAAGCGGTGGCGGCGACAATCACTTTGACCGTCATCGGCTTCTGTCTTCCCATTTCCGTGCTGCTCCTCGGCGGGGTCGGCTTCGACGCTCCTCTTTTGCATACCGGACGTGGTCGACAGCAAAGGCATCTGCTGTACAGACCCGGTGTCCGCCTGACGCTCAGCAGTTCCAACGGCTTGCTGGGGCGCAGCACTGTTGACCTGCTGCTGACTCGCGCTGCCGGTTTCTTGTGTCGCAAGCGTGCCGGCCTGCTGCGGAGCGATGGTGAACTTTGACGACGTGCCAGGTGAATCGATGAGGGCGCTCGGGATCAGGTTGCCCGACGTGTCGCGCACCCATCTGGCAGGCGGGTCGAGGAGCGCCGGCGCGTCGGGGGGCTGGACGAAGTTCTTGATGGGCAGGGCGGCATTGTTCCACGAGAACCAGAGGTTAATGAGACCAAGAAGCGAGCCTGACAGCAGCAGAAAGGGCTTAACGACGCGTCAGACGATACACTTGAGCTGATCACGTCGAGCAGCGCGCTGCTACCAGAGAGAGTTGGGAGGATTGGCAAGGGAGAAATTCGCCATACTCACTCGTTAGGGCGAGTGCAGCGGTGGCTTTCTTCTCAGTGTTACAGATGTACGAAGAGATGGGGGAAGGCGCAGAGGACTGGTCAACGATCTGCACACGATGACCCGCCCACCCGGTGCCAGGCAAGAAGCAGGGGTCAGCACGGCTCGATGACTCACAACGACCCAGTTGAACTTGACAGGAGGCTTTCCGTGCTCGAGGTAGTGGTTGAGGTCGCTGATGGCCTCGTGCTTCTGCTTGAGATCCAGCTGCTCGCGCTTCTGATGCTCGATGCTCCTAATCATCGCCATGAACTCCTCTGGGAACTCTTCGGCAGACAGATGCTCGAGACCAGGCCCGTGTGCCTTGTAAGAGCGTGTGCTGGGGCGAATGTCGGCCTGCGAGTCGATGCGGGTGCGGTCCTCCTCGATCTCCGGACGCAGGCGGAGACGGGCTAGCGACCTCTGCTCGGCGTCGCGGGAGCTCTCGGGCAGCTCTTCGAGCTGCTTTCCGAGCGGTCGGCTTCCCGCTTGCTGCACGCCGTCGAGACCCTTTGACAAGCCGTTGAAGAGACGCTGCACCTCTGCTTCGCCCTTTGACACGACCTGCTTGACCTGTTGCGAGGGAGGGCCGCGTTGGGCGCGAAGAGATCCGTGCAGAGTAGAAAAGCATGAGCATCCTTGCGAGGCTGGGGGTCGCAAGCAGCGAGGCCAGCCTCAACGTCCTTACAGGTTCCGCTTCTCCACGTTTGGCATGCTTCGCGTGGTGACGCCGGGTCTGGTCGTGGTATCGCTGGTGGAACCGAGGATCCTGCTGCCATTTGGCCTGCAGCTCGTTCTGCAGCGACTCTGGCGCGGCTCTGGCGGTGGCGCAGAGCGCCAGAAACGCAGCGACGAGGAAGAGATGGAAGTTCATCTCGAGTCGCTGGGCGGACAGCAACCGCGTCGAGCAGCTAAGACGACGCCTGTGATGTGTTGGACAGGCGATGGAGCCGGCAGGCTGGCGGCAGCAGTGTATGAACGTTGAGGGGTAGACAGATTCGTGCCGGAGATGCGAGCGTCAGCACGACCGACTTTGCCGAGGGTCGCAGCCCGTCAACGATCACCGCAACGACTTACGTTGTGGTGTTCGACGCAGAGGGTAGTTGTGGTGTTGGACGCAGAGCGTAGTAAGGAGTGTGGCGCGGTCCAAGTTGAAACGTCGATCGCAGGTCAGCAGTCGAGGGAATGTAGGCAAGGGCAACTTTCGAGAGAGGGGAAAATGAGGGCGATGAGAGAGGGTCAAGAGAGGGAGACGAAGCTTCCGCCAGACGTCCGAGGTATCCGGTCCCTTTTAGGGCCCAGTCAGAGGACCGGATGGGATGATTTGGTGGGCGACCCTCCTTCATGTCGGTGTCGTCGGCTGCGCCCCGAGCAAGTCGGGCGACCCATCGGCGCCTTCACCTTGCCCGCCTGCCGCAGCCAGACGATTTCTTCCGCGGGTGTGCAGGGAAATGAAGGACCGCAGGGGCGTGGCGACGCCCCGACTCGGTGGGGACGTCAACACTTTGTCAATACTGGAATATTGTCTTGGCCGCGCCCCGTTGATGTGTCAGAGACGCAGCTGCTGCTATCAGGCAAGCACCGAAGAGTTGACCAGTCTCCATGGGCAACTTACACGGCGATTCGCAAGGATGGTGATAATGGCTTCATTCCCCCTAAACCGTCGGTGAAATGTGCGAGTCTATCGAATGCCCACTCCGTGGCGCTTTGACTGGGCGCAGCGGCGGCTCGGCCCTGAAAGAAAGGAGGAAGACCCGCGAGCGGCAGCAGGAATGTTCGGCGAGAGGCGACTTTCGCTAGGCCTTCTGGTCGGACCACGTGCGGTTCCGCAGTCTCCTAGGCGGCGTGTGCAGCCACCTCGTGGAGGTAGAGCCCGAGCAGCTTGGTGCCCTCGATGTAGTTGGAAATGTCGATCTTCTCGTTGATCGAGTGGGCGCCGTCGTCACTGCGACCCATGGGCAGCAGGAGGACGTTCTTCTGCAGCGTGTCGGCAAAGGTGAGGGTGACGGGGATCGAGCCGCCCTCGCGCGTCAAGTCGGGCTTGACGCCGTACACGGTCTGTGTCGCCTTGACGGCCGCCTCGTAGTTCCAGTGGTTGGGGTCGGCGAGCCATGGCTTGCCGCCGTGCTCGCTGGCGATGTGGACCGTGTTCTTGCTGCCGAGCTTGGCAAACTCGGCCTCGACGTACTTGGTGACCAGCTCGACGATGGCCTCGGGGGTCTGGTCGGGGACGAGTCGCAGCGAAAACTTGCCCGTCACCTTGGCGGGGATGACAGTCTTGGTGCCGGCCTCGCCGAACGCACCCTCGATGCCGTGAAGGCTGAGGGACGGGTAGCGCATGCGCGCCATCAGGGCGGTGGCCTTGTCGGTGCTGATAGTCGTCTTGCTGCCCGTAGCGCCCTCGACATCGGCGACGGTGAAGTCCATGACATCGTAACGCTGCTTTTCCTCGTCAGTGAGCGGAGCCACGAGCTCGTTGACGCCAGGGATGAGGATCTTTCCCTCGGGCGTGACGAGCTTGGACATGACGGCGAAGAGATCGGTCATGGGCTCGTGGACGACGCCGCCAAAGACGCCCGAGTGGAGGTCGCGAGCAGGGCCAGAAATGGTGAGCTTGAAGTAGGTGATGCCACGCAGGCCGTGAGTGAGGCAAGGCTTTGTGGTGCCGAGCCAGTAGCTGCGAGAGCGAAGGATAGGTGCAGGTCAAAGGTGGGTGAAGCGTCAGCATAGGCTTCGCCAGGCCACGGACACAGGGACTTGAGGAGCGGACCCCAAAATGGCCACCGACTCACTTGTCAGAGATGCAGACGGCGTCTACGCCGCGGAAAAAGGCGTCCTTTTCGGCGGCGATGAGCTCGTCGAGGCCAACGCTGCCGCTCTCCTCCATTCCCTCGAGGCAGAACTTGAGGTTGACGGGAAGGTTGATGCCGGCCTGCTGGTGCGCCTCGACGACGTTGATCCAGCCGAGGACGGGACCCTTGTCGTCGGTGGATCCGCGGCCGTACAGGCGGCCGGTCTTTTCATCGTGCACCAGGGTGAAGGGCTCGGTGTCCCACCCATCCGATTTGAGCGCAGGCTGGACGTCAAAGTGCTGCAACGATGGACGAGGACCCGGGGATCGTGTGAGGCGAGCAGGGAGAGCATCAAGGGGGTCGAATAGTGCGGGACAGTCCAGGTCAGAAGGAGGTCAGGGAGCGACAACAAGGCGACCTCGAATCGGTCCTGCCCGACTCACGCCGTAGACGAGGATGGTCTTCTTGTTGGGGTCGTTGCCGTAGTCGGCAAAGACGACGGGGGGCAGCTCGATCTCCTGACCGTCGAGGACCTGCTTGCCGAGGGGCTTGAGCTGGGCCGTGGCGCCGAGGCGCTTGAGCTCGTCGAGGAGGAAGTCTGCCATTTCAAAGCAGTGCTTGCGGTAGGAAGCGTCGCCCGAGACCGAGGGGATCGAGACGGCCTTTGCCAGGCGATCGATGAGCGCCGGCTTATTGGCGTCGATCTGCGAGACAAACTTCTTCTGCTCAGGGGTGGCCATGTTGTGCAGTGGTGTTGTGGCGGTGCGATGGACGACGACGAGGGGTGAGAGGAGTGGTGGTCGTTCAGTCGGAAGGGCCACACCCGATGGCCAAGTTCAAGCCGGCCAGAGGGGGAAAAAGACACCGGCGCTTTGGCCAGGCCCGCGCCTGGGCCAGCTCCACTTTTTCGCTTGCCTCTCTCTGCTTGGCTCCGCGTCTTTGTGAGCGGGCGCTGCTCGGAGCCGCCAGCTCAAGTCACAGTCCGAAGGCAGGCCTGCAAGGCAGCCCGGTAGAGCCGAAACAAGGTCGGGCCAGGCCGCAGCAGACCATGGTCCAGACGGCAAGCTACCCTCTCTCGCGTGCTCATCGGCATGTCCACGCCGCCAACTGGCCCGCACCGCCATCGGCGCGGCCGCAAAGCCGTGCAAGAGTAGCAGGCAGAATGTGTCGTACCCGAAAGATGAGCCCTCTGTCGGCGGGTAACTCAGGTACCGATACGTGGACGCCAGGATCTAACTGAGCCGTGCGACTTCAGGCATCTCTCTCCTGCTGTGGACGAAATGTTACCTGCCTTGTCGGCTTGCAACAGTAGTCGCATTCAAACCTGAGACGGTCCAGCTCACGAACGAGAGTGCAACACCTTATGTCGCGTTGCTGACGGCGATTAAAGATTGTGTGCGCCCGCCGGACGCCACGCAGACGGAAGAGTAGCCCGAGCGGGGCGACGGAAGCCTGGCTGCGAGTGTCCCGGGAGGGGGAGTAACCGGTGCCCAGCTCAGCGCTGGCGGACAGACACGGTCGACAGCGTTACTACTTACCGCCAGTCTCTGCTCGTTCGACGTCGATTGAGTCTACCCAGCTGGCAATCAGCCCACGTCCCGCCTCGAGACACGAGATGCCACGCTTTGCCACGCTTCGCCACGCTTTGCCACGCTGTGCCACGCTGCTCCTAGTCCCAAGGTTCGACGTGCCGAGTGTACCATGCTTCCGGCGCTCGCAACAGCGAGACGGCCTCGATGTGGGACCGCAAAACGAAGGGACCGACAAAGTGCTCCGTGGCAGCCATGTTGCGGGCGCAGCAAAGCGACGAGAAGTGACGGCGCAACAGCAACCGCGGCGCGCCTCGTGTCGTTGCCCGTCGATGCGCGACTCGGCCAGGTGTCGAGCCTGAGCCAGCCAGCCAGTCACTCTGCCCGGCCGGCTGAGCCGCCTGGCCATGTATCGATCCATCGGGCTCGGCAACAAACGGCTGACTGCGTTGCAAGCAGCAAGCAAGCAAGCAAGCTACCGTAGACTTCTCGAGGTCGCCGTGTTGGCGTACTGCATGTACTGGTTGTCCGCATCAACTTTTGCGGCGATCAACGGGAGGCTTAGCTTTTGACGCGCTGCTCTCTCGTCCAGCGGCAGGTGCAATGGGCCGAGCCAAGGTTGCCATCGCGGCGTATTCGGACGGGCCAGGCCAACCTCTTTTCTTTCCTAGAGACGCTCGAGACTCGCGTCCACCATGGCTTGGTCGCTCGTCTTGACGCTCTGACCCCCGCGCGTATATCGCCAAGCTAGGCTAGGGCAGGTGTTTTGCGGAGCAAACATACGTACGTTATGGCGAGCGGGCAGGCGCCGAGGCATGAAGGGTCGAAGCGGCGCGTACGACGTCGACGTTGCGCTGGCTGCGACCCCGGGCCCCTGCCTGCCTGCTGCCTGCTTGGCCGCCGACGCCGCCTCCGACCCTGCACGCCCACCTGCAGCAGCCTCCGGCTCGCTTAGCTGTTGGCATGCCGGCCCCCCTGCGCCACGTTGCAACCTCCCAGGCCTGCCCGCCAGCTTGTACGCAGCGGTGAAGAGCGAGCTGGGCGACGTACGCGTTCGATGCGACGCCTCGATGGAAACCCCTCGCGGCGCCTAGGAAGCAATGAGCTGCTTAAGCTTGGCTCGTGTACGTACGGTACCTAGGCAGGCGGGGTAGTGCGACTCGGGCCGCATCCATACCGGGAGCTGCTCTGTAGCATCTATGTATCGTCGGCCGACACGATCCGTGTGGGCTTCTTCTGCCTCTGCCCGGTTTCGGTCCGTCCGCGTTGTACGTCGGATGCCAGCCCGGTGGTTGAGTGGGTACGAGGTGAGGACGATTGCCAGCAGGGATGCGAGCAGTCAGGCAGGCGGCGACCCACTGCCAACCCATCACACACAAAGGGACGCGCGCGCGCAATCAACGCAGCGATTCGAGGCCGGCCGACGTTGCCAGGTTGGCTGGCAGTGGGCGCGTGCGTTGACAGGCCCACCGACCAACACGACGCCCGCCCGTCGGAGCCCTGCCCCGTCCTGCCCTGGCCTGGCCTGCCGATACAGGTAGCTAGACAAGGTCGTCGACGTGGGACCTCGACTGTTGCGGGACGGCACGTTGCTTGGCAGGCCTCGAGCTTGCAAACCGCAACGCAACACATAGCTACATGGCTGCTCGTGTATGTGTACGTGTGCGTGACGCTCACCCTGATGGTCACCCAGCCTGGGCGTGGCGTGGCGTGGCCTATCTACGACGACCGAGAAAGCTCCAGGCCGAGGAGTTGTGCGTGGCCCTGCCTCCCCGGCGTCCTCGTTGCCACCCTGGTTTCTTTGGCTGCATCGCATCGTCGTTGCCGTTTCCCTCCGGCCCTTTGATGTTGCCTCGTTTGCTCAATCAAGCACCGACGACTTGCTTCGTACGCCTACGTGGCTCGAGATCAAAGCCCCCGGTCTGCGGAGCCAGCCTGGCTGGTCTGCTTGGCACCGCGTCGCCTGCCCTGACAATAATCGCAGCCAGACGATCGTACCTGCCGCTCTCTGCTACCGGTAGGAGTTCGGCGACGCGGACTGCTGGCGGCTCTAGAGCCCCGGACTGCCCTGGACTGTCTGCCCCCGACGATGCGATGATCAGGAGATGCTACTGCGAAGATGGTGGCGGCGGTGGTGGTGGTGGCAACAGTGGGGTGGGTGGTGGGGTGCCTACGCCCGAGGCCTCTTACCATGCACCAATCTTATTGTCAGCCAACGGTAAGGGCCTTTGCGCTCTGCCAATCTTGAACGGCTACATCGGTCCGTCTGCGTAGACGAAAGCAAGAGGCGCGAGAAGGACGCACGTACAGAGGCAGAGGCAAGGAGCGATGGGGATTGCGGAGCTACTGGTGCCCGCCTTGAGGTCTCTAGAGCAGCGCCGCCCCGGGGCCGGGAGCTAGGGGTGGTACAAGAACCCCCCGCCCTCTGGGACCATGACTTGGCTTCGACCCTCTCCTCCATCATCATTGCCCCCCTCCCTCCATCTGCCCTGGCCACCGCCTTCACCCTCCCCTCCCTTTGAGTCCGACCGCCCCGACATCCCTTTCCGACCCCACCGCCCCCTTGACTACACTGCCTTCCGCAACCGTCCAATTCCCGTCTTCACATCACGTCGTGCCGGTCACACCTACATACACCTACCAGACTTCCTTTCCGAGCTAGCCTCGACCCACATTGCACTGCCCCGTTCTCTGCCCCCTTTGATCGTTCCCTGCCACCCCCACCCACACCCTCTCGGTCGCCCTCTCTCCACCGGTTGAAGAGAGTCCCCTGAGCCCCAAGTCGCATCGACGCCCCAACCTTCATTAGAACCCACCTCACGCACCCAGTCCTCCGTCCGCCCCTAGTCGCCCACCCCGCAAAAGCCTCACGAACCAACGCATCTCGATCCGTCCTCACACCTCGTCACCCTTCCTCCTCTCCTCCCCGCCATCCCTGTCCTCGCCTCTCTCCGCCTCCCTTGCATTGTTCCAGCCTCGCCCCCCTCATTTCCCCTCGCTTCCCGACACCGCACGCTCTTCGGCATCACCAACTCCCTCACCCCTTAGCACCATGTTCTCGCACGCCTCGCTCAGGGCGCTCTCGATCGCCATCCTGTGCGCCGTTCTGCTGGCTCAGGAGAGCTCCGCATCACTGCAGAAGCGCCACCGCGTCCGCTCGCATTCGTCGCTGGCCAAGCGCGTCGCCTCGCCCGATCCCGCACCCAGCTGGTTCTCCAACTCCTGGAGCACCTCTAGCCAGAGCAACACCCTCAACGGAGACACGACGGGTGGCGGCCATTTCACCTCGAACAAGAAGTCGTCGGACCAGCCCGATGGCAACAGCTTCTTCAAGTCCTGGAGCTTTGGCTCCCCCGGCGGCGACGACAACAGTGGCTTGAGCCAGATGTTTGGCCAGCTCTACGGAGGAAAGAAGCAGGGCGGTTCCGATGCGCCACAGCAGACCCAGCCGCAGGAGGAGCAGGAGCAAGACAAGACCGCCACGCCCATCAATGACAACAAGCACAAGACGATGCAGGGCGAGCAGCCCGCCGGACAGCAGGCCAACTCGGGCAGCACGGCTGGCCAGGGCGCCGACGGCGCTGCTGCTGGCGATAAAGGCGGCAGCAACGACAACGGAGGCAGCACAGGGTCCAACACCTCGACCAGCACTTCGACGTCGAGCCACAGCCACTCGCACTCGTCGTCGTCGGCGTCGCACTCGTCGTCCTACTCGTTCAGCTCGAGCAGCTGGTACGAGGTGACGAGCAACCAGGAGCTCCACGCCCCCTTCCAGCCCTACTCGAAGGTCACCTGGACCGCCGGCAGCCAGCAGTCGGGCGCCGTCAGCGTCGATGGCTTCTCGATCCAACGACCCGCGCCCGCCGCCACGTGCAACCAGAGGTTCCCCTACCACGGCCAGGCCGACGACAGCGACAACGGCAAGGACCAAAAGTACCTCGAGGCCTACACCGGCCAGCTCGACGCGGTGCACCAGATGGCGCTCGACATGCACAACAAGGAGCGCCAGAGGTACGGCTTCCCCAAGCTCGCCTGGAACTCGGAGCTGGCCGACTTCGCCGCGTGCTGGGCCGACCTTAAGCCCTACGGCCACTCGGAGCGCCTCTTCATCGCCAACGGCGAAAACATCGGCGAAGGCTACGGCGCCGGCTGCTACGACAAGCCCGAGGACGCCATGGCCTCGGTCATCAACGGCTTCCTCGACGAGGACCGCAGCTTTGCCCAGTCCGGCTCCATCGGCACCGACACGGGCCACTATACCCAGATTATGTGGAAGTCGACGCAGACCATGGGCTGCGCCCTCGCAGCGCGGGCTGGCGGCTTCATGGGCAACGGCGGCACCGACTCCTTCTACGTCACCTGCACCTACTACCCTGGCGGCAACATCCTGAGCCGCGTCGAGATCCAGCGCAACCTGCCGCAGCAGGTCAAACCCCCGGCCCAGCTGCGCTCGTCGTGCTCGGCCAACATCGTCCACACCCGCAAGTAGTGCGCTGCTGTCGCGCGTCTCCGATCGCGCGCGACCCTCGCCGCCCCTTGGTCCTCCGAGGAGGGATGGGGAAGCCGGTCTTCCCCGTCCCGTCTCCTTCTAGCATCCTCTGCGCGCCCATCGTGGCGGTCCATCTTGTCTCCGCTTCGCTTCACTTCGTTTTCTCTTCGCTTTAACCCCTTGTCGACGGCCCTGGGCTGGTCTCGGGCCTCCTCTTTCCAGCTTCGGTCCTCTTGGCGACCTGTTCGCCGCACCACGCTCCCTACCCCAAGGTGTCGAGGGCTTGGGCGCCGCTCATACGTGCCCGCCCCCATCTGTCATCGTCTTTCCGCTTGGCCGTTTGTTGGCTGTCGCCTCGTAGCTGCATTTGTAATGTTCAAGCACACCGCATCCGTCGGTCGGCCAGGTGCCGGCCAAATACCTCTCTCTTCCCTGGTCGCATTCAGTTAATTTTGTCGACGAACTCGTGTGCAGAGTGCGGCGGCCGTTGTTGGTACCGCGACCCTGCGACCGCGCTGTGGGCGCTGCTGGCCGCCGTGAGGGTTCTCGCGAGCATCAGGACGCTCTGCAGGCCTACCAGAGTTCGAGAAGTGCATCGAGAGGTAGGCGGTCGTCAAGAGCGCGCAAGTGTGATCGTACAGGGCTTGTCGTCGAAGCGAGGGTGAGATCCTGCGTCGGTTGATAGCAGGCGAGAGCATCATCGCCTGGCCGGGCTTCGACTCCTGTTCCTCGTCGCTGCAGCGTTGCCACCGGGCCCTCCTCTCCTGCCGGAACCACGGATGCCGACGCCGCCGGCTGGTGGGCGGACGAAAGCAAAGTCGGCCTTAAGCGGCTGGTCGAGGAGCGTGAGGCCGTTTGCGCACGCCTCGACGGCCGCCTTGGCCTCCTCGTGCGTCTCAAACTCGATCAGCGCGTAGCCCTAGACGATAAGCAGCGCAGAGACCGGGAATGGCATAGCGAGGCAGAGCAAGGCGGGGCGAGGCAGTGAGTGACTGTGCAGCGGAGCCGGCCGGGGGGCGATGAGCGAGGGGATGATCTGCCGACGGCTCACCTTGACGTAGCCGGTGCGCCTGTCGAGATTGAGGTGGCAGTTCTGCACCATGCCAAAGTCTGCAAACTTGTCGAGGACCTCTTCCTCTGATGCCTCCTCGTGGACGTTGGTGACGAGGACGATCCACCCCTCGACGGCTGCAGCAGAGCGAGCAGGACGAGTATAGGAGGGGAGTTTCGGAGTGTAGGACCACGAGCCGTCGTGCGGTGAGCCTGACGCATTCTGAAGGCGCAGAAGAGGAGCGAGTCTTGCGGTATGTCGTGTGGACAGCTACTTACATCGCGCGGCCCTGTCCTCGCTATCCTTTGAGCTGTCGAGGAGCTCGAAGCCGCCTGCCTTGACGCCGTCTGCGGCAGGACCATCGCCTCTCGGGTTGAAGCCTCGCCCCTTGCGCTTGATGGACGGGTCTACGTACGGTGGTGGTAGGCGCGAGAAGGGTGCTGAGTGTCAGGGACGGGTCAAGTCGACGAGGACTGAGGGACGTGGAGGATGACCCGCCGACTCACCATCGGCCATGTCGACGTCGTCAACGGTGGGGTGTGTGTCGGCCATGACGTGCGGCGGCGTGTCTCGATGCGATTGGGCTCGATGGCAAGGACCTGAGCTCTGGTAGCAGGGTTGAGCGAGACGATGAGGTGATTGACGTCGGGCGAGGGGTGGGAAGGATGAAAGACGGAAGGGCAGGCCAGGTCAGGCAAGGCTGGCCAGGCAGGCGTGGGCGAGGGCGCGACAGGATGTGGAGTGTGCTGCGGGTTGGCCTGGCCTGGCCTGGCCTGGCCTCTTGGGCCACAGAAGAAAGCCGCGCCTTTTGCGTCTTGACATTGAGACGACCCTCGAGAGCTTTTGCCCCCTTCCTCATCATCGCATCGCCTACGCCCTCATCGGCCCTTCCGCTGTCCGGTCCTGCGGCTGCACTCCGCCCCTCGCTCCGAGCTCATCGACCGACCGACCGACCGACCGACCGACCGACCGACCATGAGCTTCGCCCCGGAGCAGGCCGTGGCCGAGCTGGGCCAGTGCGTCGCTCGCATGGTGCCCCAGCTGCTGGACCAGCTCGCCGCGCTCCGATCGGATCACCCGACGACGACGCTGCTGCCACCATCGGACGTGTTTGCCCAGCTGGCACCGCTCGCCTCTTCCGACGATGTCAAGCGCGCCTTTGCCCTCATCCCGCCATCGACGGCCGGAGACGCCGACGCGGCAGCCCAGACCGACGAGGGCCTCGCACGTCTGCGCAACCTCTGCGTCGAAGTGGGCAGCAACCAACTCAGAGACGTCGTGTACCAGGCCGCCACCCCGCCCACCGATCCAGCTCAGCCGGCGACAGCCGGCGTCGGCGGCAGCGCCCAGCCCCTCCCGCAGCAGCTGGCTGACGACTCGCTCCGCAGCATCGTCGATCGCCTAGACGTCGTCCTCGCACTCGCGCTCCAAGGCCTCGTCGACACCGCGCTGCCCCTGACGCTGGTCGAGGAACTGCTCGAGCTCAACACCATACCCACCTGCTCCCAGCTTTTTGCCTACATTGAATCGCGCGTCAAGCAGCTCACCGTCGATCTTCACCCAATGCGAGGCAAGGGCCTCGTCCTCCTCCGCCTCTGCAATGAGCTCCTTCGCCGCCTCTCGAAGCCCTCCCACAAGCACACCGTCTTTGCCGGAAGGATCCTCAGCCTTCTCGCCGCCGTGTTTCCTCTGGGAGAACGCAGCGGCGTCAACCTCCGCGGCGACTTCAACGTAGAGAACAGGACCATCCTCGAGGACCAGCCTGCTCACGATGATCGGGATGGGCACGCAGAGGGCAGCAAGAAGGTCGACGGCGGCGGTGACGGCGCAGACGAGAAGGGCGATGACGACGACGACAAGGCCGCCGCCATCCGTCCCGACGCTCAGATGTACGAGCTCTTCTGGAGCATGCAGCGCTTCTTCTCCAACCCTCCGCTCCTCATGGGCCTCCAGGACACCTCCCGGCAGTCTTCCAGGACCGCCACCCCTGCACCACCAGCCGGCAGCAACGATGGCGGCAACCCGACACCGTCCGAAGAGGACCCGGCGCCCGACGGTGCAAAGGGCCCCATGTCCGAGCTTCGCATCAGCACCAAGCGCATCCTCGCCCTCTTTGCCGCCGTGGCAAAGCGCGAGCGGGAGCTGGCGGGCGCTGCGGCTGCCGAAAACGCCAATGCCGCCAACCAAAGCGGCGGCGCCAAGGCCAACGGCTCCAACGGCAAGGCGGCCAATGGCACGCAAAAGCCGGCTCAGCTCGCGATCGGCTACCGTGCGGGCCAGGATACGGGTGACTCGGCCACGCTCGCAAGCGACGAGGGCACTGACTCTGGAGACGGCCCGCGAAAGCGCGAGCGGTACGAGCCCGACATAAAGGACGGTGTCCGAGTCAGCAAGACTGCGAAGACCGAGGACGACGCGGACGGCGACGCCGAGATGGCGTCCGCGTCGGACGACGCCGAAGACCGGGCGCGGGCGGCCGACCTCTTCTTTCCCAAGTTCCTGACGGGCCGGCGGCTGCTCGAGTACGAGATCCGCGACGCCTCGTTCCGCCGGCACATTCTGGTCCAGTACCTCATCCTCTTCCAGTACCTCCTCTCCTTCACGCCGGTTGCGCGCGAGAAATGGAAGGACTGGAAGAACCGCAACCTGCAGGGCATGTTCGTGCTCGAGGAGGCCGACGAGCAGTGGGTGCGCAAGGTGTGGAAGGAGGTGGTGCTGTTGCTGCGCGACATTCCGCCCAACGGCCGGGCGTTCCTCGATGCGACGCTCGAGGTGCTCAAGCGCGAGGCAAACTGGATCCGCTGGAAGGCCGACTCGTGCCCCTCGATCGAGAAGCCGCCGCTCTCTCCCGACCAGATCGCCGCATTCGCCAGCGCCCGCGCCTCGCTGCTGCGCCCGCCGAGGCCCTACTCTCATCCGCTCGGCACGGCAGCGCTCAGCGAGCTGTGGGCCGAGGGCTTCCCACCCCCCGTTCCCGGCACGCGTCGGGTCGAGAACGACGAGGGTGTCTACGTCGACGTGGCCACCGATGGTCTCGAGGAGCTCGAGTTCCTGCCTCCCGTGCCGACGCTGAGTCACTACCATGGCATGATCAAGCGCGAGGAGATGAAGCTCAACATGCGTCGCCGCCAGCTCGGTATCGTCATCGACACCGATGCTGCTGCTGCCGGGCCAGCAAAGATGTCGGCCGAGGACGCGGACAAGGAGAGCAAGGACGCCAAGTGCCAGAGCATCCGCGAGACAATGCAGAGCCTGGCGTGGCGGGCGTTGCGGGTGGCGAGCGACCAGCACCTGCACCTGTTCAAGCAGATGAAGGAGCCGGAGAACATCTCTGCCCTGATGAAGGCCATCGACGACGAGCGCAACCCGCCACCGCCGCCAAAGGCGAAGTCGGTCGAAGCCGGCGAGGCGGACGACGAGGCAAAGAAGGAGGGAGGCGAAGATGTCAAGGAGAGCGGAGAGGAAGCGGAAAGCAAGGCCGAGGCAGGAACAGAGGCTGAGACGGCTCCGGCGCACGAGGATGTCGAGGCCAAGGAACGCGCGGCAGCCGACGATGAAGCGGCGACAGAAGCTGCAGCAGCGGCCGTGGCGGTGCCCGTCAGCGTGCCCGAAGTGCCTCAGTCTCCGGCGCCCGCCGGCGCGGCAACCGAGGATGAGATCGAGTCCAAGCAGCCGCCGACCCGAGGCTCCGACGAGGCTGCTGTCGATGCCTCCAAGGACGTCGATGCAGCCGCCGTCGACGCGGAACTAGGTGTCGTCGAGGAGGGAGCGGTCAAAGAGGTGGGGAGCAGCGAAGTCTCGGCGGCCGTCGAGGATGTAGAGATGGCCAGCGCAGACAAGGCTTAGCAACGCGTGCCCTTTGCCAAGCCTCCCCTGTCATGACCGATCCTGTTCAAGCAGAGCCAAGAGCAACATTCGAGCTCCATGACTGTGACGCTCCCAGCCTCGCCATTGCACTGGACACAGATGGAGAGCGCTGGAGCGGCGGGGCGAGGGTACAAGCAGGCCAAGGCAGCGGTTCGGGGAGGGTTCTCGGAAGTCGGAAGAGGAGCCTGGCGCCAGCGATCACTGAAGCCCGGGGGCAGGGCGCTGGCCTGGCTCAGAGGCGCCTCACCTCCACAGCGAGCCAGGGCCACGCAACACTTCACTTGCCGCCGCCCTCCTTCGCAACACCACCACCACCAACAACAACACTGCTGCCGCCGCCGCCAACGAGTAGCCATTCACGCACCGCATCACGCTCGCATCTGTGCAGCGCATCTACTATCTGTGATCCATTCTCCGCCCATCTGACCCCCGCCACCGACTCGATTCCGCCCAAGATGGACGAGGACAATGTGCTTCCGATCCCCAACCTGGCGCTCCAGCAGTCGCTCTTCCTCCTCGCGCACCACTCGTCTTCCCTGCCATCCTCGACGCTCTCCGCAGCATCCACATCGCTGCTAGAGGGCATCGAGAAGGACGAGATGGCACCCTACTACTCGACCATCCTCTCCGACCCCACGCTCAAGGCTTGCGTCAAACACGACACTGCGCTCCTCAAGCGACTCCGGGACAAGAACCAGGAAGAGCTGCGCAAGATCGACGAGAAGCAGAAGGAAGTCGAGGAGAGCGAGGGCGACATGGAGATCAACGGCGTCCTCAGGCAGAGGGCCGCGTACCTGGCAAAGATTGGTGACAAGGTGAGTGGCCGCGATGGCTGCGGCGTCTCCTTGCCGGAATGCTGGCCGTACTCACAGCACGGCGTCACCTCTTGTCCCTCTTTCCGCGCCTCGCTGGTTGCAGGACAAGGCGCTCGAGGCACACGACGTGGCCATCTCCAAGGGCGCAGGCATCGGGTCCAAGCTTGACCTCACCATGGCCAAGATCCGCATCGGCTTCTTCTTTGGCGACACCAATGTCGTCATCGCAGCCATCGCCGAGGCCAAGAAGTGAGTTGGAAACGTCGATCGTTCCTGCGAGCTATCACGCTTGATTCGGGCGGCGCTGACCTTCGAGCACATCCACACCCGATCTCGCCGACAACTGCAGGCTGGTTGAAGAAGGAGGCGACTGGGACCGGCGCAACCGCCTCAAGGTCTACGAGGGCCTCCACCTCCTCTCCGTGCGCGACTTCCAGCAGGGCGGGCAGCTCTTCCTCGAGGCGCTCAGCACCTTCACCGCCACCGAGCTGCTCGGTTACAACGACTTCATCACGCTCACTGTGCTGGCCAACGCACTCACGCTCAAGCGCGTCGACCTCAAGAAGAAGGTGAGCTGCTTGCGAGCGCTGCTTGATGTGCACATCGTCGCGAAAACCGGATCGACTTACCTTGCGAGCCTACTGTCTGCCTCGGTTCGCCGTGCCGCAGATCATCGACTCGCCAGAGGTGCTCCAGGTCATCGACGAGATCCCTCACCTCCGCACCTATGTCACGTCGCTGTACAACTGCGAATACGGGGCCTTCTTCCGCGCACTCGGTGAGCATCATGTCGCGACCTTGCACGGACGCACATGTCGTCGCGGACCTCTGCCTTGGTCCATGCCGCGCCGGAGCTCGGAGCTGACGCGGTCCTCGCTCGACACACCTACCCTTTCTTCTCTGGCATACTGCTGTTCGCTCGACCTGCAGCCGAGGTTGAGCAGGCGCATGTTCTCCCCTCGCGCATCCTCTCGCAACACGCGCGGTACTATGTCCGCGAGATGCGCATCATCGCCTACTCGCAGCTGCTTGAGAGCTACCGCAGCCTCTCGATCGACAACATGGCCACCGCATTCGGCGTCAGCGCAGAGTTCATCGACACGTGAGTGGCTCCGGCTGGCACCCTCGCACGTGCTGGCGTTCGGACCTGGTCCTGACTTGTCTTTTCCCCGCTCCCTGCTTGCCGCACGCTGCACGGATGGCCGGACGACCGCACACAGGGAGCTGTCGAGGTTCATTTCGGGAGGCAGGCTGCCCGCGGTGATTGACAAGGTGCACGGCATCGTCGAGACGAGGAGGCCCGATGCCAAGAATGCGCAGTACAACCGCATCATCAAGGAGGGCGATGTGCTCTTGAGTGAGTGTCCTTCTGCTGCCAGCGACCGCTGTGCGTTGCCAGGTCGGGAGCTGACCGTGTCTCGGCCCCCGCTTCGTCCCTGCTCGCACGCGCATCAGACTCGCTCCAAAAGCTCTCGAGGACCGCCCTCTAGACCACCTTGACCTTTGCCATGTAGACCCGGCCTGAGCTCGAGGCAATCATCATGGCCGATGGGACGATCCGATGATGACACAAGCGACGCGGAGCGGAACGCTGCACGGACGCAGGCGGTCGGCTCGATCGTCGTCGAGGCGTGCGATGGCGTGTGGTCTATGGCTGTGCATTCCTATTATCTCTGCCGCGTCGTGTCTCGCTCCGGTGCTTGGCTGGGGATGATACTGTCTACGCTCGGATATATCTTCGGCGACGGCAACGCGGCGTCTAGTCGCACTCGACGAGGCTGCACACGGGAGCGGGGGGGAAGCAAAGGGACGGCATCGGGTCAGTTCGTCTTCTTTTGACCGACTCGGACCTGCCGGCCACCTGGCACCGGGTCGATTCGGGCCGAGCATGACGACGAAGACTTACTGGTACGAGGGAGCGTCGAGCTTTTCCTCGCCCTTGAGGAAGGGGAGGGCGACGACAAAGACGTATTCGACGACGTGGCTGCCGCACTTTTTGACGAGTTCGCCGGCGGCCATTGCGGAGCCGCCGGTGGCGATGAGGTCGTCGATGACGAGTACGCGGCTGCCGGGGTTGAGGGCGTCGCGCTGCATCTCAAAGATGTCCTCGCCGTACTCCTTGACGTAGGTGGCCTGGACGCACTGGCCGGGGAGCTTTCCCTGCTTGCGGACGGGGACGAAGCCGCATCCGAGGCGCTGGGCGATGATGGGGCCGAGGAGGAAGCCGCGGGCGTCGAGGCCGACGACGGCGTCAATCTTGCGGCCAGAGTAGGGCACTGCGCCCGGTTCCAGCGGTGTCGTCGAGGCCGGCGTCGAGTCTGGCAGCGACGGGATCGTCTGGGTGAAGATGTGCGAGATGATGTTGGTGATGAGCAGCTCAAACGCCAGCGGGTCGCGCAGGACGGGCAGGATGTCGCAGAACCGGACGCCCGGCTTGGGGTAGTCGTCGTAGAAGCCTGCAGGGGCGGGATGGGGAGCGGAAGAGGATGGCCAAGGGAAGGACAGGGGGGGGGGGGGGGTCGAGGGCAGGTGTCAGCCAGCGTCTCTCAGGGCCGAGAGGACAGACATGCGGCGCATCGACGACGTACGGAAGAGCGACTTGAGGTGGGCGACGTCGGACATGATGGGCTGGCGGGGATGATGAAGCAAGGTGGTGGTGCTGATGGTGGTGGTCGGTGTTGGTTGCACGCTGCCCTGCACCGCGACGAGGCAAACGAGAACGTGCGTGCATCGAAGCAAGCCCCCAGGGCCGCCTGCTGCTGGGCTTCTCCCACCTGCCTCGCTCTTCTCCGGCGGCAGCCCTTGCCTCGCCAGAAAATTTGCCGGCGTGCAGCAGGCCAGGCCGGGGCCAGCCCTGGCAACGCCCGCCTGCAGCCCGATCCGGGTTCCGGGTAGCTGCAGTCAGCCGCCGGCGCTGACTGCCCTCCCTCCCCATGTACGGGCAGGGGTGGCTTCACACGGCTCAGTCACGATCCCGTCGCCAATGGCAGTCAGGGTGGCCTTCATTGGAATGTTTCGCAGGTCGACTCGAGCGAAGACGTTGGAGACGGTATCTGATCGCTGAAAAAGGCTATCACGACATCAGTACACGACGCCCATCTGGGCCACGCTGACCCTCGCCAGGTGTCTGGCCAGCCCGAGCCTGACCACGTCGAGCTTGTCGCCCGCACTCTTCGATGCCGGCCCATTATCCCCCGCGGGCCGCTTGGCCACCGCGCCGCCTGCCCCGCCCATGAGCTTGTTGAGGTAGCCCAGGTAGTGCTCCGACAGCCTCGGATGCGCTCGCACCGAGCCCGTCACCTGCTCCACGATCCGCATCAGCTCAAACGTCTCCCGCATGTCGAACAGTTGCTCGTCGGCTGCCGATCCCCACGCAAAGACGAGAGAGGTGGAACGCCGTCAGTCAGATCTGTAGCCCAGCACATTCTCCGCGCCGAGGGCGCCCATAGCAACCGCAACTCACCTTCCAACAGTGGGATGGCGTCGACCAGCAGCACCGCAAGGAACGCCTCGGGCGCCGCCTCGCTCGTGATGAGCTCCGCCAGCAGTTGCGCTGCAGCCCTCAGGTTGGCCTCGGCGTAGAGGCGGTGGAAGTCGCGGTACCGCGCCAGGAAGGCCAGCCGCGTCGAGAACAAGCCGCGCGCAGACAGGCCCTCGTCATCGGCGGCACCGCCAAACTCGCCGACGGGCGCCAGCAGCGACTGCGGTATCGAGTCGACCAACGCCATGAAAGTCTCGGCGCCGCGCTCGACGTACTCGTCTAGCAGCTGGTCGGAGATCTGCCGGATCTGGGTCGCATCCCCCGCCCGCACGCAGTAAGCCACCGCGACCCCGTACCTCCGCTCCTGCGTCATGGCTCGCGCAAGGCGCTGCGCATGGGAGGCAAGATGAACGCGTGATGGGAGAAACGCTGCGTCAGTGCTGGCTCGACGGCTGCTCTGCTCCGCAAGAAATGCCTGCCTGCTCACCTTGCAGATAACCCTGGCCTCCTCCTCCATTCCGTGCTCGGCACACGCCCTGAGGATCTCTTCGGCCCTCTCGAAACTGCCGCTCTCCTGGTCCTTGCCCTTGCCCTTGTCTTCGGGGCCGCCCTCGCTCTCCTCTTCCATCGCCTCGTCATCGTCGCTTTCGTCCTCGCCGTCCTCGTCGTTGCTCGCCTTGGCCCGAGACTTGGACGGGGCAAAGTAGGGCACCGAGAGGATGACCTCCCGCATCTTGCGACGGCCCGCCGCGCCGCAGACGCCGAGATAGTCGATGCTGATCCGCCATAGTCCCTGCTCCTCGAGCATCTCGTCGGCGTAGCGCAGCAGCATCTTGATGCGGAGGTCTTGGTCCGACGCATCGCCCATCTCTGCCGCCGCGTCCTCCTCGAGCAGGCCCGCCTTGTCGGCCAGATCTGCAAGGTGCGCCGCAAGCCAGATGTCGGCCTCGGTCGCCTTGGACACGGCCCTGGCCACCTCGCCCTTGACGAGGTGCGCCTGGACCGCTTCGGCGGCCAGCGTGCCGTCGATGGGGAATTGCTCGAAGAGGGCGTCGACCATGCCGGGCACGTCGTCGCGCTTGAGCGTGGGCTGGACCAGATGGCCCCAGGCGCCGAGGGCCTCCCGCCAGTCTTCGCAGGCTTCAAAGACGCGGTCCTTGACGCCGGCCATGAGCTCGAGGAGGCAGCGGAACTGCGCCTCGTATTCGAGCCGCTCCTCTTCGCTCTCCTCGCTGTGGCCAGCCTGGGCCTCCATGTCGTCCATCTCTTGCTCGAGCCCGCTCAGCACGTTGCGCACCCGCCCGATCCAGCTGCGGTGCGCCGCGATAAACTCGTGCTCCATGCCGTACGCGATGGAGCGCGGCAGCGTCGAGAGGAGGTGCGCCGCCTTTTCGGCCACGCGACGCACCGCCGCTGCAGGATGCTGGTCGACGAGCGACTTGAGCACCGAGGCGGCTGAAGTGTGGAAGCCGCGCAGCACGCAGCGCAGCACGTAGTCCCAGTAGTTTGGATGCGAGTAAGGCACAGCGGCCTGGGCAATCTCCTGGCCCTCCTCGGTCGTCGGAGCTGTGCGAGCGATTCATCAGGATGCAGCAGAGTAAGCCAGCATTTCCCTGCGACGAATCGAAGGTCTTCTAGCCCACGATGGCCGGCCACTCACCAAAGTCGAACGAGTTGAGCCAGTGCAGAAGTTCTTCGCCTACCACTCCGGCTCCTCGCCCGTCGGCGGGAAAGTAAAGGATCTCTGCGAGGTGCAGGGCGGTGTGGATCGCCTGCCACTTTTGCAAGAGGTCGAGGTCCGGCTCGGGAGCGTTCTGCCCGCGTCATGGTGGAGGCATCCTGAGGCGTCAGTTGAGGAACGGCGAGCGTGGCTCAACACGGGCGGCTGCGAGAATCCCTGCACCCACCTCTAGCTGGGAAAGATAGTCGCGGACGGCGCTGCGATACAGTCCGCTGATGCGGTGGTAGTACTGCATCGTTTGCTGGAACGGCATCCTGTGTCAAGCGCGAAGACTCGAAGCAGGTCAGCAGCTGCTGCGAATGGCCCAGGTCGTCTGTCGTCTGAGCCTCGAACCCACAGGGACGCGGCGGAGTTGCCGGCCTGCCACGGTGGGACGACGGTGGCGGCGACATCCTGCTCAATCTTCTGCGCCGATGTAAAGATGGTGTAGCTTTGCGTGAAGAACTGGCGACGTGGACAAGGAGAGTTGCGGCACCGGAACAGGTGAGACGAGGATGACAGGCGCATTCCGCTAACTTCGACGCAGCTTGGGCTCATGCTCACCTGCTTCTGCTCCGGAGTCGTGTCCCACGCGTAGCTGAGCTTCTTGGAAGTTGAGGTCGGCTGCACCATGGTGTGAAGGGAGCGGGGCTACCTGGCCAGCTTGTGTCGACGCGGTGTATGGGCGGCGATGCAGCTCAGTGAACGTGGGAGCAATAGTCAAGCAGCACGCTTCGTCCGCTTCCGATCTGCTGTGAGCGTCGGAGCGGGAAGCGGTGGCCTGAAGGAGGAGGGGTGAGAGGAGGGGTGAGAGGATGCGTGGGAGGTGTGGTTGCGAGAGGCAGGCCAGAAGAGGCCAGGCTAGGTGTTGATGTCGTCAAGCTGGCCAGCCAACGCCCCCCGTTCTCGGAAATCGGACCTTGGCATTGAGACCTCAGAGACTTTTTTGTGGTGGCTGCGCGTCGGCGGCGCCAGGTCAGTTCAGGCAACAGTGCAGGCCCGCCCGCCGTGCAGCTCCACCTCGCAAGTCCAGGCCAGACCGGGCCTGCCCTGTGCCGTCGGGCTGCCCAAGGCCAAGGCGACACGGCCCGGCCAAGACACAGACAGGACCATCGAGAGGCTGGTCGAAGTTTGCATTGCTTATAGTACAGAGTGAAAGAGAGACCACGAGGCGAATAACAATAGGTTGGCCGCAGTAGGCCGCGGCAGGATGGCGCGGCGAAGACCCGTCCGAGGGGTCTCTAGGGTATGATGGGTGCGGCGGACCGGTACGGATGTAAACGGGCGTATCCGACAGCGCCAATGTGGGCGCAGTGAGGGCGCTTGCGGGGGAGCCGGCGACAGCTCAGCAGAACATGGCGCGGTGCACGCGGGTAGAGAGCGCGCCCATCGAAGACGAGCTGAGCCCGGGCGACAAGAGGGCAGGGACGAGGTCCAGAATGAGAGCTCAGGGGCATGGGCATGCCCCGCGTGGACGTCAAAGACCCGTCCCGTGCCGTGGGCTCGCGACGGGCCAAGCGGCCGAATAAGAATCGCAAGGACAGCTGCGTGCGTGCCCCGACAGCGCCGGACGACGGCGTGCGCCGATCTGCGATGATGGTGGATGAGCAGCAAAAGTGCAGCGACCGAGCATGGTGATGCTGACGTGAGGTCACCACCGGCCGGTGCGTGCCTGCGTACGTCGCTCTTGGCTGATATGCGCCACGACGCTCAGATGTCCCGTCGTGCTACTTGCAGAGAGCCACGAAGGTGAGGATGGACGGCTGCAATCATCGTGCGCGACTCAGGCCTGCATGGGCGCGGTCTCGGGCTTGTCGCCCCGCTGCTTGTTGTCGACGCCCATGCCGACGGCGCGCAGGCTCTCCTCGATGGTGTAGGCGGGCTCCTCGCGCATCTTCTTGGCCCTCCGCTTGTGCAGCTTCGAGCCCATGTGCATCAGCTGGTCCTTCTGCGAGGGGAAGTGGCGGTCGCACTCGACGCAGTAGAAAAGGCCGAGACCGGCCTTGTCGACGTCGAGCTCCTTGGGGTTCTGCAGCGCCTCGAGCTTCTCCGGGTTGTTGAGGCTCTCCTGGATCTGGTCCGCGTCCAGCTTGCGAGCACGCGTGCGGGCCGCTCGCGAGATGTCTGTTGACGGGAGAGAACAGGGAAGGGTGACAGCAACGATGCGGGTCAAAGTCAGCCTCCAAGGTAGGTTGCGCTTAGGTCAAGTGCGGGCCCATCTCTCAGGTTCCGCCTGCGTGTCACCGGCCACCATCACCTCGTCGGGTCCAGCTAGCGCTTGCTGGGCTCTTTCGACGATGCTTACCTCGTCGAGCGTGGTGGTTCCGCTTGTGCCTCATACGCGTCATGATGGGCGACGTTCGATTCGATGATGAGGGGGGTGGGGGATGGTGACCAAAGGAGGCAATGGTGGTGGTGGCGGCCGCTACAGTGCGAGGTTTCCGCAAAAATTTCGTCGTGTGGCGGCCGCGCAGCGATATGCGGGGGTGCACCCTGCAGCCGAACTTTGCGATCGGGATCAACGCTGACCCGATGTGACGCCTTCTCACGTCGGTAAACGCGGAGCCGAGCTGCGAGCTTCGGCCGAGGCGCTCCATGAGAAAATGCAAATTTTGCACCGCGCGACCGATGGGCCTCGAAGTGGCCGCTGGTCGCCAAATTCGGATGCGAAGAAATTGCGAGGGGCGGCGAGCAAGCGTCTGGAAGGCGGGGCGGGCGACGGCCGCGTGCCGTGTGTGGGCCGCACGCCTGGCGCCGCTGCGCCGCTGCCGGGCGCCGGGAGGGGGCAGCTGCCACTCGGTCGTTTGCCCCAACCACCTCGCTGCGATCTCTTCTCCACCGTATCCCCCCCGTCAAGACCACCCTATCACCTCCGTCACGGAACCACATATTCACAATGGTAAGCATCGACCACGGCTGTCCGAATCGCGCGCCCGACATCGGCGGACCTGGACGACCTGCGCAGCACCAACATCCGACGACGTCGACCCGTCCACGCCGATGATGGACCTTCGACCGACCGCCAAACGACCCCCTAGGACCATGCTGCCCGACCAGCGAATCCCTCCCGACTCCTTTGCGTTCGGACATGCCAACTTCTTTCAACAGCGAGTTCCCACCGCCGACCTTAGGACGTCGCATGATCCACCCACATCCCAGCAGTTCGCCTGGCATCCGATTACCGGCCGAACAGCGACATCGACGAGCCGTGGACCGGGACTGGAGCTGGGCTTGAGGATGGGCATTACTGCGGGAACGCTGGACGGGCGGTCTGGGCGAGGTCGAACTCTAAAGGGAAGAGGACGAAGCCTCGAACCATTTGGAGAGGACGCCTAGTCATGGTCCAGCCGCTCCGTCCGGCGGGGTCAAGATCCAGCGGACGATGGAAGATTGAGGTCGAAGGTACGCCGAGGGGCGAAGTGAAGGTTTCGCGAGGAGGGTTCGATAGGGGACGGTTCTGGGACGTCAGGCGGACAAGTCGCCGCTGCCGCGGCGCCTACGGCGATGGCCCTCGCAGCATCTCCATCCTCCCGGGTCTCGGCCCTTTCCTCACCAGAGAGCCAAATAAGCGTCGGCCGGCTCAGAAGGCCATCTCGCAGCTCTTCCATCGACGTCACCCGTCCCGACACACCACAGATCGCCACGTCTTGCCAGTCGCCTCCTCAGCTTCCTAACCAGCCAACGATCCACCTACTGCCCAACCTGCGACTGCTTCGCCTCGCCTTTGCGCTCGGACTCATTCCCCGATCGCCCATCGTGACGATGCTGACGACCTGATACCTCATTCGACCCCTGTGCCTCTTCCCACGTTCAGGCTCGTCTCTACAGCAAGGCAAGGATCATGGGCTACAAGCGCGGTCTGCGCAGCCAGAGGGAGCACACCACGCTCGTCAAGATCGAGGGTGTTGAGGACCAGAAGGAGGCTCAGTTCTACCTCGGCAAGGTGAGTTTGCAAGGCAGCGCTCACGGACGGACAATGGGATGAGCGGCAGTAGGAGGCCTGGCAGATGGCAGGACCAATATGGCCCTTGATCAGTCGCTGACGTTTTGTCGTCGATTCATCAATTCCCTCCCATCTTCGCTCTGGCCAACTCTTTCGCCTCCCGCCTCACCTCGACCTTGCGACACCGCAACCTGCTGCTGCTCTCCGATCACACCTGGCAGCGCGTCGCCTACATCTACAAGGCGCAGAAGTCGGTCCAGGGCTCGAAGCTCCGCGTCATCTGGGGCCGCGTCACGCGCCCCCACGGCAACTCGGGCATCGTCCGCGCCAAGTTCGCGCACAACATCCCTCCCCAGGCCTTCGGCGCCTCGGTCCGGGTCATGCTCTACCCCTCGACCATCTAAGCGGCCCTGACGCCCGTCGTCATCGTCCTTTCCTGTCCCCCTCCTCTGCCTTCCGCCTGGTTGAAGGACGGGCGGGGGGGAGAGACATGCACCAGCACCACCACCACCGCCATGCCCGACCTGATCACCTCTACCACCACCACCTCCACCTCCTTTGCCGGTTGTATTTGTTCGCTCGCATATTCCACACCCCACCACGCGCACGCGACACCGTCACTTCGTCGGAAAAGGGAGGGACCATGCGCCTCTCTCTCTCTCTCTCCCCTTCCTACCCTTTGCCTTCGATCTGACTCGGCCTTGCCCTCACCCCGTCGTCGAACACCTGCTTTCACTCGCATAGAGGAGAGAGGTAGAGCGACGGGACGGGTGGGGTCTCGGGGGCTCTTGATACCGAGAGCCCTCACAAAATGAAAAATCCACCATACGCACGCATGCATGCCAATCCCCGCGTTGAAGGGCGATCGATCTTGAGCAGACCAGCTATCCAGCCAGCCAGCCAGCCAGTCAGTCAGTCGATCAGTCAGTCGACCGTCGTCTTTGGACCGGTACGACCGTCTTCCCCCGCGCCCCTCTCTTCCCCGCTCACCCCGCCGCTCTTTCGCTCGCTCACTCGCCCGCAGGCAGTGGGAGAGGCCCTTGATTAATCTCGTTTGGGATCGCGACGGGCCCCACGGTGGCCCTCTGCTCTCCACGATCCCAGACGTAAACTGCAAGGGAAGATCGAGTCTCGGCTCTTTGCAGATCGGTGCCCCTTGTGATTGCTTTCGTGGGGTCTCTAACCGTTTTGAAGGGATCCGACATCCGGTCGTGGGACGAAGCTGATTCTATGATTTGCAAGCCCTCTCGAGGATGCTCATTTTCCTTGGGCCTCGTTTCTTCTGCGATGGAGGGGCAGCGCAGCCCGCGGAATCGAAAGAGATTGTTGTGTCTACGCATCTAATCGTCGGTCGCCACCCTTTGGTACCGCCCTCCCGCGTCCTGGCTCTGTGCCCGTGCACGGCTCGACCACGCTCGTATCCGTTGCCACATACTAGCGCCGCCCCCAAGTCCGACTCGATCGGTCCAGCTGCGATGCGCTGCCGCCGCCGACGCTCTAGACTCACCGCCGACCAGGTTGCGCGCAATCACCATCCACATTGGGGGCCAGTCCTGATCCAGCATCGACACGGTCGATGAATGTGGTCGCCCGCTATCCGCTGTTTGCTGCTGCGGCCGTTGATGATGCGCCGTCGGATCCTCGGCTGCCTGCACGGTAGGTGGTCGAGGCCGCCGCGAGAAGCGACGGATCCGCCCCGTATCTGGCCTTGACCGCCCCTCGCCGGCTGGGTGGATTGCCGAGGCAGACGACGAGGCGGCAGCCGCGACGGCGTCTGGGTTCGGTCGTGGACCGCTGACGCCCTCTGCGCCTTCGCCTGTTCCGTCGCCCGGCTTGCGCTGGCCCAGATCCCCGGTCCAGATTCTCTCGGCGAGCGGCTGTAGCCGGACCACGGCGATGGGCTGCGAGAGAGACGAATGGTCGGTCGTCCATGGCGCACTGCGTGTCGCTTCGTCGGCACGCTCCTGGATACGGTGTGATGCAAAGAGCGAGGCCTCTTCGTCGTCTACCCGGAGCACAAAGCGAACGGGGCTGGAAGTGTTAGTCGCCTTCGATGTTGCTGTCGCTCGTCGTTGCCTCGAGGGTCGTCCAGCACGAGCTCACCTGCATCCCAGCCCTGACCACGCTCGACTCGGTCGGCCTCGCCAGCGTCGAGTGCGTCGACCTCTTGGTCTTCGTCGAGGCAGCTCTTTTCGCCCTCGGATCTGAGCTCATCGATGCCGTGCTCGAATGCGACGACGAGGAGGACGGTCTGGACGAAGGCGACAAAGAGGTCGATCAGGACCATGTGCAGCTTGCCGGTCTGGTGATCTGGTCAGGGCAAAAGGGGAGGCAAGGGGGTTTGAGTGTGCTGCCGTGGTTGCTGCGCGATAAAGAGGGAGGACTCCGTGCCACCCACCTTGGCCGACAAAGTCGATGATGATGGTGCGTGACTTTCCTGCACCAATTGGGCCGCCGAGGACGTGGACGGTGACGATGAGGAGATTGAAGCACGAGAGGAACACGGTGAAGAACGGGAGGGACCATGTTGGGTGCATCTGTATCGGGTTGCAGAACTGCACCTGCAGGGCCGACTTTACGAGGAACCAGAGGGTGCTGCCGTCGATGAACCACACGTAGACCAAGAGGGCAAAGACGAGGAGGTCGAGCTGAGGCGCGCGCAGATGGGGGGGAGGCGAATGTCAGATGGGCGGTCGACGCAAGGCCGGCAGAGGGGGGGAGGGGCGGCGGTCGGGGGAGTTGCACCTGCTACACACCGACTGTATGAGTTCTCTACGCTGCCGATACATGGCGAGCGAGGGCCGATGGCAGGGCTAGCCAGCGTGTAGGGGTTCCGGGGGGCTGCGTCGGCAGGCGATGCTGCTGGTGCGGCTGCTTGCGCTGTTCGATGTAGCTACATGCATGCCCTGCTTGTCGCGGTGTTGCGGTGGTGCGCTGTCTATGCCGTCGCTGTGAGCATTGGAGCCAGGAGTCTGGCGGGTGATGGCGGTGATGATGGTGGTGACGGTGGCTGGCTAGCTGCCACGCAGCCAGGGGGGGGGACGAGGTGGCGCCGGTGTGACCCGTGCGAGGAAGTGGCCAACGGTACCACCGGTGCGCGGCCTACGCCCGGCTTGGCCCAACCGATTTTCGATTTCTCTCCACAATTATCGGCGCCTTTTTTCCTGTTCTCCTGTTCTCGAGGCGCTGGCTGATGGGTCCAGGGGCCAAAGACGCGCCTGGCCTGGCCACGCCCAGCCCATCAACGCGACCCGCCCAACTGTGGATTTCGCCTCGACTTTTGGCCGCCCTTTCCATCGAGCCTCCATCAACCCATATGCGTCCCACGTCGGCCGCCGCTCGCCACGCACACCACGCCGCCGCCCATCGCCCCCCGCCACATCCGCTGCCGGTACCCATGCACCTACCGCCGCCGCCAATGTCGTAGCAATCTCCAACCGCCTCTTCGCCCCCGCGATGTCACACACCATCATGCCCCCGGGCCCTCGCCAAGCAGGTGGCAGCGGCAACGGGGGCGGCTACGGCGCCAGCGCCAGCACCAGCAGCGGCAGCAGCACTAGCACCAACGGCACCAGCACCACCAGCACCACCAGCACCAAAACCACCGGTACCAGCACCAGCACCGCCGTCCCTGCGCCCCTCAATCCCCACAAGAGGCGCCGCCTCCAGTTCACCTCGGAACTGCCCGTCACCATCCCGCGCTGGAACCCGGACGGCACAGAGACCCAGGAGTGGCTACGCTACCAGTCCAACCTCCGCCTCAAGTCGAAATGGGACTCCATCTGCCAGAAGTTCTCAAACGCACACCTCCTCCCGCAGGACGAGATCCACCTCGGAGACGAGCGGAAGGGCGAGGAAATGAGGGTCATCAAGGACCGCGGCATCCTCCGCCAGGTCACCGAACCCATCGAGTTTGGCATGTTCCACATCCGCGACCAGGACCTTAAACACGTCAGAATCGTCGGCGGCCGCCCAAAGGACAAGCGCAGCGTCAAAGGCACAGACGGCGACTCGAGCAGCGAAGACGAGCTCGCCGAGTGGACCCACACCGTCCAGTTCTCTCGCATCGCCAGGCCGCCCACCGCCGCGCCCAGCAACCGAAATCGCATCGCCGTCACCGCCAACGGCCACGACGATGCGGGCTCACAGGACGCACAGTTGGCCGAGTTCCTCGAGGCAGAGGCTCGCAGGCGTGCGCTCGTTGACCAGCACAGCCTCGACAGCGGCGAAGACGAGAGGGACGAGGAGGATGAGGACGACGACGAAGACGAAGTCTACGACTTTGCCGATCCCAACTGGGACAAGGGGCTCGCCAGCCCCCTCGATGATCCCGAACCCATCCCGAGCTCGAACCGCGACCCTTCGCCGACGTCGTCTGCCGACGAGTTCGACATCATAAGCGCTATGAGCGATCCGGAAGAGGACGCCTTTGATCGCTGGGCCTCGGACAAGCGCCAGAACGTCGAGGACGTCTTGACGGCCCCTGAGCCGTTTGCCTCGATCCCGTTTGGCGACATGGATGGGCTGGCGGAATGCATCGAGCGTCATCTAGCCGAGCAGGCGCCGCCGGAGTCGGTCCCGCCGGCACTGACAGCTTTAGACGACCCATTGGAAATGGACTCTTACCCTCTGATGCCGTCATCTTCGCCACGGGCGCAGCCGACGAGGGCGACGTCAGCCTCGTCGCTGGACATGCAGACGACGCCTTCTTCGCAGCGCAGAAAGAAGCAGCAGACGCCACGCAGGCAGACGCCCGCGCCACTGCAAAAGGCAGCAGCCACGCCTCGGGCCAGCATCGCCGCAGCAACCTCGCGCCCGGATTCAGCCTCGACACCGACACCTACACCAACACCGATACCAACGCCGACACCAACGCCGACGCCGACGAAGCTGACGCCGTCGAGGCGGAGCAGGAAGAAGACGGTGACCGCAGCTGCAACACCATTGGCCGCCGACTTGAACGACGACAACGGCGATGGCGATGACGATGGCTTCTTTGGCTTTGGTGGCTGCCTGGGACCGGGTCGGTGCACCAAGTCGTTCTGCATGCAGTGCGGCAGCGTTTCGGCTGCGTCGCGGCATCGCAAGCAGAAAAGGCCGCGCGACGACGATCCCGAGACGCCGAGCAAGAGCGCCGGGATGGAAGCTGGGGAGCCGCAGAGGGCGCGATCGCAGATTCCCTTGCGAGGACAAGAGGGAAGAGGGCGGCAAAAGCATCCGCCAGATTGAATTGAATGACGAGGGACGTGACCTGGCGATGGTGGCAAGACTGATACCCGGCGGCCTAAGATGGCGTCTGCCGCATAGCCCTGCGCGTCGCCTGGCCCGACGCTGCCTGCCTGTGGCCTCAACTGATACCCCGCCTCGACGTGCGCTGCGACGAGCTGAATAGACGCAGATCGAGATCCTGCTGGTCGTCGGTGCGGTGGAGAGCGAGGCAGCCAGCCGGCGGTCCGTCCGTCCCGCTCCGTTGTGGGACCGGCACGCGCGACTTGTGCTGAGGTGCCAAGGTATGAGCTGAATGCGCAGGCGGGCAGCGACAGCAGCCGACGCTAGCAATACGGAATACCGCCGCAGCAGGAGCGAACGAGATGGGTCAAGTGCCGGCGGCGAGGGGTGCGCGGACGGGCCAACAACGGTTTCTGGCAGCGGCTGGCCCGCCGTGTGCCAGCGAGGCGGCGCTCGCTCGTGTGGCCGCTGCTGGTCGCTTGATTGGCCCCCCGCAGACGGAAGAAAGCCCAGAGCCTACAGTTGGCCCACAAGGCGCAGCAGCAGCCGAGGCGGCGGCGGCGGCGGCGGCGGCCGAGGGCCCCAAGAAGAAATCAGAGAAAGGCGATGGGGCACCGGGCTACCCACAGACCCCAACCCCCTCACCCCCACGCATCCCTCGCGTTCCCGGCCTCCCGTCCCTTCTCCTTCGCCACCACCATCACCACCAGCTCTCATCGCCGTCCTCGAGCAGTCCCATCAATCCGTCCGAGTCGTAGAAAAAAGGGCTCATCTTCGCAGCTCCCCACCTTCTCTCTGTCGCCTTTCACCCGAACACTGGTCCCTCCTTTCGACACCCCCGCCTCCTCTTCTTGCATCCTATCCCGCCCTCACTGCCTCGCTCCGACCTTCGCCATGTCTTCGCAGCAGCAACCCTCCCTCGCAGCAACAGCAGCAGCAGCAGCTTCTTCCAATGCCTCCCCCGCCGCAGCAGCAGCATCCAACCACGCAGCCAACGGCGGCGCCCACTCGGCCCCGCTCAAGAGCGCCATCGTACGCAGCGTCCTGAGCGGCGACACCGTCATCATCCGTCCAAAGGGCGTAAACACCCCCGGAAAGGAGGAGACGGTCCACATCGCAGGCATCGCAGCCCCCCGCCTCGGCTCTCGCGAGCGCGAAGACGACCCGCAGGCCTTTGCGTCGCGCGAGTACCTCCGCTCCCTCGTCGTCGGCCGCGAGATCCGCTACCGCATCGAGTACACCGTCCCCGCACCCGCAGCCATCTCCGGCAACACCATCTCCCAGCCTCGCCAGTTTGCCCACGTCTACCTCCCTCCCAAGGCGCCCGGACAGCCCGACACCAACGTGGCCCACGAGATCCTCGCCGCGGGCTGGGCAAAGGTGCACGACTCGGCGACCAAGCGCCCCAACGCCGGCCCCTCGGACGAGGACGAGGAGGGCGGCTGGAAGCAGCGCCTCCGCGCCGTCCAGGAGGAGGCCTCGGCCGCCGCCGTCGGCCTCTGGGGCCCCGACGAGCTGCTCAAGGTGGACCACTCGATGCCCGAGGACACCGCCGCCTTCCTGGCCGAGTGGAAGGGCAAGCCGATCGAGTCAATCGTCGAGCAGGTCCGCGACGGCAGCATGCTCCGAGTCCGCCTCCTCCTCAGCTCCAACCACCACCAGATCATCAACCTCAGCCTCGCCGGCATCAAGTGCCCCCGCGTCGCCGGCGGCGGCGGCGGCAGCCCTTCGGACGCCAGCGAGCCCTATGGCGAGGAGGCCAAGTTCTTCGTCGAGAGTCGCCTCCTCCAGCGCAACATCAAGGTCACCCTCCTCTCGGTGCCCCAGCCCGTCGCTGCCCCGACCCCGTTTTCGGCAACCGCCTCGACTGCCTCCTCGTCCGCCGCGCCCGCTCCGGCCCCGACTGCCACCGTGCTGATTGGCATGGCCCTCCACCCCGTCGGCGACATTGCCCAGTTCCTGCTCGCCGCCGGCCTCGCCCGCTGCATCGACTGGCACGCCGGCATGCTCGCCCCGCACGGCGGCATGGAAAAGTACCGCACCGCCGAGCGCAGCGCCAAGGACAAGCAGCTCAACCTCTGGAAGTCGTACAAGCCCGCCGCCTCGTCGGCCACGGCGCTCTCGGCCCAGCCGGTGGCCGCGCGCACGTTTGACGCCGTCGTCTCGCGCATCATCTCTGGCGACACGATCCAGGTGCGCCGGGTGGACAAGGACGGCTCCCTGGCGCCAGAGCGTCGGATCCAGCTCTCCTCGATCCGCCAGCCGGCCGTCAAGGATGCCAAGCAGGCTGGCTACGCCGCCGAAGCGCGAGAGTTCCTACGCAAGCGCCTCGTCGGCAAGACGGTCTCGGTGCAGATGGACTACGTCAAGCCCAAGGAGGGCAACTTTGACGAGCGCGAGTACGCCACGGTCCGGTCCGGTGGCAAGGACGTCGACGTCGGCGAGCTGCTCATCGCGCGCGGCCTTGCCACCGTCATGCGCCACAAGCGCGACGACGAAGATCGCTCTCCCGGGTTCGACAAGCTGATGGAGGCCGAAGCCAAGGCCATGGCCGAGTCAAAGGGCCTCCACTCGGGCAAGGAGCTCGCCGCGCCGCGCCTCGCCGATGCGTCCGAGAGCGCGACCAAGGCCAACGCCTTCCTGCCCGGCATGAAGCGCGCCGGCCGCCTCCAGGCCACGGTCGACTTTGTCGCCTCGGCGTCGAGGTTCAAGCTGATTGTGCCGCGCGAAAACGCGCGTATCACCTTTGTCCTTGCCGGCATCCGCGCGCCCAGGACGGCGAGGAACGCGTCGGAAAAGGACGAGCCGTTCGGCCGCGAGGGGCTCGATTTTACGACGATGCGAGCGCTGCAGCGCGACGTCGAGATCGAGGTCTACTCGACGGACAAGGCGGGCGGCTTCATCGGCGCCATGTTCCTCAACAAGACCGACAACTTTGCCGCCTCGCTCGTCGAGCAGGGCCTCGCCAACGTGCACGGCTACTCTGCCGAATCGACGCCCTTCTACCAGCTGCTGGCCGATGCCGAAGCCAAGGCGCAGCGCGAGGGCAAGGGGATGTGGAAGGACTACAACGCCGCGGCCGAGGGCGACGGCCCCGACTCCGGATTCCCCGCCGCCGCTGGCGCTGCTGCTGCGACGGGCGCCGGTGTCTCGGGCCCTCTCAACGGCACATCGGCAGGTGCCAAGCCGGCGTGGAAGCTGGGAGGCGCTGGCAAGCCGGCCTCGGGTGGCGCTGCCGCCGCCGCCTCCAACGAGCCCGCACCGGCACGGGCTGACTATGTCGACTGCATCATCTCGGACGTGCGCGGTGGGCTGGACGACGTCGACCCGCGCACCGCGTCGACGAACTCGGGCGCCGAGCCGTTCGGCTTCTCGCTGCAGGTGCTGGGCGACCAGATCGACGAGCTGGAGAAGATGATGTCCGAGTTCGCGCTGCACCACAAGACGCCGTCGGCGCAGGCCTCGGTGGGCTTTTTCCCGCGCGCCGGCGACCTCGTCAGCGCCAAGTTTTCGCAGGACGGGCAGTGGTACCGCGCCCAGGTCAAGCGTTCCTCGACGGGCGCCAAGACGGCCGAGGTCGTGTTTGTCGACTACGGCAACAAGGAGACGGTGTCGTTCCGCGACCTGCGGCCGCTCGACGCCGCCCGGTTCGGACGGAGCCGGCTGGCGCCGCAGGCCAGGGAGGCGCGGCTGTCGTTTGTGCGCCTGTTTGACGGCAAGCAGAAGGAGTACGTCTACGAGGCCATTGACCGCTTCCGCGCCACGGCAGGCGACGGCCGCAAGCTGGTGGCCAACATCGACTTTGTCGAGCCGGGCACCGGCCTGCTGCACGTCACGCTGTGGGACGCCAGCAGCACGCAGCAGGGCGTCGAGATGGAGAGGCAGAGCGTCAACGTCGAGCTCACCGAGGCCGGCTGCGCCCTCCTCGACGAAAAGGTCAGGTACTGGGCCAGCTACCCCAAGATGACCAAGGCGCTCCGAGAGGCCATCGAGGGCGCCAAGAAGAGGAGGGAGGGCTGCTTCGAGTACGGCGACCCCACCGAGGACTAGGGGGGGCCCGACGGCCGAGGCAGAACGACCAGCACGACCAGCACGACCAGCACGACCAGGGCAGGGCAGGGCAAACCAGCATCGTCTCGCATCTTATCGCACCGTGAAGCAGCTAGAGTAAGAAAAACCCAAAGTCTATCGCAAAATGGCATTCCAGTGTTCCCCCACCTTGGCTTTCGGGCCCGATGACAGCAGCGCGGATCGATCTAGGTCGTCCAGCTGTCGACGCTACGTCTGGCCACCACCTTGCCGTGCTTGATGGTGATCCTGCCAAAGGGAGGGGCCAGCGCCGCGTCCTGGACCGACGCACAGCCGTCGAGGATGGTGGCGTCGAGCAACGCCTCGGCCCCCCACGTGGCGTCTGGGTCGAGTCGGTCGCAGCCCGCCGCGGTCCGCGCATTGGTGGCGACCATGTCGAGCAGCGTCTGGCAGTCGGTGGGCGTCGCCTTTTGCCAGACGGCCACCATCATGGGCAAGAGGGCGAGCGGGTCCGCATCGCCCTGCGGCGTAAACAGGTTGGCCACGTTGTTGACGCCCATGCTGACGTTGATGGCGCCGCCGCTCGACGAGACGAGATCGAGGGCCGGCATCGTGGCGCGCGACCGCACCGCATACCGTTCCGAACGGCCCTGCATGTACAGGTCGCTCGGGGGCAGCGAGACAAAGTGGACAGCGTCGGCGTCGGCGTCGGCGTTCGCTTCCTCGTCCTCGGCTGCTGTCTGCCTCGACGAGAGTGCGCGCAGTCGCCTGACGAGGTCGTCGAGGTCGTCGTCGGAGAAGACGGAGAGCTTGGTGCAGTGTCCCAGCGTGATGCGACGTCGTCTGCCAGCGGCCACGGTCCAGGACGGCAGGGCGAGGGCGCGATCGAGCACGTAGGGGATCAGCGAAGGCCGGTCTGGGCTGGGCGCGTCGAGGTCGTAGTCGAGGTGGAAGTCGACGTCCTTTCCGTTGCGCCTTGCCAGGTCAAAGACGAGGTCGATGTTGCGACGCTGCATCTCGACCTGCCCCTTGACGCCATCGCTGTCCGATGACCGCGGCTCGATGTAGGGGGCACTGCCCACCGCATCGACGCCCGGCTCGATAGCGGCTTGGCGGAGCAGATCCTGGATCGAGTTCCGCTTGGAGTCGTCGAGGGGAAAGAGGGGATCCTGGGCGAAGGCGACGAGCGAGATGGTACAGCGGCTGGCGAACTCGTCCTTGAGATGCAGTCCAGCTCGCAGACAGGTGAGCGAGACGGTAGGATCGACCTGAAAGCCAGGAGAGGGCGTGGGTCGGAAGTCAGTTGGTCTGCTTGTCGGGCGGGTTAGGGAGGCGAGGGCCTGCTCCTGGCTATCTCACCTCGACGTGCGCGCGCATCGCCGTGACGCCGTGGGAAAGGCTGGAGGCGATCAGGCGCCTGCCTCGCTCGACGAGGTCCTCGAAGGTAAAGTCGCGCTTGGCCTCGCCGGTCCTCTTTAGCGCCTCCTCGAACGTGCCGTCGTGGATGCCGCAGCGCGAGAGCAAGAAGCACTTGTCGAGGTGGACGTGGGGATGGCAGAGACCGCCAGGGACGAGGAGCGATCCGCGCGCGTCGACGGTCATCACGGTCCTCGCCGACTGCAGATCGGGCAGCTTGGACGGCGCGCTGGGTCCCTCGCCAAGAGGGGCGTGGCCGGCTGCGACCACTTCAGCCCGGTCCAGCTCTTGTCCCAGCCCACGGTCAAACAAGTCCGGCAGGGACGATGTGTCGAGGGTCGCGACCGAGGCCAGTGGCCGCAGCGGGTCGAAGCGTGTGCCTTCACCGCTGACCTCGTCGCTCGCTTCCGGGGCACGGTGGAGCGAGATCACGATGCGGCCGTCGTCGCCGTGGCGGTAGAGGACATTGTGTCGCTCCTGCCGCAGTGATTGGCTGCACCGCGCCCGCCCACCCCAGGCTATGCGCACGTCCTTGAGCAGGAGGGAGCCGGGGAGCTCAGCGGCGTATGCCGCAGCATCTGGGCCGCCGAGCATGATCGCGGCTCGGATCCGATGCTGCGATAGGTCGACTGCGGCCGGTTCAGGCAAAGAGAGAAGACGGCAACGGGTGAGCCCGTCGAGTTGCGACTTGCGAGCTCCAGCCCCCGGCGCGATGCTACGGGCCGCCACCGGCTAGACGGAGCCAGTTGGGACCGGATCGCTTGATCCTGCCTTGCCGCAGTGCGAGTCGGCGCCAACGTGCATCCGCCGAGGGCTGCGATGCGCTGCCATGCGCTTGCGCCCGCTCACCTTTGGGTTTGTTCTGCACGCTCGACGGCACGCGGTCAGGCCTAGGCCAGGCTGTGACACGACGTGGTGCGTGGCGTGGATGCGTGCAGAGAGAAGTCGGAGCCCCGCCAACCGAAGAAGCAGCCGGCCCTGCCAGAACAAAGGCCTGCCTTTGCCTTGCTGGCGTATGGACGTGTGGACGTGGGTGGGACCGTGACGCCGCCGCCGCCGCTGCTGCTACTGCTGCTGACCCAACCTTTCCGGCGCCAAAGTTAACGTGTGTGGCGGCGGCGCTGATGAGGGCAGGCGTTACGCGCTTCTCGACGATTGTGTGGTGGTTGGGCGCACCGTCGTCGGCGTGGCTTTGCCCGGCGTGATTGGCCCACGCCGAGCCAGACGTTCCAGGCAAAGCCAGGTCAAAGGCGGCGCGCCAAAGCCTCGACTTTGACTTTGACCATGGCCCGCAAGCGACGGGCTGCTCGTCATGCTCCGCCCCGCGCCCGCATCCTTGACAAGTCTAGGCCTGGCCACGCCTTGGTGGCCACCCCTTCGACGCGGGCACCATACGGCACCCCGCTTCCCGAATACGTCGGCGCGCCACCGGCGTGGCCTGCCTGCGTGGCTCGTCTCGTCGCGATGCCAAAGCACTTGCGCCACCCACGCCGCCCACATCTCGCCGCAGGCAACGCAGGCCTGGCCGGGCGCCTCGTTGTGAACCCCAGATTGCCGCCACTCTGCAGCAAATGGGCAATATCAGCACAGAATGCCACCCCAACCCCTCCGCTTCCCCGCACAGCCTTTGATCCCTGGTACCCCACACACAACAGCCAAGCATGAGCTTGCTTGGAGGCGGAAACCGAAGATGCAGAACAAGATTGTGGGGCGGCCAACCATCAGCTGATACAGCAGCAATCCAGCTGGACCTACGTTCTATTCGTCCGCCAAGAGTCGAGGGCGCACCGCCGTCAGCCGACGCACCTTTCTGCCGGGCCAACAGCAGCCAGCAGCACCGAGAGCATCAGGCAGGCAGGCAAGCTATTCGCTGCCAGTAGCCAGCATGTTTGGCCAGCAGGCTTCGACGACGATTGCGAAGTTCGACCGAGGATTGCTGTCGGCGTCGACCTGCTTGCTCCTTGCTCGCGCCCAGTCGAGCTCTGGCAACCCATGGCCATCCGTCCATCTGTGTGGACGTCGGAGTCAGACCCGCACCGACGCACGGCGAGCAGCCTCGTCGCGGACATTTCGGTCGACATGGTTCCGAGCCGTTGGGCCAGGCAGCCGCTCGCTGGCTGCGACGCCAACCTGCATTCTGTATCGCACGCACTCGCCATCTTCGGGCAGCTCTATTTCTCCTCTCTTTCGGGCCAAATCTCCAAGGACAGTAGAAGAACGTACGAGCGAGGAAAGGGTCGGAGTTGGCGTCGGGCCAGCCTGGCGATGGCCGTTGCCAGCCGCGTGCCTGCCGGCTTTCCCCCCTTTGACCCCACATCGAGCGGAGCGGGCCCCCAAGATCTCGCCGAGCCAGCATGTCACCTTGGCGCCCCCTGCCGCGTGAGCCCGACTGCCCGACGTCGTCGAGCCAGCTGTCCGGATCTTCTCGATCAGATCAAAACGTTGGCCCGCCTCGTAACGCATCTCGCCACCAAGCACTCTTCTTAGCGCACCGCATCTCGCATGCGACCAGGCCGAGCAGGGTCAGCGCAGGACAGGCTGCCGTGCTATGCTGGATCCCCTTTGCCCGCGGCACATCAACATACCGCCGATAGCCTGACGCCAAAACACGACATAGGAGCGGATTGAATGACTGTCGACGAGCGTCAAGTCTTGAGAAAGACGACGATGGCCTTCACCTTCCAGATCCTCTGGAAAGCTGCGCTGAGTGAAGTCTGACGCCAGGCCCGTGGGGTTGCCGGTGAGCTCGGCCAAACGATGCCAGGCTTGTTGACCAGCAGGATGCGTGCGCTCCGGATGAATCCATACTGGCTCCCTACCTCTAGAGCTCCCGCATCGTCACCAAACAGGTGCAGGTCGCCATTATTGTGCTTGTCGTCGTTCACAGACGATGGCAAGGCGACAAAGGGCTTCATGACAACCTTGGATCTTCTGGCATACCAACTGTACCTACCTAAGGGCGGCACTGTCTGGCTCGACCGCGGCTGCGGCTCAGACCTTGGCGACGCTACCGGAACAAGGGGACATGGCGGGTCAGGGCGGCCACGTACGGATGCAAGTGTGGTGTTTTGGCACTATCGCTGCGCCCCTTCCTGCTCATCTGGCTGGGACGCTGCGCGATCCTCTACGATCGTCTTGAAGATCTTCGGGGTGAGACTAGCACGCTGCGGCGGCTCGTGACGGAGTCGACGGAGCCGCCGCGGCCGTCGAGAGAGGCCCAGACAGGTACTGTACTGTACAGTCCATACATACACAGCGTAGACAGCTTGGAGTCTGCTGCAGAGTGCGGAGCCCATTCCACGCTCGATGGGCCAGCGCGTAGTTACGGTACCTACCCGCGCCGCATGTGGGCCGGTCGGATCGTGATGGTGCAGGCCTGGCCTGACCTGGCCTGGCCTGGCCTGGCCTGGCCTGTCACCAGCGAGCCGGCCGATCCTCGTTCCTCTCCATCTTCTGCTTTCCCCCATCTCCCCCGCTTGCCCCACTCTCGCTTTCGCGATGGGCGCCAGCCAGACTGCTCGGTTGGCAGGCCATTTCTTGGACCCCACACTTTGTGTCAATCCACCGCGGCCGGTAACCTCGACCCTACGCTGGTAGGGTACCTCGGCAATCTCGACGAGTTTATGCGGTCATAGATGGATCGATGCCTCGAGAGTTGAGCCGTGACCTTACGTCCCGCTGCCGTACCGTTCCGCAGGTTCTCGCGGCCGTGTCCATCTACATACATACATACAAGCGGTCGCGGCATAGGGCCAACTGGGCACGGCGATGCCAGTACGCAGCTAGAGGACCAGAGTCTGCGCCAGGCAGGCCCCGTCGCCAGCTCAAGGCTCTCGTATCGCCTCTCTCGATGATGGCCATTGGGTCCACCACAAGTCGGTGACGCTCCACGGTTGCCCTGACGTATGACCGGCGCTCCATGGTCAACGGAACGTACGCACGGAACTCTCGCACAGATGGCGACTTCGGTGCCGTACTCTGTAACCACACCGCCAATCCCACCCAACCAACCGATCCGTTGATCCAGATCGGGCGGCGTCGAGAGCGGCGCAAGCAACAGCCGGCAAAACTTGGCGTACGTGGGTGGGTGCCAGATGTAGGGCGCTCGGCACGGCCTCGGTCTCAGCTCGCACCTACTCGCTCATGGAGGGCGCTGTTGCAGTAGGTCCGGTTCCGCCTGGTTCATGCGTCAGGCTTGACGTACTCGGGACATATACATGTGAAGTGAGGTGAGGGCATCGGCCCCCCTTTGCCATGCCCTCGCACACCGCCGAGGCCGACAATTGACCCGAGCCGGACCGACTCAGGCTCGTCCGCAGACGTTGTGGTGCCCGATCGGAGATGATCCGCTGGCGCTGCTCGTTTCTCGGCCCGTTTCCGACGTTGTGCCCCAACCCTTCGGCTGCTCCCCGACAGGCGGCGGCTTGGCAGACAGATTGCCGTGCCTCTGCGAACCGCTACTATCACCTTAAACCTCAGCATCATAGCATATGTATCGGCACCGACCGGTCGACCCGCACCGTCATCGCGCCGTCTCGCTGTATGGGGGAGCAGCTTGACCTCACCAACTACGCCCATGTCGAGGGTGCAGGTCTCGGACGCAACTTTACGACTCTACTTTTATCCACGCGGTACTGACTTGGATCGCCGCTGCCGCAAAGGGGGCGACCCGTTCCGTCATCGCTGGCGCCGGAGTCCCAGCGGTACCTTTGGCCCCGACGAGCGAGCCAGCGCCACCGACGAGCGTCTTCTCCAGCCCGCGAAGCAAGAGACCAAGACTCGCACAACAAACATTGACCGACCACCACATCGTCGACATCGGAAGTGCGTACAAGCAAGCCGCCGACCCCAGCATACGTTCGGCGTTGCGGCCGAGCCCACGTGGATATCCAGGGGTCTGCCTGCTGGCGTCCCACACCATCGCGACCCCTGAAACCTTTGAGTGGGCCTTGTTTGTCGCCGATGTCCTTCGACGAGCCGATGGGCGAGCAGGGGAAAGCGCTACTTACATACAACAGGCTGCGCGTGCAGCCACCGGGCCGGGCCGGCTCATCCGATCCTGGGCCAGTCCGGACCGTACCCGCCCAACGGCCCCGCCCGCCAAGGCACAGCCTCGACAGAACGCTATCGATGCCAGTCGATATCCGGGCGGCGGTCCTCGCTGGCGCTTCCGTATGCGTGTATGTGTGGCAGCGTCAGGTTGTTGACTGCCGTTGCAGCCTGCGGTTCCCGTCGAGCCGGGCCGCGTTGCAGTAGGTGAGCGTCGCGGCTCCTCGACGGCTAGGCCGGCAACACCAGCCGACGATCGTGCCTGGCCGGCCCCGTTCCCGTCGCTACCGGTAGAGCGAGCGAGCGAGATCCTTAACGCCGTCTCCGCCACGAGGCAAATGATGATGCCGATCAACTCACGCACAAGACGCCAGGCACCTGATTGGACCGTCGCCCCTTGCCATACGGTCTTTTGCGTCTGCCTGCCGGTACGTGTATGTGGCACATACATCCCCCACTGTGCTCTGATTTGAATGTTTCACCGCCATGGAGTGTCAGGGTGAACGTACCTCTTGATGTCGTCTCGTTATCGCACCGCGACTGCCGACTCGGACGTCCAGGGCGACTGCAGGACCTGCGGATCCATACGCAGCGCACGCAACAAACAAACCTCGGCCTAGGTCCACAAAGGTGGGCGTCCCGGTGCCGAAAGGTGTCCGCTCCTGCGTGGTTCGCCGGACGGTGGCGATTCGGCCAGCCCAGGCCTCGACTATGCTCCGGCGGCGACTGGACCGCCAAGACGCTACCATCGGCGGCGTCGCTCTCTGTGTTCCGTTCTACGGAAGGTCATTGGCCTGGCTCATCGGCATGGCAGGCGCGGAGCGGGACGCCGGCAAGCGACCCGTCGGCCAGTCAACAGAAGCACGTTCCTACTGTTCCTTGCCCCTAGGTGCTCGGCCGGCGTCGGCAGCCTAGCCTGCCACTCTTACTCGATTTATGTCTTTATTTCTCCTGCCGAAGAACCACAGACGCCACCGGCAGGTGCTCAGGTACCGTATGTACAGACCACCGACCACCTCCTCGCACGGAGGGTGCCGCCTGTCTCTTGGTGTCGGTACCGTTAGCAGCGAGGACACGGCCCGGCAGACATCCAACACCGGAGCTCAGCTGACCCCGTCAGACCAGGCTTTGGCAGGCCAACTTTGCACAGCGACAGGCCCTCGGTCGCGGGGCGTTGCCCGGTCTGAACAGCCCGGGTGCGAGCATCGCCCGACAGCCTCGCCGGCTACCGTACATACATCGGCACCTCAACTCTGTCCGGCCGTCTTGTACGAAGGATAGGAGTACATAGGAGGGCATAGCGGGCAATTTCCCACCTTGAGATCGCCGCATGCCAAAGTGGCGCCGCTCGGCCTCAACACAGCATCCATCCTAGCCTGAACGTAGACCGGCCTGCCTGTTCGGCCCCCACGCTCTCGCTGCCGAACCCTCAGATAGAACCTAGGCCCAGGCAGTCACAGTAGGAGGGCGAACGGTCGAATGAGGGTCGCCGGCCGTCGTCAAGTCGCCCATATTCCGACGCCCTCCTGCGCGCGGGCCTCTGTAGACACGGGTGGCAGTACCGGTACGTACCTAACTTGGCCGCCCTGGTTCTGCTCTCGTCGGCGAGTGGGCTGCTCTTTGCCTCGGTGTGGACCGCAAACGGGGTTCCCAAGGCGGGGCTCGGCCATGGCTTGCGGGCGGCGATCAGGGGGATGTAGGCGTGGACAGCACGAATTGCAGGTGCCCAACGCCGACGCGCCCACGCATGCAAAAAGGAACAAGGACGCGCACAGCCTGGCCAGGCCTGCCTCTGGCCCGTAGAGTTGGGCAGAAAACAGGACGCGTGCGGACGGTTCGGAAGTCTCGGTGACACACGCCAGCACAAAGGGGGGCTCCCCTCGACCGCACGCACCTCACCATTCCCGAGCTGATTACCGCCAGCTCCGCCTGGCTGCGAGCAAACCAGATGGCAGGCAGGCCAGGCCCGCAATGCCGGTTCACAGCAGCAGAGCGAGCTTAGAACTGCCGTATCGCAGCCCGTCGCCGTGATGGCAGCTACGCTACTCCGCCAAAGGTGCAGAGTGAACAGACCGAGTGATGGGCCTATGTGGTGCCGTTCTCTGTCGTACGCGTCTTGGACCGCCGGCACCACGGCGGCACAATTTGAGTTGTACCTATGTTTGTGTTGGGGGCCGACGAGGCTGGATCGTTCCGCAACGTAACGGTGGCGGTCAGCGATGGTCCAGTACAGAGCGCGGAAGAGGTCTCGAACGCCCTACTAAGACGAGCCACAGGCAGTACGAAGCGGTCTTGCTGATGTGCCAACAAGGATGTGCGCTCGCTGCGCCGCCGCTCGTGCGCTGCAGCCAGGCCAGCAAAGGCCGACGACCCCAAGCCGGTCGGCCATGACCCGCCCGACTGAGCCAGTGGCAAAAATCGACACGGTCGGGCTGGCTCTTTCTCTTGATCGCCGTCTCAATCCACGTATGGCCTTCCTTGGCCGGACCATGCGCGCACCGCAGTGCTCCGTCTCTGCTCGCGCCACTCTACGGTCCTGCCGATGCGAGTTACGACAGCGGGCGAGAGAGAAGCCCGGCGCCATCCATCTGAAGGGGGCTTGGTCGCCTGCCAGCCCTGAGCCTTTGGTTGGCTTGCTCGCCACCGCCGTCCCCAGAAGAGAGCTGGCCGATCGATCTACCTTTGAGCGTCGAGCCAAGGCTGGGCGAGGCGTTGGTCAGACGCCCCACCAAACGCGCATCTGCGTCGGCAAGGCGTCGGGCTGGAAGGCTAGAGCCAGGTGCGTCAGGCTAAGGCCAGTTCCGCGTCAGACTTGAGAACCCTGGCCCGTCGTCAGGGGCCTAGGCCAGGCTAGGGTCCCGCTCGCTTTTTTTCTTTTCTTTGTTGTCTCGATCTTTTTTTGCCGTTGCCTGTGCGCAGGTGCCCGGCCAAGTCACCCGCGCTGCCTGTGGCTCTCTTTCACGCCGCTGTTTTGGGGCCAGGCCTGCCTGCTGGCCACAGCCAAGCGGCGCCCAGCCAGCTGGCGGCTCGGCGGCCTGTCATCGTGGAGGAGGCGCGGCGGCAGAGACGGCGGCAGCAGCAGCAGCAGCAGCGGGGGTCGACGACGCCCTCGTCTTAGGTTGCCCGCCATAGGCAACCAGAGCAGGCAGGGCAGGGCAGGGCAGGGCAGGCAGGCCCACCGGGCATTTCAAAATAACCCTGCCTCGCCCCACCCCACCTGAGCCAGGCGGCCTTGGTTGCCATCCGGATGATCCTCACCTGCCCTCCTCTTCACCAACCCATCCTCTTGCCTTCGTCCACAGCCAGAGCACGGTACAGCACAGTTCAGCACAGCAGACCAGACCACCTCTCCACGACCCCTCTACCAGCAACCGGGCCATAGCATACCTTCATCTTGACCCACCACCACCTCGACCACCCTGTTCCCCCCCTTTGACCTCAGCCCAACCGTCTCTTGCTCACCCCGTCACCCCTTCACCCCGTCACCCCGGTACCATCAGCTCAACCCGTACGACGCCTTGACGAGTCCAACGTCGTACACGCCGGCCCTGTTGCTACGCCCTTTCCACGCCCCGACAGGACAGCTCAGCGGCCTCGATCGACACCGCCCCGCCCCTCTTCATCTCGATCCCGAGAAAAAGGCAACCGCATTTCACTCGATTTGTAGCTGCACCGCAGCCCCACGACCCCACCACCTTGCCGCACGCCTGAGCTTCGGACGCGAGGCACACCTGACCTGCCTCGTACCCGTGCCGCACCACCGCCGCGCCTATACACCCCCTTTCGGTCCCTGCTCGGTCGCTCCGCCCGTCTTGGCAGCACCCCGTCACATTACGCCTTCACCCTTTTGGCGCACAGCCCCGGGCCCAGGTTCCACTCCGAGCAGACCTGGCCCACGCTCGCTCGCCACCCAGCCTGCCGCCTCTCTGTTCATCGCCGAGTGTTGTCCATCGGCCGATTCGCCGGCAGCGTAGGGCAGGCTCGCCCGAGCAGCAGCGCAAGAGCAGCTAGTGCCAGAGTGCGAGGTCCCTTTCTGTCTGCACGGTACACGGCAGATACGGCCAAAGAGGACCGATCGTTCGCGCCTGCCTCAAAAGTGGTCAGCCGCATCACCGTCTTGCGGCCTCCTCCATCCTCTTTCCAAGCTTCGAAAAGGGCGACACCATGCCGGCTCCCAACGCCACCTCACGCTCTCCGCCACCCGCCGCAGCCCAGGCCGGCTCCAGTCGAACCCCATCGCCGCCGTCGCCGTCCTCATCGCTGCACCAGGTCGGATCGCGACAGGCCACACGCACGCGGACTCGCACGCGGCGCAACGTCTCATCATCGCTCTCGACGACGCACCGCATCCCTCACTACACTCACGAGGACCACCCGCTCAGCCCGCACAACCTCGATCGCCATGGCTACCACTCGTTTCGTTGCCTCGGCGTCCCCTTCCACGTCAAGAAGCGGTACACGTTTCTGCGCGAGCTCGGCATCGGCGCATACGGATGCGTGGCCCTCTGCCGCGACGAGGCGCTCGATTGCAACGTCGCGTGAGTGCCCGTTCATTCTGCCGCTCGTCACTGCGACGGTGCCCGCGTGTGTAGCCTGTCCTCTGACGCGCTCCTTCAACCTTCGTCTCGCGCCAACCCTGACACGTCCTGCCCCCTCATGAACAGCATCAAAAAGGTGACGAGGGTGTTTGAGCGCGACGTGCTGGCGAGGAGAGCCTTGCGCGAGGTCGCCATACTCCGCCACATTGGCATGTGCGACAACGTGACCGCGCTCCTCGACTTCGACGCCACCTTCATCGAATTCTCGGAAATCTACCTTGTCCTCTCGGCGAGCGAGGCTGACCTGTCGCAGATCATCCGCTCGGGGCAGGCGCTCTCCGACGCGCATCACCAATACTTTGTCGCGCAGATCCTCCGCGGCGTGCGCTACATGCACGCAGCCAAGGTCGTTCATCGCGACCTCAAGCCGGGCAACCTCCTCGTCAACGCCGACTGCGCGCTGCGGCTGTGCGACTTTGGTCTGGCTAGAGCGTATGCCGACCCGTCATTCGGGGCCGGCCCAGCGCAGCCCTGCGACAACGACGAGCTCCAGATGGGCGAGGCTGACGAGCATGACCCGCTCGAAGGCCGCGATGGACAGAGCCAGGAGAGGGGACCGGACGGCCGCGACAAGGGAACCGCGCATCTCTCGCGCTCGCTCTCGCCGCAGTCGGACCTCAAGCTTCACACGCAGCGCAGGGATTCCAAGGGCAAGCAGCGACGGCTCAACTACCCGGGCGGACCGCTGACCGAATACGTGGCCACCCGCTGGTATCGCGCGCCCGAGGTGATGCTCTGCTTTCGGGAAGGATACGGGCCCGAGCTCGACATGTGGAGCGTCGGATGCATCTTGGCCGAGCTCATCGGTGGACAGCCCATCTTTCCCGGCAAAGACTACGTCGACCAAATCACCCGCATCAACAGCGTCCTCGGCTCGCCCTCGGACTCGGTGGTGGACAAGATTGGCTCCGAACGTGCAAAGACCTACATCAAGGCGCTGCCTCGGATGCCGGCGGTCCCGCTGCAGAACCTCTATCCCACGGCTTCGCCCGAGGCCGTTGATCTGCTCTCGCGGCTGCTGACCTGGGATCCGGCGGAGCGTCTGACCGCCGACGAAGCCCTTCGACACCCTTGGCTCAAGGCGTATCACGAGTCGAATGCCCGCTGGCAGCCGCCCCCCGCCTTCGACAAGTTTGCCGAGGTCGAGTACATCCGCTCCCTGCGCGAGTTCAAGGCCGGCCTCCAGCGAGAGGCGGACGAAGTCAGGCAGGAGATTGAGGCGCTGGAGATGGAGGAGGCCGAGGCCCTCGATGGTTCCAGCACCTCTGCGATCGATGCCGGCGACGGCGACGACGACGACGAGAGGGAGCAACAGCTGGCCCGCGAGTCGACGCAGCCCGAGAATGGCCCCGAGTCGGGGCAGCTCCCCGACACTGACGCCCACGGCGACGTGGCGGGAAATGGGTCGCGGGCAGATGCTAGCCAGAGGGACGACGAGGGACCCAACACGGATGCCGAGCCGCAGCACGAAGGCCACGGCTCGTCCTGCGGCACCTCTGCGCGTTCTTGCAATCTGCCCGAAGCGCTCGCTTCATCTGGATCCTCGGCGGACACCCTGTCATCGACCGAAACGAGCGGCGACGAGGCCGACCCTCCATCACCGCGCAGCCTCGATGGCTGCCGAGTCGAGAGCGCCACCCAGCCCGGCCTTCGCAAAGACGGGCAGCTGGCGCAGGTGCCGTCGTATTTTCGGCTCGGGCATGAAGAGGAAGGACGTCAATCGATCAAACCCCTTCTCGATGACAACAGGCTGGAGCACCGGCTGGTATCGCAGCTGGAACAGCGGTTTCCCATCGATGACGTCTTCGTGCCCGATCAGCTCCTTCAAGTGGCCCAGGGCCTGGTCGAGCATCAAATCAATGCCGCTGCCTCTTCCGCTGCAGCAGCAGAAGCGGCGATGAGCGATCAGACCCTCGGAAGCAAAGGAGCCTCCTTCTTTTCCCCCGGCGGTGGTGGAGTGGACCCCGCATGCCTCGCTGAGGCACCTTCAGATTCAGCAGGTGCAGGTAGTGGCCCGACGATCGAGGGCGGACGAGCGGGCGCGCTCCTCTCCTCGCGCCCGTCGACGGCCGTTGGCAGCGGCGGAACGGGGGCCAGCACACCCTCTCTCGGGCAAGGCCTGCTCGACAACGTTGCTATCGCCCCTGCATCCTCGGCCTCGACATCCGGGCACGGCGTCCAAAGGCACTCCAAGCAGTTGGTCCTCGTCCAAGATGGCCTGCTGCAGTCTTCGGCCGGTCTGCTCGCTCAGATGATAGCGCGCGCAGCTGACAAAGCGCAGCCGACCTTGCTCGTCACCATACTCCGGCATCCAAGCACCTACGTTCGACCTCGAGACATGCGGCATGTCACCTTGCTCGACGGCAGCTCCCGCTCCGACGGATATTGCGAGGAAGATGACGGCGAGGGCCGCAGCGCCTTCGGCCTAGCAAGCTGGAAGGGCGTCGCCCAGGCGGTGCTGGCGAAGCTCGGCCGCATGGGTGCACAGAATCGGCTCACCATCATGATCGACTCGCTTGACACTCTGGTAGAGCAGAGCAGGGATGGCGTCGAGGGCGCGTTCAACCTCGTTCGGACGCTGCTCGGCAAGCTTAGCGCGCTTGGTCGCCTAGTGGTCGGCTTTCAAGGCGACTCGTCATCCACCTCGGCTGCTCTGGTGTCTGCGCTCAACACAAACCTGGTCTGGTCCGCCTCGAACGACGGCGGCGACGCAGCGTCGACCTCGGCCGCGGCAAGCGGCACCATCCTGACGGCCAGGCTCCACGCACCGGCTGTGATGCGCTACATCTACCGCAACTATGGGCTGCGTCCATCGTCGAGCTCGGCCGCAGTGTTCCGAGCCCTGCACCCCTCCGAGGTCTCGGGTGCACGGGAGAAGCTGTCGGACGACACCACGTGGTCTGACCTCGAGGGCATCGGTGAGGGTCACCAAGAGTCCGATGCCGATGCGCGCTTCTGGGAGATCCTGCGCAACACCTCGAGCCGCGGAGCCCTGGGCATCCCTGCGTACGAAGGTGGTGGCGGCACCGCCGGGTGGTGGGCGAATGGCAGCATCGCCGCCGACGAGGTCGAGTGCGTCTTCAAACGCCCCACGCCCTTGGCTTCCCGCTCCGGTCCAACACACGCCGCCACCGTCCACGGAGATCGCATCTGCTTTGAAGACATTGTCGGAGCCGCGGCGCAGGACGGCGAGACGGCCCGCAGCCCCCGAAGCAACAGCTGGGGTTTCCTCGAGCTTCACTACCAAGCACGCAGCGGCAAGGTCTACGAGGAGCTGGTGGGCTGTGTGGTCGAGAGCTCGAGCCACGGGCGCAAGCTTTTCCTTCGGCCGCTCGACATGGTTGACCGACGCGACATCAATCAGGCTCTGCCTCAGCCTGCTCCTCCGGCCCTTCCATCGCAGCCTTCGATTGCCTCGGGCTCTGGACCGGAAGCTGCCACGTCTTCGAGAGCGGCGGGTGCGGACCCGCACGCGTCGATGGTCTCCAGGCTGCCCTTCAACCTCTCAGAGACGGACGCTCAGCGAGCCAGGAGGGAGGACGTCCCGCTCCCGTACGCCTTCTATCAGCATTCGGCGCAGGGCGGTCTTGAAGCGCAGCAGCAACAGCAGCAGCAGCAGCAGCAGCAGGGCATGCGGGGCTCGACGGGCAAGAGCACCATCTTCTTCGAACCAGAGGCGGGAGACGACGAAGACGACGAGGATCCCGACGACGATCTGGACCTGTGATTGTCGAGACTGGCCGGCCGGCAAAGGTCCCTTTCTCCTCGATCCCAAGGAGGGAACGCGGCAACGACAGGGAGGCGGAATGGATACTACACGGCCGACTGCTCATTTTCACCACCCCCTCAACCACACCATGCTTTTAGACATCTGTAGCAAACACTAAGTGCCTTGCCATCCCGCTCCCTCACGCGCATTCTCTCACATCATTGTCCCTCTCCGCACATCCATGCATAATCACTAGCATCGTCACAATCAAGTTTAAGCTGAGCTTCATCGAGCGGCGCTCGACGGCTGACTGGTGGCCTAGGCACATAGGAAGGAACCTCGGGGAGCAGTGGGTCGGTTTCCCGAGAGCGCGCTCTGCTCTTAACGTGGCGCCGTTGGCTGACTACGATGCGTTTCAAGGGAGGGGACTCCGCGCCTCAGGCCCCCTCTTCTCGGTGCCACCTGGTCGGGGCCGGTTCCTGGCCGCCCGATCCGCCTTGAGCCACACGTTGCGAGGAGAAAGACGGGCACGCACGGCTCTGGCTCGGGGTGCCGCAAATCTGGCTGCCCTCGCCCTCGCCCTCGCCCGCGGTGCGTGCTCAGGCTTGATCGGTTCCATCGACGGTGGCACAACGATGCCGTCGTCTGGTCGCTCGACGGCCCTCTTCCGTGCTTCGGGACGACATCTGCAGCGATTCGAGCGCCCGTCTTGCCGTGTCAAGCCAGTTAAAAGGCTCCTCGTTGCGCTGCTGGCTCGCGTGCCATGCGGCATTGGCAAGGCATTCTGCATGTGCGGGTGAATCAGTGGCATCTTCGAGACTACTAAGTTGGGATACTGATACAGTGGTTGGAGATTGGAGCAAGCCTCGGATTGGGGGAGGGGGGCGGGCAGAGACCAGGAGCGGTGCTATGGGGCGGCACGGCTCTAGGGCTTGATGCCCTTGGCCTCGAGCGTCTTTCGGTCCTCCTCCTCGAGCATCTCGTCGATCTTTGCGCCGCGCGAGGGCTCGTTGCCGTGCTCGCGCGCGGCGTCGGTGGGCTTCTCGTCGTCCTTTGCCTTCTCGCGCTGGGCCTCTTCCTTGGCCTCCTTGCCGGCCTGGGCGAGCTTGTTCTGTGCATGCCACGGTCACGGTGAGGGGAAGAAGGGGCGTTGGGGCGACAAAAACGAGATCAGCAAGCGGTCCCCTGTCATCGTACGGCAGCCGGTCGCACGGGGTAGAGTGGAGTGGGAACAGGGCGGCGGGGGGGACACGCACCTTGATGCTCTTCTCGTCGCGCGAGTCGAGGTTGAGGTGGCTGTTCTCGACGCCCTTTTCGTGGTTCTTTCGGTCGTCGTCGTGGTGCATGCCGACGTCCGGGTTAGGGCCGGAAGCGTTACGCTGGTCGCCGTCCTCGCTGTGGGTCGGCGGGCATCGAGAGTATCGTGTCGCAGCGCGGTGGAAGGAGCCGTCAGCGGACGAACTGCTGGCTGCGCGACAGAGGGCGCGAAGCCCGGGGGAGACACCGGCGACGAAGAGGGCCTACTCACGCGTGGGTCTCGTACTTGGCGATGGTCGACATGATTGGGGCTAGTTGTATAGACGAGGGTGTTGGGCGTGGTCAGGGGAGCGATGATGGTGAGTTGTAGAAGGGAGAAGAGGGATAGCCTTGCCGTCGATCCGAGGTTACATACGCCGTGGGCAGGCACGTCGATCACCTTGTCCGCACATCGAAGGCGAGCGAGCCTTGGTGCGCTCACACGACGAGGCAGAGAAGAGGGAAGAGTGGCATGTAGCACAACGTCACAGCCCTCTCACCTCGCCGCATTGTCCGCCGGCTTGGCTTCAAGGCCCCAGAGGAGGAGCGGCCAGGCTGTAGGGCTTGGGCCTGGCCTGGTCTGGCCTCGCTGCGTCGCCTGCTGAAGGCGCCGCGGGTCGAACCGTCTACCGTCGATGCTCGAGGCCAGACTGCAAGGCTGCGCTGCGGGCTTCTGCCTGGCCAGGCAGGGCCAGGCAGGGTCCACGGCCGGCCTCTTGGCTTTGTCGCGCTTGCATTCGCATTTCGTCACCTTGCCTGGCGACCCATCGCCGATGCCAGCCGATCAGCGCACGCCATCTTGTGCGCCCGATGGATTTTCGTGGTCGGCGTTCTGCGCACAGGCCCTTGCTTGCTCGAGCTCGACTCGACTCGACTGGGCCCTGGCCGAAGAAACCGCCAGCGCTCTCCTGCCCGCGCTCGCTCGCTCGCTGGCTTGCTCTCTCTGGCAGGCCAGCCCAGCTCCCACCCGCCTGTGCCCCTGTCCTCCTTCCCCTCGACATTGCCCCGGGCCTCGTCCTCGATAGGCACAAACGCAAGCGCCCGTCATGTCCAGCCCTCCGACAGAGAGCCAGGCCACCGTCTCGCAAGAGCAACAACATGCGCAGCAGCAGGCCGAACCGCCACACCAAGCCCCTTCACCCGCCCCTCCAGCCGTCGAACTGACCAAAAAGGAGAGCGAGCTGCCTGCTCCAACTGAGACCGCCCACGACGACGCCACCGCCGCTGATGCTGCTGCTGCAGATGTTGCCGCCCCCGCTCCGACGCCGGAAGAAGCCGCAGCCGCAGCTGCAGCTGCCGGCAAGGCTGGCAGCAGTGCCAAGCGAGGAGGCGCAGCGCCTAGAGGAGGCGGCAGGGGCGGCGGGCCCAACCAGTACCTCAACCCCGCCCGCCACCTCACGGGCGGGCCGGCGCGCGAGAAGCTCTCGCAGCAAGAGCTCGACGCAAAGATGCAAAAGGCGCGCCTCCAGAACGAGGCCATCCTCAAGCGACGCGAGCTCGTCGAAAAGGACAAGGACCAGTACTCGGCCCTCACCGAAAAGGAGCGACAGGAGCGAAAGGAGAGGGCCAGAAAGGCAGTAGAGGACAAAAAGATCCAGGTGAGTCGACGCGCGGGTGCATATCCACCCCCCCTCCCATCCGCTGACCATGCTCGCGTTCCTCGCCCCTCTGCATCGCCCGCCGCAGCTCGCCATCGACGAGGAGCGCAACAAGAACCGCGAGCGCAAGCTCGAAAAGGTCGACCGCCGGCAGTGGGACTCGGAAAAGGCGGGCGACGAAGCGCTGTGGCAGACAAACTACCGCGAGTACTCGAGGCACAGCGGCGGTGGCGGAGACGAACGAGGCGCCGGACGCGGAGGACGAGGCCGTGGCGGCGGGGCCGGTGCCAGCGGACGGGGGCGTGGTCGAGGTGGTGGCGGGAGCGGGAGCGGGAGCGGAGCTGCAGCCGGCCCAAATCAAGGGCAGAGGAAGCCACAGCCGAAGACGGTCGACCTCAAGGACCAGGTACTCTTCCCGGCGCTGCCCTCGGCCGCTCCCAAGGAGGACAAGCCAAAGGACGGCGCTCCGGCGAGCAAGGCCGATGCTGCAACGACCAAGGACGATGCAGCGGCAGCGAGCAAGCCCTCGTCGACCCCGCCAGCTAGCACAACAGAGCCCGCCAAGGCAGAGTGACGCGGCGTATAAGCACTTTCGCACTGCCACCGCGGCCAGCATCGTAGACGTACCCACCCGCAATCTCTGTATACCACGAGGCAGCCGATCGCTGCGTCGAATCAAAGCATCCTCCAAGCCCGATTTGACCGTCCGAGGCCGATGCTTGTCCCTGCGTCTGTGTCCAGTTGTTGGCGCGCAGTGGCAAAACATGGCAGTGGTCGGATGGCTTCATGCCGATCCGATGCGAGCGAGAAGGAGGATGGGCGAGGCGAACGTCTGTGCAGGACTGGGTGCCGAGGCAGGCATGAGGGGCCAACAGCGGCGGCGGATGCACGTACTCGTCGAGCACGCCCATCGTTGGGTACGCCAAACCTGACACGCAGCGGGAGCCGTTGCGGTTGCGGTACGGCAAGAGCCAATCGGGTGCCAGCAGAGATGAGGCGGCATGGCCTCGGCGGCGCCGAGCGGCGCGGCGCGAAAGAAGCTTAGTTCGAGAACATCCGGATGGCATCGGTTTGAGCGACAACCCACGCGTCGAGCAACTGGCTCGCACTTTGCTGGCGGGTTTGGGGGCGGGGGCATGGTCGTTGGTCGGTGCCTCGGAGAGGGAGTCATGACGTGGAAGGGAGAGGGTACGAGCCATGTCGCTATGGCGCATGCTGGAAAGGGCGAGCAGTGAAGACGATGCGCATCGTCTCTCCGGCGGTCGCGGTGGCGGTGGCGGGGGGAAGGGAGGAAAGGGAGGAAGGGAGGAGCGAGAGGACAGGGCGATCGATGGCCGAAGGGCGATAAAGGAGACGCGCACGCGCACGCGCGACGACCCTAGACCCAGAGCTGGACGAACCGCCGAGCCGCGCTTTGGATACTTGCCTGACCCCACCCACCGAGCCCATCGTCTCTGCTTCTCGTCAAGGCCCTCCGTCGGTCAAGACGTCCACGGCTCTCTCGGAAGAAAAAGGGTCTTCGATGGGTCGCGCGCCGGCAATCGAACCGCATCGTCAGGAGTCGTCGTCTGGTCGGTCGAGCAGCGGTGGGAACACTTGGCTTAGAAGCACACGACGACACGAGCTAGCCGGCTTGGCTGGCTGCCGGAATGGCGGCGCGGGGGAAAGGTGGGCTTGCCAAACAGGCGAAAGAGGGAGGGTCGTACTGGACAACAGAGGCGACGGAACGCCATCGATCCCGGGCGCGCTTGCCCGCCTGGGGATCGAGTCATGTCAAGTCAGGGCCGAGCTTCTTGCAGCTGCATCTTGCTGCCTTGTCGGCATCGTCGGCAGCTTCTCACTGGCAGCTTCTCACTGGCAGCTCGGGCCGAGCGAGGGACGTCAGGCCGCCTCAACCGAAGATCGTGAACTGGCCGAGACGGGTCCAATTGATGTCGCTCGCTGCATTTCGCGGGCGGGGCGGGCCGGAACCAGCAGCAGTGGGGATGATCAGGTCAGTCACGCGGTTCGAACCTCGGGCTTTGAGGCAGCTGGCAGGATCGGGGCTCACCCTTCAGGCCGAAGCCTTCGCTCTGTCCGCTGTTGAGCTTGCTCAAGAACGAGGTGAAGTCCGCCAGCTGGTACGACGAGCCCGGGGCCCGGGCGCAGGACCACGACCTGCCTCCGAGCGTCTGGGGTGTGTGGGCCCCGCTGAGGCAGCTCGAGGCGCAGCCGTAGCGGGGTAGCCAGTCCGCTCCAGTGTCGCGCTGCCAGTTGATGGTCACCTCGTCCTTTTGATTGCCCGAGGTGATCCTCCAGTCCGAGTTGCCGCTGTAGCAGAGGAAGATCTGGTTGGCATGCAGTGCGGCCACCATGCTGTGGCCCGCATCGATCTTCCAGGTGCGGGCGAAGTCGGGGGCGCCACCAAAGCGCTGGGCCGAGCCGCCCGGGATGGCCGAGGCGACGAGGAGGACGAGGCAAGCAAAGAGCTTGACAAAGGGCTGCATCGTGATGCGAAGCTGTTGTGGCAGTCTGAGTTTGGGGGGGGGGGGGGGGCAAGATCAGTGCAAAAGGCAGGGATGCGGTGCGATCGTAGACGTGGGTTGGATGGTGTGAGGGGCGGGGTGGAAGGGAGTGCAGGCTACTCTTATAGGTCCTTGCCGAGCCGCAACGCTCGAGGGCGACGGCCAAGGGCCATGCTAGGAGACAGCAGCGACGAGTAGCCAGCTGTTCACAGCGCGCACGCTGCACTTCGAGGAGGACCTTGGTGACCGGCCATTCCCTGCGGCGGGCCTCCGCTGCCCCACCTTCGGCAGGCTTTCCGATGCACTCTCTGAAGACGGCGACGAGCACGGCTGGCACGTCCGGAGGACATGAAGGGCTTCGACATGCCGAAGGACTCGGGACGAATGGAGGAAACGGATGCGACCGAGTGAGAGAGGACCGGCTAGGCTCGTCTAAGAAGCCACTACGGCTGCCTTTCCTGGTGGGGTCGCGGCTATCTTTGCTGGCGGGGCCGCGCCCGGTGGCTTTCGGATGACTCTCCTGGTCTAGAATGGCTCTGCTTCCATGTGGGTCGTCGTAAATGAAGCTGGTGGGAGGCACATGAAGCCGACGTGGAGATGGGCGTCTGGGCGGGCAAGTCATATGTATGCATACGGAGAGCAGGGCAGGATTGACGGGGAAGAGGCGGGAGCAGGTCATCGACCCACTTCCGACGAGGTTGGCCGGCCAGCTGGCGGGACCTCGAGTCAGAAGTGGGGCTTGTCAGCTCACGGCGAGACGCCACGGCGAGTGCGGCGTGATGCAGCGACAGAAGGACTCGGTACCGAAGAGCGGGTGCCAGAGGCGGAGGTCGTCGATGGTGATGGTGGCGGTGGTGAAGAGCGGAGCCCGGCTGCAGGCTCGCGGCAGCAGCTGCGCAAGGAAAAGTGGCCGCCGCCTGCCGTGCGTCAAACGACTGCGACTCAGCAAAGTGGCCGGGCAGCAGAAGCAAGTGCAACCTCTGAGGCCACGTTGAAAGGGCAGGCTGAGAGCCCATCGAGGCCAGCATCCCCCCTTCCTCCAGCTTCCACCAAATCGGCTCAGCACCGAGCACAGGAAGAGACGATGGCGACAGCCTTGAGCGCCTCTGTGGCAGTCACGGGCACAGACAGACGAGCACCGCGCCGGCGGTCTCCTCCAACTGCATCACGCTCTCTTGCTTCGACACTGCGCTACGGACGATGCGTTGATGGTACAGCTTGTACAATTACAGGAGGAAGCGTCGCCTCGGGACGGCGTCTATGAGGCGTGCTGGACGCGGATACCGTCGTACAGCCGCCGCGACAAAGACCTAGCGGATGGGCTCGCGCACAGCATGCTCGCGCGAGGGTATGGGTGTTTGCAGACGACGAAGGCGATACCGTCGAGCTGCGGGCCAGGCCGGCATCTCGGACGACGTCGTGCCTGGCAGGGCCGTCACGTCTCAGCGCTGCTGCTGAGCCGCGACCGGCTTGTCGGTCCTCAGCAGCGTCGGAAAAGCTCGCGCAGAATCGTCGACGCTCTCCGGCGCCGCAGCCAGGCTGCCGTCCGCACCGGGCGGGTCGCCGAGGAAGAACGAGTGTCCGCCGCGCTCAAAGTCAAACGACGGCGCGAGAAAGTCGGCGTCGCGGACAAAGGCAAACTCGCCCGCCGGCGCCGTGTCGCGCAGCAGCTGCAGCGTCTCCTCGCCGTCGAGCTCGAGCGTGTGCTTCCTGCGGTGCGCCTCGGCGCTGAGCGGCGCCTCGCCGATCCGATGCGTGTATGCGCTGCCGGTACCGTCCTCGCCAATCAACGACGCGTCCTGGATCCGGAGGTGCGACGACAGCAGCGCAAACGTGTCGGCGTCGAACGAATCCGACAGCGACCTCTGCGGGATCAGCGACTCGGCCCCGGAACCTGCCGACAGCCCCGAGTCAACCTGGAACGAATTCCGATGGCTCGACTGCGCGGGCGACGACAGCGAGCTCGGCGGCAAAAGCGGGTTCTGGCCCAGCTCGGCGAGATTGAATGCGCTCAGCAGGTCCCTGGGCACCTCGAGCTTGACAAAGCTGGGATCCTCGCGGCCCGACCAGCCGGCCCACGAGGATGCGCTCCACTGTGGAGCCATGGCCGTGTCCTTGAAGGGCGAGGGCGCGTCCGACAGCGTGAGCTCGGAGTGCGCGCTGCTGCCGGCGTCCGAGGACCGCTCGAGGTTGGACAGGTCGACGTGCGGCGCCGGAAAGCTCGTCATCTGGCTGGTGGCCGAGTCTGGCGGCGGCGGTGGCGGCGAGACGCGCACGTTGGCGTTCATGGGCCGAGGCGTGCTTGCGGCGGTGCCTGTCGACGCGCTAGGCGCGGGCCGCAATGCCGGAGCAGCCATGGTCATGGCATGGTGCGGCTGGGCGGCGGGCAGTGATGCGAGGTGTGCCGCCGTGCTGTGGTTGGCGAGGAGCTCGAGCTGTCGGCTGAGGTGCTGCACCCTCTCCTCCTGCTGGTGATGGTAGTTGATGCTGGCCCTGACTATGTCGCCCTTTGTGGGCTTCTTGCCCTGCACGAGCGCCTCTTGCAGCTGCGGGATGAGGCAAGCGAGTTCGTTGAAGCGCTCGTTCATTGCCTCTCTGCGCTCCTTTTCGACGGTGCTGTGGCTGGCCTTGGACGAGGGCGAGAGCTCGCTGCGCCTCTTGCGCTTGGCAGGTCTGGGCTGCGGCGTCGACGCAGACGCCGAGCCGGGCGAGTCGGACGCAACGGCCGTGGCCGACGGGATCGCGGTCGTGTTTGACAAGGATGATGAGGCGGCGTCGGGGCGTTGGGTGCTTTCTTGGTCAAGGAGGCGCGCCGCGCTAGGGCCGGGGGATCGACCTCTTGTGCTGGTGTTGGTGTTGGTGCTGGTGCTTGCTTCCGACGACGGCGTCGACCGCGACGAGCTCGAGGGGCGTGAGGCCGGTAGCTTTTTCTTGGGGGCTGCCATGATGCTGCTGCTGCGGTTGGTGGGGAGGGGTCCGAAGGGAGCGGGTTGCGGACGAAATGAGGTGTGCTGTTGCTGCTGTTGCCTTGGAGCTTATCAGTGGGGGGCTATGATTGCGGGCCAAGGCGAGAGCGTCGGTGGCGTGAACGATGGGATAGGCAGACAGGGGGCGGAGAGCGACCGGGTGGCGAAGGAGGATGTGGTGGTGGTGGTGGTGGTGGTGGTGGTGGTGGTGGTGGTGGTGGTGGTGGTGGTGGTTGAGAAGAGGAAGGACGGGTCAGGGGGGCGGGGGATGGCTGGCAGATGAAGGAGGCTAGGGGACGAGCGGTGGCCAATGCCGCCGTCTTTGTCGGATGATCCGCCGCGAAGCCAGACCAGCTCGAGGCGCCGAACGTGCGTAGCATCGTCCTCCCAACCTAGGCTAGCCTGGCCTCTAGCCTACCCTCTGCCGGCATGGCATCCTGCCTGCCTCTTGCCTGGCTGCATCTGCCTGCCTGTCTTGCTCTCTCCTCTGTGTGGCTGCAGCCGCTGCCGGCGAGCGAAGGTACGGTTCGGTGGTTGTGAGGCGTTGATACTCCTTGGCTGCCCCTATCTGCAGCTGGCCTCTGTTCCGCCGCCGCTGGGTCCTTGCTTTGTCTGCGCCACCCAGCCTAGCTCAAAGCACCACAACGCAGCCAAGCAAACAAGGCCGCTAGTCACGCACCAGGCCAGGCGAGGCTAATCAAGGAGCCAGCCAGCCCTTTTGAAGCCAGCCCTGTGAAGCCAGCCTTGCTTGCCGCGTTGCTGGGCGGTCGGACCTGCTTTGGCCCATGAATAGCGGCGCCGGACGGCGGACGGCGGACGGTGGACGGCGAAGGGCGAAGGGCAGCTGAGGCCAGAGCCAGGGCCAGGGCCAGAGAGAATTGGCAGCTGGGCTCGGGCCCCCTTTCCCTCCTCGCCAGGTCGAGGCACGGAGCTTCTGAGCGCCCGCCCGACGGGTTATCGTGCGTTGCGGATCGCACCGTATCGCATGGCAAGCAGCAGCCAGCCGGAGGAGGTGTGCGCGCTGTTCCGCCTCCTGCTTGCCTGCTTGCGAGCTGGCCCATGCCAACCCCCCGTACGCCGCCACCACCTCTATTTTCGTGGAAGCGAGGGCGCAGAAGAAGGTCAGGTCAGGCAAGGAAGCGGGCGGCCAAGTCGAGCGTCAGTCAGTCGAGCAGCGCCAGATCAGAGAGCGCGCGCTAGCCAAAGCCCCGCCTGCAAGATGCATGCAAGGCCCCCAGCTGCACGCTGCATGCATGAACCCAAAAGCGCGGTCAAGTCGCTTGGCCTGGGCTAGGCTGGCCTAGCTTGTGGCCTCTGAGGCTGGCCGGTCTGGCGATTCGACCCTCGCGGCGCTGGCCTGCCTTCGCTGTGGATATCCAGCCAGGGACATGGGGCCCACGTCAAGTCAAGACACAACCACCAGCAGGCGGACGGGCGGGCCCAGGCGGGTCAGCCACACGGTTCGGTTCCACGGCACGCTGCGGTCTGTGCCCGCCGTCTCTTGCCGGCCTGCCTGCTGATTATCGTCGCGGCGCCTCTCCAACGAGCAGCTGCTGAGCTTGCGAGATGGTATCGGTGGCCCTCCCGACCGAAGAGAGCTGGGCGTTCCAGAGATGATCGCAACGGCGACGACAGGGGGGCGGGGGCCCAGGGGCTTGTCTCTCCCCAGCCTCCCTTTCTCGATCCGACACGGGCTGGCACCCCTGCTGTACCTCCGGTCGTCTTGCTTCTGGCGCTCTCGCTCGCTTGTCTGCTGGAAGCGAGGGGGGCCTCGGAAAGGAGCAGGCCAAAGGGGGGCCGACGGTCCCGTCCCTCCCTCGTCTTGGACCGGGGGGTTTCATCATGAACATTCGCAATTCCCCCTAGCCTGCCTCGCAGGTCCGTTGAAAGGGCATGCTGCTGCTGCAACAAGAGGCCCGGGGGTCACCACGCCAGAGGGCGGACCGACCGACCGTATGACCGGCAGGACAGCGGACCAGTTGCCGCTTCCTACAACTGGACCAAAGGCAGCTAGACCAGTCAGGCTAGGCAGGCTAGGGCAACGAGGAGGATCTGCGCTGCGCAGCCCTGCAGCAGTTCACCTGCTCCGCTCTCGCCCACGCCGCCGCCGCCGCCGCTGCCGGCCGCCGCTGGACCCGAAATTTGCCACACGGACTGCCTCCCCTCGCCTACCGCCCTGCCCTGCACTCCAGTACGTACGTATGTACGGTGGAACGTGAGAGGTCGGTCGAATGGGCACCGGCATCGGCCCAACGTGCGGTCCTCACGGCGAAGAAGATGACGACGACGTCGACGGCGGTGGCGGCGGCGGCGGCGGCGGCATACGCCGGAAAGCTGGGAAATCGCTTCATCGGATAGCGTGCCTGCTCCGTCTCGCCTGGGCATCCGAACGAGCTCGCAATCAACCCGGCTGCCCGGCCTCATCCTGGGGCACGCACGCCAGAGGAGCCCGGTGGTGGTGTCGAGCTGTTCGGCGCCGTCGGCGTCATCTCGCAAGCTCCATACATCCATACGACGGTCAGCGGCCTGGCAGGTTGCACTGCAGACCGACTTCGGTCTGCAGGAGGATGACGGCAGCCGAACGGTAACCCTCGACCCCCGCATCCCTTTGTTGAGCATCCCTAGCTTGGCCTCGCCTGGTCTAGCCCACCTGGGCGGCATCGGACAGCCGTCGGCTCGGTCCTGTCGACAAAAGGAAGGGTCGCCTTATGTAGCTTAGCTTGCTTGTGCCCTTTCTGAGATGGTCATGAACCTGGCGGCGGCCGTCATCGCCGCAGCGGAGAGCGAGTCCCGTCGCAACTGTCCCAGCAGGGGATTGACCATGACCGCACGACCCGGACCGACCATCTGTCGACGCCACCCCGATTGTCCCGCGCCAAGCCTCAAGGCAGGAAAGAAGCAGGTTTGCCGTCGAAACAACCTGTGCTCCTTTGGTGAAGATTTGGGGTCCAGTTGATCTATCGCTTTCCGCTGAGCGCCGGCCGGCTTCTTTCCCTTTGTGGCGCAGGAGCAAGAGAGATAAGCTGCAACGGCCGGCATCTCGTCCTTGGCATACTCACGGTATTGCGGCGCACTCACCCAGCCTGGCTCGCTGCCTCTTTGAGAAAAGGTAGATAGATGGACGGCGTCCGCGTCTGCCGGCAAATGAGATCCAAGGGTTGCGCTGACCAGTGCCGCATCTCGAGAGGTGCCCGCCTGATGGATCCGAGCAAGACCGGCAAGCGCGGCGGGACCCGTGCCCCCGTATCTGCCTGGATCCGGGTAGTCTGACAAAGAGCGAGCGATGGGTACAGCACCTCTTGCGCGCTCCCTAGTCTGTCATTTCGGCGATCAAAGACGGTCGATGAGGCGAGAGAGGCAAACGGCTCGTAGGAGAGAGGTCAAGTCATGGTCGGGTGTCACCTCGAGTCGTCCCTCTTGCCCACGTCACAGCTCAGAGGGTCGGACCGTTGCAAGCTGCGATACGAGCACTTGCTGACCCCTGATTGCCCCGCCAGTGACAGAGCGGTCGGCACGGCTGCGGGTGCCGTTGCGCTTTGCCCAGAGGTTCGGCTGGACGTGCCAGATAGCGCTCGGCAGTGACTTCGCTCATGACCGTCGAGCTCGGACGGCAAGCTGAAACCCCAGCTGCAGCAGCAGTGGTACCGTAGCGCAGCGGCTAGTCGGGCCTAGCCCCGCACTGTGCTTCGTGGAACTGATGGTGCTAGGAGCGTGACCCATGTCGAGAGAAGGAAGGATGGCACCCGACGGTGCGTAAATTGCCACTTGGCCAAAGAGCCGAAGGAGTCAAGAGAGTGTTGGTGCGCGCTTTGTGCTGGTCTGCGTCGCTCGTCCCTCTTGGCCTGCACCTCACCCACGCTACCGCACTTGACTGGGAGCGCACGAGCGGCGCTCAGCATTGATCAATCAAAGGAAGGTACTCACCGGACCGTCATGGCCGTGCCGCTGCACCCGCTGAGCCCTCGTCTGAGCCGGGTTTCGCTCGGTCGCCTCTCGTACGGGCGACGGCAGAGAAAGTGGCAGGACGGGGCTCGAGTCCGCCGATGGGCAGCAGCAAGCAGATCGGCTCATCATGGCTCGTCATCGGGCGAGAGGAGCGGGATCCGTGGCATGGTAAGCTGTGGTGATTGCGTCTAGAGGTCTGTCTATGTTGTGCATGTCGCGCGCGGTCGCGGTCCCTTATCTCGAGCTCACCGGCCCGCGCATCGCCCCGCCGCCTCATTCCTTGTCGCTATACGGCGGGCTCGGGAAGCTGTTCCTGGGATCGTGGACGTAGCTCCTTACCATCCTGGGCGGCTGGTAGGGCCCCGCCTGCGCGATCCGGTCGTAGAGGTCCTGCTGATGCTGCCGCTGCCTCTGCTGCTGCGTCATGGGCATTGCCGTCGCCGCCGCCGTCGGCGCCGTCGTCGAAAAGGCTGTCGAACGGACCTGCCGTGTCGGCAGAACGCCTTCGAGCTCCTCGCCCTCGCGCCTCCGCATCTTGCCCTCTGCCTTGTCGACCTCGTCGCGCGTCTTGGCGTCGGTGTAGAGCCAGAGCCCGGCAAAGGTGAGGACGATGCCGACGAGCTGGAGGAAGCGCACCTGCTGGTGGAACCACACCAGCGCGAGGATGATGACAAAGATGCGCTTGAGCAGCGAAGCGATCGAGTACGTCACTGGCGAGACGAGCGAGAGGATCGAAAAGGCGAGGATGCTCTGCAGCGAGTAGACGATGCCGTTGCCAAAGATGAGCGAGAGCGTCTTGAACGTCGAGGCCGCGGCCGGGTCCGGCGTCGATGCTGCAAAGAGAGCGTGCGAGTCGTAATACAGCACCACCGGCAGCATCAGCTGCGGCCAGGAGGACAGCAGGAGGGGAAGCGCCCAGAGCGGAGCCGGTCAGCACGCGCATGAAGGCAGAAAATGGTGGCAGCCGTCAGCATGCTCGCTGCCAAATACCCACCACCGCAGAGCAGCCACTGGCATAGAAGAGCACGTTGAGCTTGTCCATCTTGGCGTCGTCGGAGCGGAGGCCGAGCTCACGCTCCTGCTTGGCCTTTTCGCCCTTGCGCAGCAGCTTCTTGCTGTAGATGTTCTGCGCGACAAAGACAAAGGTGGAGCCGAGGGCGGCAGTGAAGCCGACGATGTCGTCGGCGCTGAACGAGAAGCCGGAGCAGGCCAACATGACGCCGAAGGTGAGCGGCGCGAGGGAGAAGTAGGTCCGGGACGAGTAGCTGACGCCAAAGAGGTAGGTGTAGGAAAGCACCGTGAAGAGCGGGGAGAGGGCCTGGGGCGATCGATGCGCAAGAGTGAGGGGCGGCGAGCAGAAAGGAGGGGACAACTGTTCGTCAGCAGGAGAGCCATGCCCAGCGGGGTCTGAACTTCGAGAGGACCCTGGGCGGACGCACCTTGATCGTGTGGACCGTTGCTACGGGCACCCTGCTGATGGCGAGCGAGCTGAATATGTGACCGACGACGCCAAAGACACTGAGGCGGCCGACCTCCATCACCCTCGCCCAGCTGGGCTTGACAATTGTCGTCATGGCAAAGCCGCCGAGGAGGCGCCTCGAGCCGCAGAGGCCGGCGAAGAGGTGTACAAAGATGAACTGGATCATGGTGAGCGTGACCGGGTATGGAAAGGGCGGCGCCATGGGCCGTTGCGAGTCGGGAAGCGCCTTTTGACGAGGCGAGAGCGAGAGGAGCGCCTTTGCCAGGTTGGACGAGAGCGCCGATGATGTATACCATGCAAGGCAGCCGAGCACGAAGAGCACGGTGGAGCGCGATGGCAGCGTGAGGCTGATCGAGGCGGCGGAGCGGGTGCGGGGCCGGGCGGCATGGTGCGGTGCGTCAAAGAGCGAAGGCCTGCCGAGGGTGGCGCGGTGCTTTGCTGCGTCGTTGCTGCGAAGGGAAGTGGGCAGGCGGCTGCCGGACGCTGGCAGCAGTACCGGGGGCACGATCCGGCGTGCGCTGTCCAGCAGGCCGCCGAGGGTCGTTGAGGGCATTGTCCAGCAAGAGCACCCGAGAATGTGATGGGATGCAACGGAAGAGCGAGGCAGCGGGAGGGGAGGATGGAGGCTGGTCGTGAGGATGGGCCAGGTGTCGCTCGGTCGCGGCCTGGCCACGTTCCCCCCCGACCGCCGGCCTGCAGGTGTCTTGCAGCTGGGCGGGCCAGAGGCGACCCAGGCTGGCGAAAAAAGTGGAGAACTCGGCTGGGCCCGCGTTCCGAAGTTTCGGCCAGCCCCGCTCTCGAAATTCCAACTCCCCATCCTCACCGGCTCGGATCCGCAGGGGCGCCTCTTGGCTGAGCTAGGCCAGGCCTGCTCCACATTTTCTCAGGGCCACGCCAGGCTGCGGGCTGCAGGCTTGCCCCCGCTCGGGCCAGCCAGCCCGGCCTGCTGGTTTGGCCGCCGCCACCACCACCACGGCATCCCCCCCACTTGCTCACCATCTCCCCGCCCCTCGTGCTCACGGGCAACATCGACGCTAGCTTTGAGCCCCTCTGCATCCGCCCGTCAATATGACCGAGGCTGCGCAGCGCGACGACGCTATCCACACTCACAAGCAGGTCCACCTCGCCTCGGATGACCCCTTCGACTGGGAGTCGTACATGTGAGTGACAGGCCGCCCTAGCCTCCGCGACGCCTCGACTCTGTGTCTAATTGTCGCCTGTTCCATCTCTGCTGGATGAAACTCCTTCCCGCAAGCTCCCCGTACAAGGGCCTGGCCCGCATCCAGCGACTCATCCACCTCGCCAGCTGCTGCCCAGAGCTGCGCCAGCCCTGCTCGGCCGCCGCCCTCGACCTGCTCAAGGAGACGACCCGCGACACGTCGAGCTATCACCATGTCCTGACGCTCCACAACACCGATGCCAGCGGCAGCCTCATCTCCGCCGCTGAGCGCAAGCAGCTCGACTCGGAGTGGCTCGCGCAGACCGAGGCCCACAACCGCAGCGAGCAGGAAAAGCTCGAGCTCGAGCTGCGCAACTACCAAAACAACCTCATCAAGGAGAGCATCCGCATGGCCCACCGCGACCTCGGAGACCACTTCCGCTCCACGGGCGAGCTGCAGGAGGCGCTCAAGTCCTACACCCGCACCCGCGACTTCTGCTCGACGAGCGAGCACGTCATCGAAATGTGCCTCAACGTGGTCGACGTCTCGCTCCGCCTGGAAAACTACGGCAACGTGCAGACCTTTGTCTCCAAGGCAGAGGGCGTGCTCGAGACCTACGTCCCCAGCGGAAGCGGCAGCGGCAGCAGCTCGAGCGGAAGGAAGCTCAGCTCGGCGGCCACCGGCAGCAGCAGCAGCGGATCCATCGCACCGCCGACCAAGGGCGGCACCACGGCCGGTGCCGATGCCATCGGAGCGCTCTTCCGCGCCGGCGGCAGCTCGGCCGCCTCTACGAGCCAGACGGGGGGCAACACGGGGTCCACATCGGGCGGCAGCGGAGGGGGCAGCAGCAGCACCGCGGCCGAAGCGGCTGCGAGACGGCAGGTGGCCGAGATCGCCGCCAAGCTCAAGGCGGCGCAGGCTCTGGCTGCGCTCGGCCTCCGACGCTACGAGTCGGCTGCCAGGACGCTGGTCAGCATCGACCCTACTCAGGCAACGGCGTTGGGCGACTACGTATCTCCGTCGGACGTGGCCATCTACGTGGTGCTCTGCTCGCTGGCCACCATGGAGCGCGGCCCGCTCAAGGCGCAGGTGCTGGACCAGGCAGGCTTCCGCACTTTTCTGGAGCACGAGCCGCATGCCCGCGAGCTGCTCGACGCATTCGCCGCGGCGCGGTTCAGAAAGGTCGGCGAGATCCTCGAGCGATGGAAGGTGAGTTGACGCACGGCAGGGAGGAGCAGGTCCACGCTGCACCCGACGTGCGCTGGCGACAGCTCGCTGACAACTCCATCGCCTCGTCCCCCTTTCCTCGGCCGCCGCCGTCGACAGAGCCGCCACGTAGTCGACCCGAACCTGGCGCCGCACATGGAGGCGATCCACACGGCGCTGACGCGGCGCGCGCTGCGTCAGACGTTCAGCCCATTCGACAAGATCAGCATCGCGAGGATGGCGAGCGCGTTCGGGTGGACCGAGGAGAGGATGGCGCGCGAGCTGATCGGCTGCGTCGAGAGGGGCGAGCTCAAGAACCTGGCGGGCCGGTCGGCGCTGGGCGTGTCTGGCGAGGCGAGGATCGACTGGCGGGCCAAGACGCTCGAGTACCACGTCGCCGACAGCCGCAAGAAGCTGTTTGAGACGGCCATCAAGAATGGCGAGAAGATGGACCGCGAGAACAAGCGCCTGCTGCTGCGCATGAAGCTGGTCGAGCACGGGTGAGTGGCAGCAGGTGGCGCGGCGCCGGTGTCGCGCATTTTCGTCAGTAGACACTGTTACTGACGCCCCTGGCTCCCCTGTCTCTGCCTCGCGCCACTCGTCAATCGGCAGCATCGTCGTCAAGGCTCCCCCGGAACGCGAGCGAACCGGAGGCCAGCAGGCCGAGGCGTGAGCTGGTGCACTTGCTGCGGAAATCCATAGCCCGTGCTCCCTACATCGCGGCGGCGCTTCTGTATCGATAGTCGGTGACATTGTGAATGGCCAGCTCGGCTCAATAGTGTCTCGTCTGTTCACGCTTCGGGTTGTGCGAGAGTGGGGAGGAGAAGAGACGTGGGCCGTTTGGGCGTCGGCGGAGGAGGAGAGGCTGTGAATTGACGGCTGACCTGGCCTGAGCCTGAGCCGGAGCCGGATCCGCGTGGCGCGGTGATCGAACGGGGCGGGCGGCCCTCTCCACATGAAATACGCGGCGTCCACGGCTGGCTTGGCCTGCCTGAGGGCGGGCCCGTGGGCCACCTCGCTCCTGCCGCCTCACCACCGCCACGACCTTCTCTCCACCATTACCACACTCCACCATCTCCGCGCCACGCCACGCTTGGCCCCATTCACACCACCTCGCGCCCTATCGCCACATTTCTGCTGCTCTCCTACTGCAACGGCGTTGACTCAATCCTGCTCGCGCCCCCACTGCTGCACCGCTTGTCGACCCGGCCACTCGAAGGCCACACCTCCTGGCCCTCCGCCCGTTGCACCACTCATCTGCAGCCGCCACCACCATCACAATTATGTCTGACGCACAGCCGAACAGCGGCGCAGGCGGCAGCGGCAATGGTAATGGCAACGGCCAGCCTTCGCAGAAGCCCGACGCAGGCGATGCCGCCTCTGCAGCTGCAGGCCCGTCCAGTGTGACGGCCGATGGCGATACCAAGATGGCGTCCAGCGAACCCGAGGAGGAGCCGCTGCCGGACGAGGTGCTCAACGCGTCGATCGACGAGATCCAGACGCGGACGCGGCTGCTGGAAAACGACGTCAAGGTGATGCGCTCGGAGCACATGCGGCTGATGCACGAGCAGTCGTCAAAGCGCGAACAGATCAAGGACAACACGGACAAGATCAAGCAGAACAAGATGCTGCCCTACCTCGTCGGCAACGTCGTCGAGATCCTCGACATCGACCCGGACATTGACGAGGAGTCCGAGGAGGGCGCCAACGTCGACCTCGACGCCCGGCGCAAGGGCAAGTGCGCCGTCATCAAGACGTCGACGCGGCAGACCATCTTCCTACCCCTCATCGGCCTCGTCCCCGCCGACGAGCTCCGGCCCGGCGACCTGATCGGCGTCAACAAGGACAGCTACCTCGTCCTCGACAAGCTGCCGGCAGAGTACGACTCGCGGGTCAAGGCCATGGAGGTCGACGAGAGGCCCACCGAGACCTACACCGACATTGGCGGCCTCGACAAGCAGATCGAGGAGCTCGTCGAGGCTATCGTCCTGCCCATGCAGCAGGAGCAGAAGTTCAAGAACCTCGGCATCCGGCCGCCCAAGGGCGCCCTCATGTACGGCCCTCCAGGTGAGTGGCGGGCCAGCAGGAGACGTTGGCACTATAGATGCGACCCCCATTTCGCCACTGCCGCTGTCGCTGACCGCTTCTCTGCCATCTTCGCCCTTCTTCCTCCTTCCCTCTCTCAACCCCGACAGGCACCGGAAAGACGCTGCTGGCGCGCGCGTGTGCGGCGCAAACCAACGCGTGCTACCTCAAGCTGGCCGGCCCGTCGCTGGTGCAGATGTTTATCGGCGACGGCGCCAAGCTGGTCCGCGACGCATTCGAGCTGGCCAAGGAGAAGGCGCCGGCCATCATCTTCATCGACGAGCTCGACGCGATTGGCACGAAACGTTTCGACTCGGACAAGTCGGGCGACCGCGAGGTGCAGCGCACCATGCTCGAGCTGCTCAACCAGCTCGACGGCTTCTCGAGCGACGAGCGGATCAAGGTGATTGCCGCGACCAACCGGATCGACATTCTCGATCCGGCGCTGCTCCGGTCCGGACGGCTGGACCGAAAGATTGAGTTCCCGCTGCCCAACGAGGAGGCGCGCGCGCGCATCATGGAGATCCACTCGCGCAAGATGGCCGTCGGCCCCAATGTCAACTTTGAGGAGCTGGCCCGGAGCACCGACGAGATGAACGGCGCGCAGCTCAAGGCCGTCTGCGTCGAGGCCGGCATGATTGCCCTCCGCGAGGGCGCCACCGTCCTCGACCACGAGCACTTCCACGGCGGCATCCTCGAGGTCCAGGCCAAGAAGAAGAACGACCAATTCTACTTTTCCTGAGCCGCCTTGTCGTCGTCGCAGTCGGCGCATGCATGCATGCAATCGATCCTTGTCTTCTGGTCGTCACGTTAGTCTTCGCCGATGGCCCGGCGAACGTGCAGGCGTTTGTGGGAGTGCGATCGAGCGAGCGCAAGGTCAGCTGATCGGACGTCTTGTCTCTTGCGTGTGTGTGCATGGCTGCACGTGCTGATCTCTACCCGGCTTCTATGGAGCGCATCGCAGTGCGTCACAGTTCAGCCCACCCAGCCAGATCCTCTCCGTCGTCTGCAGCGTCACCTTCGCAGCGTTCCTCGCCATACGCCTCGACGTCGTCGTCGTCGTCGTCGGTAGAGGCGGAAGCCTTGATATCGGCCGGCTCCAGCTCGGGCGACGAGGATAGTTGGCGCTCTGGATCCGAAAGGGATGCGTCGCTTTCGAGCACCAGTTCGGGTCCGGCCTCGTCGTCGTCTTTGGCGTCTGGATCGGGCTTGATGAGGGACGCTGCATCGTCCGCCGGCTCGACTTTGACACGGCGGGCCATGTCGACGTCGATGGGTTGGTCCGGATCCGGCTTGATCGTCGCACCTGTGTCTGTAGACTGCGCTGGCGGTGTGGCGCCATCTGCGGCGGGAGGTGGAGCGGTATCGCTGCTGACCTCGACCGGTTGCGAGGGAGGTCCAGCATCGGGCCGGGTGGCGGCGGACGGCGCGGTGGTGGCATCCCCCCGCGTCATTGCCTCCGCCTCGGCCAGCAGCATCGCCTCCTCGTCGGCATCCATCTCTGGCAGCAGGCCGTCGGCGGTGGCGGGCACATCGACACTATTGTCCTCATGCCCGTCGTTGCCCTCCTCGCCATGTCTTCCCTCGCTCCCCTGTTCACCGCCACGGCCACCGCCGGCGGCCCCGCCATGTTCGCCTTCGCCAGCTCCTGCCTCGCCCGTCGACGGCGCCGTATGGAGCGGATTCTCAAGGCCGTGTAGCTTCTTGTCCAATACCTGGATCGTCCTCCGCCTCGCCAGCAGCAGCCGGTCCGCCTTTGCCACGTTGAGGTCGGGATACTGCTCCGCCTTGGCCTCGGCAGAGACTGCGGAAGCAACGCCCCCGTCAGCCGAGGCCGAGGCAAAACCGTGGCCCCGTTCAGCCTGGGCGATCTTTGCGCGCAACGATTCGACCTTTTGATCCAAGCCGTCGAGCTCCATCCTGCGGTGCTCGAGGGTCTGGGCCTCGATGTGGCGCTCGAGTGCGCGCCTGGCGGCGTTTTCAATGTGCTCGAAGCGGACGGGACCCAGGAGCTCCCCGCCGTACCACCTGCTGACGATGACGAGGACGTCGCTGGCGCCCTCGTCGCGGGCGACGCGGAGGACACGGTCGCCGCCCCACTTTTCGCCGTCGTCTTCCTTTTCCTCGTGCAGCGCAAAGTCGTCGGGCCCCGTCAGGCCGGCGCGTCCGCGTTTGGGGGAGAGGACGCGGTAGGCGTACATGTCGTGCGAGGACCCGCGCTTGTTGGCGGGCGCGTTGGCGAACTGGGGCGGCAGCAGCGTCACGGGGACGGTGGGGTGGACGAGGCGCGAGAGGTGCGAGAGGAGCGCGGCGATGTGCGACGCCGACGTCGTCAGGAGCGGGTAGACGTAGCCGATGAAGAGCGAGGAGCGGTCGACGATCTGGGCCGCCTCGCACGTCGTGGGCCAGGGCAGCGACGAGAGCTCGTCGGCGCTGCTCGAGGCCGAGGGTCCGACGCCCAGCCACGAGGTGAGCGAGCGTGGGCCCGCGGTGGCGGTGGCGGGCGTGCCATTCGCGCCGTCTGCTGGAGCCGAAGCCGAGTCTGAGTCCTTTGTCGCCGCCGCCGCTGCCGCCTTTCGCGATCGCACGTTTGCCCACGCCGCTTCGGCCTCGATGCGAGCCTGCTCTCGCTCCGCCTCGGAGTCTACGTCGTCTTCTTCTTCGTCGTCGTCATCGTCGTCGCCGTCGTCGTCATCGCCGCCTCCGCCGCCTTTGTTCGCGGTAACAGATTGGCCCTCGGTTGCCTTGCGTTTCGAGGGCGCTCGGTCGATGCTTGCCTTTGCACGTTTGGAAGGCGCATCGGCTGCATTCTTCTTGCGTTTCGTGCCCTTTTGCGCAGAACCGTCTGCTTGGTTGGCCGCGCGTATCTGCTGCACCAGCTCGTCGTCGACATCGGACGCGTTGTCGCCGCCGTCGTCTTCATCGTCATCATCGTCGCGGATGCTGCCGTTGCGGGAAGGTGGGCCACGACGGCCTTGCCTGCGTTTCCTCGCCTGGCTCACGTCGGGATCGGGTCTCCACTCGTCTGCCGAGTCGCTATCGGCTTCTTCGAATGGCGATGCACGATCATCGTCGTCGTCGTCGTCGTCGTCGCCGTTGTTGCTGTCGTCTTGTCCGTCGTCGGATGCGGACGCTGCGCCTGGCGGGCTGAGTCGATGCTGGGCGCCGGGGCGTGGATGCTTTGTTGCGGATGCGGCCGGGTCGCTGGCTGTAGATGTGGCTGTGTTTGCTGACCGACTGGCGGCGGATCGTGTGCGTGGTGGCATTGCTAGGAGTGGGGAGAGGAGAGGGGGCTACCGTTGGGCAGGGATACTGATGGAGGCTGAGAGGGAAGGCGTCGACGTTGATGTCGAGCACAGAGGGCCAGTCAAAGTGGAGGTTCGAGGGCCCAGCCCTGCTTTGCCAACCTCGGAAGACGGAACCCGGATCCGCAGCCGTCCGTGCCCGTGCCCGTGTCCTCGCCCTCGCCCTCTCTCTCCCCCCCCACTCTGTGGCACCCCCCTCTCAACCCCCTCTCTTCCTGTCCAGCAACCATCATCCCCACCACCACCCGCAGCACGCACGCACTCGCTCCCTCGCAACCGACATGCTTGACATACTCTCCGAGCTGACAAGGCCGACCTCTGCTCCAGCCTGATCGTCGCGAGCACAGTGAGCCCTCCTCCCCCACCATGGCCTCGACACCCGGCCCGCTCCAGAAGCTCCCCTACGAGCTCCTCCTCGACATCTGCAAGCTGGTTCATGTCCGCGACCTCTTCAGCCTCCGCCTCACCTGCAAGTCCATCTGCCATGCCACGCACTCCCTCGGCCTCTGGCGCCACCACCACGCCCGCCTTGGCCGCCAGCTACCCGTACAGCCGCTCCCTCAGCGCATCGACGCAACCCGCGGCCCTCTCGCAGACCCAGAGACAGACGCACGCCTCGCACTAGAAGCCACCCTCTCTCATGCCATCGGGATCGAGCAGCGCTGGTCCACCTACGCCGCCCAGCCGCTCACATGCTACAAGACCCGTGCCCACATCGACCGCATCACCTGCCTCAAGCTCGTCCTCGGGCCACTCGCGCCAACCGCCAGCGGCGGCGGGCACAAACCACACCCGCGCTACCGTCGCAAACGCTGGCTCATCACGGGCGCAGTAGACGGCTATGTCCGCGTTTGGGACCTGACTGGTCCGCTGCCTGATGTCAGGACTGCTACGGCCGCCGGCGGCAGCGATCCGCCAGGCTCGGCGGCTGGCCACCAGCGCCAGCACATGGGACCCGCCACGCGGCCCAGCGACGACGACGCAGGCCAGCTCGGCCTGAGCAGGAGCCACAGCATCAGCAGCACAAGCAGCGGCATCAGCACCGGCACCGCCACCAGCAGCGCCGCCGCTAGGGACCTGGCCGCTAGCACGCTCGAATCCACGCTACCGCCCATCACCCCCTCACAGGCACGCCGGCCCAACAGCGACGCCCGCCGCAGGAAGCTCGACCACCTCGTCGCCGAGGTCGACACCGGCGGCGACGTCACCGCCCTCGACGCTGTCCTCTCGCCCGACGGCAACAGCATCCACATCGCCGTCGGCTCCTACTACAGCGCCGCCGGCTGCCTCGTCTACGTCCTCGACCTCACCACAAAACCCACCGTGCTCGACCGTCGGGGCGCCCTCGACCCGCCCCAGTGGTGCGGCACCCAGTGCGTCTCGATCCTCGACGATAAGGTCGCCGTCGGAACCTACACTGGCCTGCTCCACATCTTTGACTGGCGCACCGGCTGGAGGGGCGGCATCGAGCGCAGCGACCGCAGCTCGACGGCTGCCGTCAAGCTCTTTCCGCATCACCTGCTTGCCGTCGGCCGACTTGGCGTGGTCGAGCTGTTTCTGCTGCCGAAGGAGCCAGAGACGGAGAGGGCGGCAGACGACGATGTGCAGGCGCGACCGAACAATTCGCGTCGCGGCAGCAGCAGCCGTGCCTCTGCTTCGACCTCGAGTCTCCTCAGCCTCGAGGATCCGCCCAGCACGACGGCCGCACCGCCGACGACGGCGACGACTGCCAGCATTAGCAGCAGCAGTAGCACCACCTCGAGGACCCTCGATGCCAGCTCGCAATCGAGCTTGGATAGTCAGGTATCGCAGCAGCAGCAACAGCAGCGCGCTCGGAATCGTGCTGCGGCCGCAGCTCCCTCGACAGCAGCTTCCGGAACCTCGGCGGCCCTGCGCCGCTATCCGATCCTCGAAGGCAACAAGCCGCTCCTGAGCGTAAGCTTTGGCGAGGTGCGCAGCAGCGGCAAGCTGTCGAGCACCGACGGCGGAGAGGTCTGTGCCCCCCTGGCCCTGTTTGCTGTCGATCTGGGCGGTCTCACTCATCTCGAGTTTCAAGCAGCGCCGGCGCGACCCGACAGCAGCAGCAGCAGCAGCAGCAGCAGCAGCAGCAGCAGCTCGAAGGGCGACCAAGGAGAGGCGGTCGAGGCGGTCGAGGGATTCTCGTACGCCTTCCCGCCCTCGATCGTCAGCCGACAGACGCTGACGGGCGAGAGGCTGATCGGTGCGGCGGCGGGGGCGAGCGGCCGGCGTGGCGTCCTAATGACGAGCCTCGGCGGGGTGCCTCCGGCGTGCAGCGTACGAGGATACTGCAGTCGACGAGGGCAGCAGCGTGCCTCTGCAGCAACGTCCTCGCGCGACGATGATTTGCGCGGCAACACCTCCAACGACGACGACCACGACGACGACGAAGGCGACGATGCGGGGACACGACTGCTTCTGCCACTACGGCCGACGCCCAACGTCTCGCTGCCGCCTGTACGTCCCAGCGCGGCGATACCGCCGACGGCAGCAGGCCCACTGGGCGGTATGACCTGGCCCGTTTCCGATCTGCGCACCACGGCCACGGCCACGGCCACGGCAGCTGTACCGCCGGCGACGACGGCGGCCGGCCACGGGATGCGGCGGGTGGCGTACGAGGGAAGCCGGGCGGACATCCTGACTGAAGTGGCGCTCGACGAGGAGAGCGGCCTGGTCTGTCTTGCCACGGCGCGCGGAGTCGTCTGGGTCGCAGACTACGGGCAGGAACCCGCCAGCGACGACGGCAGCGGCAGTCACTAGGTGCTACGACATGGTCTTGGCGGAGCGGGTGTACGCACGGGCTCAGCAGAGGCAATCAAAGCGATGCCTGTAACAATGTAGCGAGCAGCGCGAGCAGCTTTGGGTCGTGATAGTCGGTCGAGGTAGACGGAACTGCTGTGCAGTACCAATGAAGAACTTGGCACAGAAGCAGCTCATGGTCCAGTCCCGCCCTGATGAAGTGTAGCAAGAGCTGAACACTGCAGGGCACCTTGGCTGACAGCATATCCCACAGCGCCCGCCGCAGGGAGGCGACAGGTGGGTGGAAGCCACCATCCCAGCCCAAGCCCAGAAGGAGTTTTCGATACACGCACGGTGTGGACTCCTACCCTACCATCCCCCCATCTCACCATTCCAGGTTCCCCTTCCCTGGACCAGTATAGCATACCGTTGCCCTTTCACTAAGCCAGCGATAGCTAGCTGCAAGTTTTGCCTCCCCCAAATCTACCTGGCAGGCCCGTGTGCACCTGTTTTTGGGGAGGGAAGATGCAACAGCATCCCCTTGTACCCTTCTGATGCAACCGGATCGCTGCAGGGCGGCTAGGCAGGGGTTCGAGAGGGTGCCGAGTACGATGCTGCTATTCCCAGGTGCTCCTACCCCCCTCTTGGGTTGGACACGGGTGGAAGGTAGACGTGGAAGCCGGTTTTCCAGCTGGGTCCACTGGCATGTTCCCTATCGCGTGCAATGAGGCGTGCAATGAGGCCTTGGCATAGGAAGGAGCCTTCCGTCCGTCTTTTCATGTAGCCCTGCCCCTCAGCAATCCCGCCACCCTTGCGGTATGGCAACACGTTTGCCCCATCGCAAAAGATCCAGTCCCAAACTCCCCTCTACTTTTTGCCACCACAAGGCGAAGCGCAAGGTATAGAGAGGCCAGAGGCCACCTTCAGCGTTGTCAACTGAGAAGTTTGCTGCCCGATCCAGGCCATGTCGCTTGGAAAAGAAGGGGGTTTACGCAGGTAGAGTGGACCTGTGTCAGAGCCTCGATGCTGTCAAAGGTTTTCCCGCGCATTCTCTGCGCTGTCTCGATAACAAAGTGAGGGTGGGTGCGAGGGGTGCGGGAGCAGGCAGCGGCAATGAAGACGAAGGGGTGGCAAAAGAGACGCAGGGGTATGCTTTAGGGACGAGGCAGTGAGCGAGGGCAGGAAAGGAGCGTGGGGAGAGGAGAGAGGAAAGGCGGGGGGACGGATCGGTGACCAGTTGGACCCTTGCTTTTTGGTTTGATTAGAGCGACTGCGGGAGCGACGAGATGGTGTTGGAATGGCCGGGATTGTGCAGGACGAGAGCGGGGAGAGAGGACGAGGGACCCGTCAGGCTTGGCCGTACGGCGCGGCGGGATCTGCTGTGCCGGCTGGAGTGGCCGTGGCGGCGACGACGTCCGCGCCGCCATTACTGCTGTTCAAGCGCGAGCGGCGTCGACAGACGGCCACGACGGTCGAGGCGAGCACAAAGACGACGGCCAAGCAGCCCGAGACGAAGAGGACAGCCGTGATCGGCACGTCGCTGAGCACCTGGCGGAACGCGTCGTGAGCGCCGCCTGCCGTGCTCCTGTTACGGTCAAAGTGGATGCCGGCGGCTTGGGCGCCGCGGTCTTGGGATCGCGCCATGTTGGCCACCTGCACCGCGCAGAGCGCCGTGGCGTAGGCGAGCGATACGGCCGTCGAGGCGATCCAGATGGTCTCGACGCCGACGAGGAGCGGGTCGCCCCGCCGCCGTGGCTTTTCCCGCTCCGCCGCGTCTCGACGACGGCGGCGAGGCAGCATCGAGAGCAGCACCAGCAGGAGCGTGACGTCGACCAACGAGAAGAGCACCGCCGCCACGGCCACCAGCGCCGGTTGGATCGCATCCCACAGATACGGGGCGGGGAAGACGAAGAAGAGCGCCTGCCAGACGACTGTGGCCGCCAGCAGCGCCAGCAGCACCCAGCACCGGGTGAGGAGACGATCGCCGAACGGAAGCGATGCCTCTCCACAGCCCAACTGCGCTTCTGCGTCTGCAGCCGACCGCTCCACGTCTGGCTGCTGCGCCATCATCGACTGGCGATGGTCCATCAGCCCAGTCAGCGGCTCCCGTCGGAAGACGTCGAGAGACGGCATCGACGCGCGCGGCTCCTGCTGCTGCTGCTGCTGCTGCGAGGCGCGGCGGACGGTGCTCGACTTGCGACGTAAAGACGACGACCGCTGGCGCACGACGAGCGGCGCCACCGTCGCACGCGCCGCATCGTTCCAGGCGATGCTTGACCGGTTCGAAGGCTGGCGGCTCTGATCGCGATCCGAGGCGATCGTGCCGTCGGCATGCCTGCTGAGCGAAGGTGCTGCGCCACCCGTCGAGCCCGACGTCGTGCCTGTCGCCGCAGCCGAAGGCGAGAGGACGCCTCCATCCGGATCGCTGGCCAGCTGCTGCAGCACCCTCTCCAGGGCGGCGCTGCGGTGGATCTCGAGGTCAAAGCTCTCGCGTCGCGGCGTCTCGGGCGGCGCAGACGGTGCGTAGCCCGGCATCCCGCGCAGCAGATCAGACGGGCCAGAACCGCCATCGACGGCCGAGATGCCCAGCCCGCTAGGACAGCGCGATGGCGGGTTCGGGTCAGGCGCGAATATCGGCCTGAGTCCATCGCCAACAGCATTCGCATCCCGCTCGATGTCGAGGCCCTCGGGGCTCCGAGGCCGCTTCAGCGGCGTGGCGGGCATGCCGCCTTCCCCCTGAGCGGGTCCGCCACTACCTCCGAGCGGCAGGAAGATGTCTTCGAGGTGCGAGGCGGACTCGGTGGCCACCTGCCACTGAACCAGCTCAAACGTGCTGCCGGACCGAGCAGCGGGCGGGCCGTCGAGCGGCGAGCCTTCGCTCGTGTCGTGCGATCCCTCTGGGCTGTCTGGCGACGAGATGGCCGAGGTGCCCGAGGTCGAGCTCGTGCGCGGCCGATGCGTGCGCCCACGCCGGGTGTCCGTCTTCTTGGCCTTGGACGTGTTCCAATAGACGCCACTGCCGTAGCCGTGCCCGCTGGCGCCGCTGGCCACCATGGTGCTGTCGGTGCTGCCCTTGTCCATCGACGTGGCCGAAGACGGCACACTCCGCAGCTGGTCCGACGACGAAAAGGTGCCGTGCAGCCGGCCCGAGCTGAGCGACTGGCTCAGACGGAGCTCCTTGCGGCGGAAACGATTCGGCGGCTTGGGGGGCGTGCCGTCCTCCGAACTACCGCTCCTGCCGCAAAGACCGGGCTCAGCCGGTCCATCTTCGAGAAGGCTCTCGACCTCGGCGGCCGCATTGATGATGGATTGTTCGCCCGCCGCGGCTGGCCGACCACGATCGCTGCGCGGGGGGGAGGGCCCGCCGCCGCAGTACTGTTGTCTGGGCGGGGCCTCGTCCCCCCTTTGCGGCGATATGGGCGACTGCTGCTGGACCTCGATGCCTCCCTCGATGATAGGGTCTAGATTGGAAGGCAGCGAGCCCGGATAAAGAGCCTCGCTACCGGTGCCGCTGCCGCCCATGCCCCCTCCTTCGGCCTCTGAAGCACCCAGCACGCCGAGACCAAAGAGACGTTCCGGGTTGTCGGCGTTGTTACCGCTGTTGAGGCCGGAGGAGCGCCGCTGGAGGTACGAAGAGACCGACTGGACCGAGGGCGACCGCTCGAGCGTGCGGTGCTGCCAGGAGTCGGACGTTGATTGTGACGGTCCGGCCAGGCGGGGCGAGGCGGGGGTCATCGGGAGCATCAATGTGGGCGAAAAGGACATGTGGAAGGGGCTGTGGGGCGAGGCGTCCGACCAGCGCTTCCGCTCGGCGCTCAGGTTGAGCACGAGCGGTCCGGAGCGGGACCTGCGCAGGTCGGCATCGCTGCGGCGCTTGCCCAGAGAGCCAGCATCCTGGCCCGGCAGCGCGGTCGAGGGCGCGGCGAGGATGGTGGGCGACTCGAGCGGACGCCCGCCGGCCGGCGACGACGTGCTGGATCGGCCGTCATAGGGGCTGTATCCGAGGCTGTTGGTCCTGCTGGTGCGGTCGCTGTTGCGGTTGCTCCCGCCCGCAACGGCGGCAGAGCTCGGGTCGGCGGACCCATGGAGACCGTCGAGGCGGATCGAGGCGGTCGACCCCGGGCGAGATGCGCCGATCGTCGACCAAGAGGGCGACCGCTGGTACTGGACAGAGCGCCGCCGCGAAATCTCGGGGCTGTTCACGGCTGCGACGACGGGCCCGGGCTCCGAAAAGCTGCTGTAGCTCTCCGGTAGCCCTCTCGCGGCCTGGGTCACGAGCCCGGGGGATGACGGTGGCGATGGCGATGGTGGCAAGGGAGGGGATGAGGGCGGCAGCGTCGACGACGGAGGAGCCTGCGACTTGATTGCCGCAGGACCATGGAGAGGGTACGGATTTGCTGCAGCCAGACTGGCTCGAGGGCGTGCGCTCTCTTCGGCGTCGACTGCCGATGGCCGGCGGCGATGAGGCCTACAGGGTGAAGAGGTGCTGGCAGGGTCGGGAGGCGACGACCGCGGACATGAATATCGTGTATGAGGTCCAGGTCCAGCGCGGCAGAGGCAAGGGCAGCCGACTGGGCGGCAATGAGGTCAGGAGATTGTCGAGGCGGGGGTCGATGGTTTCCGTGTGCTGGCGGCGTGCAGTGGCTTTTCCCGAAAAGCAGAGCTTGACTTGACTAGAGCGGCATGGTCGGTGCCTATGGTGGCGGAGAGAGGTGCTAGCAATGGCGGCAGGGCTAGACAGGTAGGCGACTAGTTGCTGGCGTCCGGAAGTAGAGTCGATTGACGGGTCAAGGCACGACGGAGGCAAAGGAGCGTGGTAGTTCAGTGACGGGTTGCAGTGGGTCGATGGTCTGGTAGTCGGAGGGAGCGTGATGTAGCGGCGAGCACGGGAGGCGGCGGGTGACGGTGCCGAGAAGAGGGGCCAACCCGAGCGACGGACAGGGATGGATGATGGTGGTGCAGAGATGGTCCGCAGAGAATGGTGATGAGCCAAGAAGGAGAGACAGGCAGGTGACGTGAAGCGCAGGCGGACGGTGCGAGACTCTGTCGATGCGGCAGAAATGGCCAAGAAGGGTGTCGTAGGGACAAGAACAAGACGAGCAGGGCAGTCGGGAAGCCAGAGGAGAGAGAGGCAGAGGGGGAAAAAGTGAGAGAAGAGAGGGCGACAGACGGGCGAAGGCGAAGAAGGATCTCGACAAGAATCTCATTTCGACGAGCGGTCAACCGGACGTCGTCGTTGCACCCTGCCTCATAGTTAGGCCAGGCCTGGGCCCCGCCTGCCTCTCTGTTCGGACGGCTTCTGGTCCTTGATGGCTGGCGGCGGCGGCGGCGACCGGGCAGCATGGCAGGGCAGGCCTGGTATGGCAATAGAGTCAAACGTTGGCCGACCTTGGCCGTCGTCGACCCATATGTACATCTGTAGATGTACGCACGCACGCACTGGCACACATGGCCTGGCCAACACGGCTCGGCTCGGTACATGCTGGCGTATTGATTGCTCTGACTTACCGTAAGGCAGAAGCCAGCCAAGGTGTGCCCACCACCCCCTTTTTCGACAAGAGGAGAGAGACCAGCCCAGGCCACTGAAGGTAGGTACGTACCGTACGATGTGACTTTGGTTTTCACTTTGGCGCCAGGAAGACGCGGCCACGGGAAACCGACCCACGTCGAGCGATACAACAGTAGAGGGCGCAAACGGGGGGATCGGCGTATGAAGTCGTTGGCCGCCCGCCTCTAGTACCGTACCCGTAGCAATGAGCATGCGGTGCGGCATGACATGACATGGCATCATGCAGCTGGTGCCTCTTCCTGCCTGCCTGTGACAGACTATCCTGGACCAAGCAGGAGCTGCGGGGCCTTGGCCACAGGTACAGTAGCACCATCACCTTGGTCCTTGCAGCCAAGATGACGGCCAACAGCGACGACGGTGACGGGGACAGGCAGCCAAGGCAGGCAGAAGACCCAAGAAGGCCAAAGGCACAGCCCGCCCGGCGATCAAGCGCATCGGTGCGGTGTCGACGCGGGCATCGTCGTCGTCGTCGGCCCTTGGACGACGTTGGGTGTATGTTCCGTTTGATCTGATCTGATTCTGATCCTACCTCATGTCGCCCTCTCGGCTTGAGCTGTCGGTTGCAGCAACCGAAGCGGCCGCTGGCCTGGCCTGGCCTGGCCTGGCCTGGCTGTGCCCGTACGACGTCGATCCCCGCTCCGCCCGCGCCCCGCCCGTCAACGGTCGGATCTGTTTGTTGACAAACACCCCTTCGGCAAAGGCGCGAGGGCGTGCCGTCGGGGAGGCGGAGGCGGTCGACTGACCGACTGAGTTGCAATCGGCCAACACATCAGGAAGTTCAGCCCAGCGGCCAAGCAAGGCAAGGCGGGCGACGACGCGCCTGTCGATCTGTCTATCTGTCTGTATGTCTCGTTGGGCTTGCTGCGGTTGGTGCTCGTCCATCTCGAGCGTACCGTACCGGTAGCGCGATCGTGCCATGGTAGTTTCGATCGGTCCTCGTTTTCGTTGCGCTAGCGTAGGACATCCCCTACGAAAAGACTACAGCAGAGTCTTCCAGGCTCGCACTTCTTGCTTGCTTGCCTGCTTGTCGGACATCGTCTGCCGTCCCACGCAGCACGCACCTCGTGCACCTCAGCGTGCTGCACCCATGCAATCCTGCGTTGATTGCGGCCCTGCCACACTAATTGCGGCCGCGGACTTCGTGTCCGCGTCCATACAGCCGTTGTGTGCGTCGCTCCGCCCTCGACCTCGCCCCTCGCGGCTTGTTTGTCCACGCCCACAAACGCCGACTCTGCTCGCATGCTTGTGCGATCCCGACGACGTCGACCGGTCCTTGCCCGTAGCTCGCCTACTGTATCGTCGCCAGGCCGGGCCAGACCATCGTGTTCGTGTCCCCCGTCTCGCCGCGCGATGGCATGCCAGGCCTGATCTGACCTCCAAGGTCGTGACCAGGCCAGGCGTGTCTGGATGCGCTCGATGCCATCGCGTCGCGCCCGTCCACCTTGCCCGACGACAAGGCGCGCAGCTGTAGCTGGCAGACGAGCCGGACACTCGGTAGCCAGTCAGATTGGACCTTGTGTGGCGGGGCGTGGCGGGGCGTGGGCGGGGTTCGCGGTCTCATCCCGGCCCTCCAGGCTCCATCCGTCGACGCCTGCATCCTCGTCCGCCCATGAGACGTCCCCACGGGCTCGACTCGACCATGAACAAGGAAGCAGGATGGGCACCACCGTGCGGGCCTTCCGTCATGGCATGAAACGGTGTGACATCTGAAAGAGGGCCCTCAGCAGGACAGGATAGCACAGGATAGGGGGAGCGGGCGAGTGCCTCCTCGTCAGGGGTCGCGTGCAGGGGCCCACGTACCGCCCCTTCCTTGGCTGCATCGACGAGGTCACACATCGCGTTTCCTTCTCTTCCAAACCTCTGGCAGATCATCTGAGCTGCGGTACGTCGTCCGCCGTCTTCGCTCGCTGTACCGAACGGGTGTAAGGGACGATTGGCAAGGGATAGGGCGTAGCGAGGGGGCTGGCGGGCGGCGCCATTGATGCAGAAGTACCCAGTTACGCCGCCGGACGAAGGGCGAGACGAGGCGAGGCGAGGCGGACAAGCAAGGAGGTGCTCAGCGAGGGTCGTGGGCGGCAACGCGGGCGCCACACGCTATCTCAGCCACCACATCGGGCAGCGCCACGTTCAGACGAAGCCCCAGACGAGCACCAGGAGCCCCGTTCACGCCAGCTTGACCCTTCCATTCAAGATTCCCTTCTGCGCTGCGCTAGCCCCAGAGGATGTACGGACGTACAGTTGTACATCGACCGCCATCGTGGTCCGCGTCCATTCTGGTTCCGCAGCATCGACCAGTTGAAGACCTGTCGCGGCAAAGCAACGGACCCACAGTCCTGTGTGGATCAGGAAGAAGCGACAGTTTCCCGGCGGCCCGGCCGATACGGATGCCGTCCGAGCAGACGCCTACTGTAAGCTGGATCTGTACGTATCTACATACATCCTCAGAGCCAAAGGCAGGCGACATCGCAAAGGCACAGCAGGTCAGTCTGGCAAAGTCGGGCAGAGGCGGCCGTCTCGTGGCTTCCGCGCACGAGTCTCGTGGCGGGCCTCAATCTTCTCGAGCGCAGGACGAGGTCCGCGGACGTACTGCACAGCACGGTTCCCATGTCCTCGCTCGCTCTTGCATCGCCTGCATCTGTTGCGCCCGTCACCAAGGAGGGAGCTGAGAGGTCTCGCTGCAGCAGAGGCATCAGGATCCAGCCCAGCGCGAGCGGACGAAACTCCACACTAGAGAAAGAGAGGATGCGACCCGGCACCGACAACGACGGGCCGCCGAGAACAACCAGCGAGCATAAGGGGCTAGTGTGGATCTTTGGATCGAATGCGGCCGCAAAGGCGACGACGGCGACGGCGATGCGCGACTTGTAGTACATAAAGAATAACAACGAGCTACGCTCTTGGACCAGGAAGAGGGGAGAGGACCGACATGGGAACACAGTACACTGGGGTTGGAAGACGGACGGGTCGACGATGGAGCCGGAGCGAGGTAGAGGTAGAGGGAGCGCGAGGGGGCGCTCATGGTTGATGACGACGACGACGGGAGGAGACGGTGGTGACGATGACGAGCGACCAGGGACGGAGCGACGGACGAGCCGATGAAGAGCGGGTGAAGGAGGGGAGGGTGGAGGCTTGGTTCAACCGGCCCCCCAAAGACAGCAGGCAGGGATCAGGCCGAGGGGCAAGCCGGGGAAGCGTGGACAACGCGCGAGGCCCAAGAGGACGACGCCCTGGCGACTGCCGCGACCGGCCCCCTCACCACGGAAACTCGCGCTGCTGGAGGTCAAAGTAGGGGTGGGTGAGGGCCTCTGCCACCTTTATCCGCTTGTTGGGGTCAAACTCGAGCAGCCGGCGGAGGAGGTGGAGGAAGCGCTGGTTGTGCTTGTTGTGCGTCGCCGACTGCGGCACAATGTCCGACAGCTTCTTCATCTGCCGCACGTACCGCCGGCTGTTCTTGGGCGTCTCCTGGTTCGGGTAGTTGAGGTGTCCGCCGCGAAACAGGTCCGGCTTGTACGTCTCGGCCTTGCGCCGGAAGTCGTCGGGCATGACGCCCAGCACCGCCTCCATCATGGCCAGGTGCTCGAGGTTGTCGTGGGTCTGGAAGAGGGCGTCGCCCGTGTAGAACTCGACCAGGATGCACCCAATCGACCACGCGTCGCACGGAAACGACCAGCCCATCTGCAGGATGATTTCGGGCGCGCGGTAGTGGCGCGTCGAGACCACCGCAGAGTGGTACTCGTCGTTGAACGTGGCGCTGCCAAAGTCGATCAGCCGGATGTCGGTGTTCTGCAGCACGTTCTTGCGCTTGGCGTTGGCCCGCCTCGAGCTGAGGTGCACGTCAAAGTCGGAGTTGACCAGCAGGATGTTCTCCGGCTTGAGGTCGGTGTGCACCAGGTTGAGCCGGTGCAGGAAGGCGACGCTCTGGAGCAGCTGCTTGGCAAACCGCCAGATGTGCAGCGGCGGGAAGGGCTTGAAGTGGTTCTCCTTGAGAAAGTCAAACACGCTCTTGCCGAGCAGCTCCGACACGATGCAGACGTGGTTCTTCCAGCTGAACGTGTCGAGCAGGTGGATGCATTTGCTGAGTGCGCAAGAGGGGCAAGGACCAGGCGATGGTAGGCGGATTGCGGGCGTCAGCAGGGTCGCACTGGGCTCGCTCATCGAGCAGGTCCATCGGTCCAGCAACGGGCGGAGAGGCACACTCACTTGTCGTTCATCGGGTCGTGCTCCCGCAGCGTCTTGAGCACCCGGATCTCAATCTGGCTGGCGTCGCGGTATTTTTGGATCGCGCGGATAATCTTGATGGCCACGTACTTGCGCTCCTTGCGGTCAAAGCATTCGACCACCTTGCCGAACGTCCCTTGCCCGAGCTGGCCCAGGATCTTGTCTGCAGGCAGAGGATCGGAGATGATCGAGGCGGAGCCGAATGGGGGGTAAGAGTGTCAGCAATCCGGCGGCATGCTTTCTTCGAACATGTGTGCCAGGACGATCAACGACGGCGGCGGCGGCGGCGGCGGCGATACCCACATCGTGACGTGACGTTTTCGCCCTCGCGGACGATAAAGTGCCCCTCCTTGTCGTCGACGGGCAGGTTGGCCGCCTGCGCGTTCGCAAACGAGGCCGAGCTTGCATAGGACTGTGGCAACGCAACAGAGCACGGGAGGGAAGGGAAGGGGCCCAAGGTCAGCGGATCCACCTTGCGTCTGCGATGCGTGCGGCGCGCGGCAGCACTCACCTCGCGCGCACTCGCGGTGCCGTCGTAACCGAGCTGCTGTCCGGCTGCCGCCGCTGCCGCCGCGTTGCTGGCCGGATCGTAGCGCGCCGCATAGTCGAGCGCCCCGCTGCTGGCGGGGTAGCCACCTCGGTAGTTGGGATCGACCGCGGGCGCCATCGCGCCGGCGTTGTACGCGGTAGCGGCGCCCGGCATCGTGGCGACAGCAGCCGGATAGGCGCCGTTGGCAGCCGTGCCGGCGACCGGCGCGATCCCCGGCTGCACCGGATGGCTGCGCTTGCGCCGCTTGGTCGTCGGCCCGGCGACTGAAGATCCGGCGGGTGGCCCCTGCAACGTGCCCGGCGCCGGCGCGATGAGGTCCGCATCGTGGGGCATGGCAGCGAGGTGGTGGTGTTGTTGGAGGTGGGTGTCGGGCGCGGTTGGGGGCACGCTGCCCTGCGCCTTGCGCTTGCCCTTGGCTGCCGCAGCTGTCCCATCGTCGGCGTGGTTGGCGGCGCCGTTGTACCGCGGATCGCCGTAGCCGGGATGGCCATAGGCCGGATGGCCGTTGGCATTGGCGTACGTGTAGTTTTCGAGGCCGTCGGGCCTTAGCGGATGCGAGTCGAGCGGATTGGCTGGCGGCGGCGAGTCGTCGTCGAGAACAAAGACCTCCTGGACCTGCGTATCGACGCAAGAGGGTGCGCGGCGAGGATCAAGGCGGAGCAGACCAGAAGAGGGAGAGCGAGGGTCAGCGGGGGGCGGAACGAATGCCATCACGAGAGCAAGGGCTGGAGCAGGGATTCGACGCGACGGGCTCCGGTTCCTTGCATCAGCCAGAGTCGGCACGACGGCGATTGACGGCGGCCAGGTGACGGGCTGTGCGTCGTCGAAACGCCCCCAGCTGCGGCAGAGGGCTGGAGCGGCTGGCCGAGCGACTCGGGCGGAGATCAGACACTCACCTTGCCTCCGATGACCTCGCTAACCGTCGATAGGCCTGGCAATGGACGCGTCGAACGCGTCGAGGTTGGTCCGGCAGCGCTGCTGGGACCTGGCTGTGGGTAGTTGGGCTGGGGAGGCGGCTGTGGAGGCGCCTGGTGGTGGGCTAGCATGGTTGATGACATGGGTAGGGGATCGAGCTGGGTCTCTTGGTCCGGAAGGGTGCGCCGTTTCTTGGAGCGGGGTACGACGGTAACCATGAGTCCGTGCGACGAGGATCAGTGCCGGGCACGGGCACGAAAGACGAGGACGAGCACGCAGGAGCGGGATCCGGAGGGAGCGTCGCGTGTCGCGACAGGGCGTCCGAGGTGATGAAGGAGGAAGAGACGGGGAGGGGGCGAAGTGATGCAGAGGCGTCGTTGGACACACGAGAGTGTTCCTAGGTCGAGCTCGACCAAGCGACGGGAGGAAGAAGGGAGCGCGTGGACGAGGGTATGGTCGGCGGCAGTTTTGCTGTCGCCCCTGTCGGGGTGGACGGCGGTCTCGATTTGTGCAAGGCCGGATGGCTGGCCAGGCGTTGCCAGATCGAGGGGTTGCACAGCGGCACGCGGGATGGAGGCGGGCTCGCACTGGGGAAAGGGGAAGATGTTACGGCGGCCGCGACTGGCACGACGGGCGTTGAGACCGAGGTTTTGGTCGGCCGCGTGAAGACTGCCAGAGGAGGGGTCTGCCGGTGGATTTTGAGGGCCGCCGACGGGCTGGGCGTGTCGGACGGACGAGGGTAAAGAGTGTCCGCGCCTTTTTCCGAGCGCTGGATGCCTCGACGTAAGTTGACTTATTGAGCGGGAGGCGGGCGGGTAGGGATTCCAGCGGCGCGCGATAGACGAGGGGGGGCGGCGATAGGGCGGATACGAGTAGGCGCGAGGCGCGTTTGATAGAAGGGATACGGTAGGTTGCCGCGAGGGATGCTGACAAGGGCCAGCTCGGGCGGAAGATGGTGGTGATGGAGGTGATAGAAGAGGTGTCGATGCTGGTGGGGAAGGTGATGATGTCGGTGGTGGTGGTGGTGGCGGCGACGGCGGCGGCGGCGGCGGTGAGGGCGAGGGCGAGGGCGGGTGAGCGGGTCGGAGGACCGGAGGGGGCGCGAGCGACGTCGGTCGGTAGCTTGCTTGCTTGCTTGGGTTGGGCAGGGCAGGGCAGGGCAGGGCCGGGCAAAGGTGGGGATTTGAGCGCGCGCCCGAAGCAAAGTGGAGTCGTTGCTGCCTCTCCGTCTGGCCCACAGGCTGTGATGAGGAAAGGCGGCGAGGCAGCGCCAGCCAGAGAGGCAGCCAAGCGGGCGGGCGAGCCAGACGGCGGCCACGGGCACAGCGACACGCACCGAGCCAGCCAGGCGGCCACTCGGGCGGGCACTCTGGCGGGCACTCTGGCAGGGCCAACGTGCTTTTTCGCTCGCCCGCCGAGAGCACCGCCGACGCACCGGGGCGAGGGCGGCAAGCAGCAGGCAGGTAGGCTGGCCGCCAGCCGCAAGCAGCCACCACGCCAGCCAGCCAGCCAGCCAGCCAGCAGATGCGGCCACAGCCAGAGCCCCATCCACGACGGCCCCATGCCATCATCATGGTCCTCGAATCCGCGCCCCGCCTCTCGCTGCCCTCTATCTGTCGCTCTCTGGCTGGTTCTTCTCGCTCGCCGTCCTCGACTTGGTCGTCTGGCTGTTCTACGGTCTCTTGCTGGCTGCCTCTTCGTCGCCAACCCTAGCTGCCTGGCCTGCTCTCGACACCGGATGCTGGATGCTTTGCTGGCCGGCGACGACGTCCTGATTGTGGCCCTGGCTGGGCGCTGGGCTGGGCTGGCTGGGCACTCGGGCCGCCTCTTTGGCAGCCGCTTGCTGGCTTGCGCTCGCTCGCTCGCCCGCTCGCTCGCTCTTCGCGTGACCGCCCTCTGCGTTGTGCCGCATTTTCAGCAGGCCACGCCAGCCAGCAAACCTGTTTTTTTTCTTTCGCCTGGCCCGCTGCCTCCCTCTTTTTGCCCTCTGCCTGGCTCGCTCGTCACCGTGCCGCAGGCTCCCTGCTCTCGACGTCGTCCTCGGGCCTCTCGCGCGCAAGCAGCTTGAATCCTAGCCTCCAGCCGGCTGCCTCGTCGACGTCGTAGAGCGGCCCGGCTTGGCCTGCCACCGACCTCAAAGGCTCGCCTTGCTGCTCCACACTCTCTCATTCGCTCCTCCCTGTCGCCCGCAGGGTAGCGCCTCGCCGCAAGGCGACCAGGGACTGCACGCATATGGGCAGCCACCACAGGCGGCGAGCGGTGGAGGAAGTCCAAGGGCGTCTTATGTAAGCTTCTGTCCTTCGCCGGACGACGGAACTCGGCGTTAACGAGCGAGCCACGGCGGTCGGGCCAAGAAAAAAAATCGAGAAGAAAATGCCGGGAAAAAGCGCCGCGCCCAACCAACACCTGGCCCCCCCCTCCCCCCACTTCCTTCGGCTCAACACCGACCGATCCCCATCAGGTCCACCACCACCACCAACATTACCACCTCATCGACCCCAGCATGCCGACCGCCGACATGGAGCGTTCGGTGCAGCTGCCGCACACGCCGCTCAATCACTTCCTGAAGTCGGCCAAGGCGCGGCTGGCGCAGCACGACGACCTCGACGATGCCGTCTACCTCGTCACCTCGCCCAACCCCACCCTCGACCAGGTCGTCGCCGCCATCGCCTACGCCTATCTACAGTCGCAGGCGCAGCAGCAGCCAAGATCCTCGAAGCAGTCGCCCTCGTCGTCTTCTTCGACCTCGTCGCCATCGCCGTCGACCGCAGGGAAAAAGGTCTACATCCCCGTCATCCAGGCAAAGCGCGGCGAGACGCTCGATGCTTCGCTGCCCGACCTCTCGCTCGCGCTCCAGGCATCCCTCATCGCCCCAGAGAATCTGACTTTCCTCGATGACCAGCCGTGGAGGACCGCCACCGCCTACGGGCGCAACAAGGACGCCATCCTCGTCGGCGGCACTGCCAAGCTCGCAGCAACACCAGAGTCCATCAATGAGTGGGAAGAGGTCCACGGAATGAGAGTCGTCGGCCTCATCGACTCCGACCTGCCGCCCACCGAGCTCGCCGAACTCCAAGTCACCATTGTCACGCCAAACTCTGAGGTCAAGGGCACCGACCCAGAGACCGGCCTCGCCTCGCTCGTGGCCCTCCACTTCAAGACGCAGCTCTCGCACCAGCTCCAGGCGTCCGTCCCTGCCCCCGCCGCTGCCGCCGACAACGACGACGACAAGCAAGACGACGCATCGGCAGCGTCGGCCGCACTGCTTCCCAAGGAGCTCGCCGATCTCGTCCTGGCAGCCGTCCTCGTCGAGACCGACAACCTGGCCGAGTCCAAGACGTCGTACCTCGACGAGGGCGCCATCGGCTTCCTGATGTCCCGATCGTCATTCCACGGTCCACAGGCGCAGGCCACCGCCGACGACGAGGAGCAGGCCTCGGACGCTAAAGGCCAAGGAGACAACGACGACGACGACGACGACGTCTACGTGCCCACGTTCCCGGACCTCGACTCCTTCTATCGCGCCCTCAAGTCGGCGGCACGGGCAGGGGCGGCGGGAGCGGCGACGCTGGGTGGCCTCAAGGCCGACGGCGGCGCGGGGCCGGCTCGCCTGCCCACGCACTTTGAGTGGAACCTGATCCACGGCAGCACCCTGCCCCTTGTCGAGGGTGCGGACCCGCTTCCCGACTTTGCGCGAAAGGCCATCGTCGGCGACTTTGCCGACATCCTCACCTCGCCCGCCGCACTCAAGCTGCTGCAGCCGTACGGTGTCGAAGTCGGCAAGGCTGCGGTGGCCGCATCGGCCTCCAACGACGCAAGTGGCAGCGACACCCTGGACCTCAGACGTATTTCGGTCGCTGATGCCGTCGCGGCCCAGCTGGCGGGCTCCGCATCGCAGGGCGAGCTGCTCTGCATCGCCGTGGCCGCGCTCCACGCCTTTGTGCAGATCAACTGGACCGGCCCGGACCTGCCCTCGGACCTGACCCCTTACGCGCTGCTCCGCACGAGCGCCAGCGACTCGTTCCCGCCGCGCAAGGTCGAAGAGGAGGAGATGGAGAAGGACGCGCGCAGGATCGGCCGCATCGTCCACCGCGCCTCGCTCGATGCGCTCGTCTTCAAGGGTGAGCCGGCGTACCACCTTTGCCAGTCGCCCTTCTTCCTCGTCTTTGCCAAGGCCGTACTCGAAGCCCTGTGGCAGAACCGGGGCACCGGCGTCGCGGCGCTCGAGACGCTGCCGTGGTGGAGGCTGCGGGCCTCGACAGTGCACTCGCATGTCCTCGACGAGCCCGCCAGCTTCGGCAAGTCAGTCTTTGACCCCATCAGCCGGCTCGTCGAGATGCTCGAGGCCAATAGGCAGGCGTACGATCTGGCTGCGCCTTCGGCCTCGGCCTCGGCCTCGATGCCGATCTCAACCACGACCCCGGCGCAGCAGCTCGACCCCACCAAGAACCCATGGGCCTCCCTCAGCGCTCGCCTCGTCCTGGAACGTGGCGTCGCGCTCCAGCGCCTGGGCAACGACCGCGAAGCTTCGGAAAAGTTTGTCGAGGCGGCCAGGATCAATGGCCTGCGCTATCGCCTCGGCGGCGCGCTCGGAAAGCGCACAAAGTACCAGAAGGAGGCCAAGACGCAGCTGGTGCTGCTGGCCAAGAGCGCGGTTGTCGACGGCGGCGAGGACGACGAGGACAAGCAGCATCAGCAGCAGGAGGGACAGAACGCGCCGTCGCCGAGCGAGTATGCGGCACCAGAGGCCGGCGAGGAGAAGCTAGACGACGGCTGGCAGGCCAAGGCGGACCCCAAGGACCAGGTGGCGGGCATGCCGAGCACCTATGCGCTCAACGACGATGTGCTGCTCGAGCAGACGCAGTTCACCTCGACCTCGGTGGCGGCGTCGGCGTCCGACGACAAGCCCACGTCGGGCGACGCCGACGACCTCGACCAGCTCGACCCCAACAGCCAACCGCCGCTGGCGGTGCTGGACCAGTGCACGCTGCTGGCGCTCTGCCTCAACATCCGCAATACGCAGCCGAGCCATGGCCTGACGTCGAACCAGATGTCGTCGTTCATCTCGCGCGTCATCTCGCATCCGCGCAACTGGATGGTGCACACCATGTCGCTGCTGCTGCGCGCGCGCCTCGAGGCGACGCGGACGCGCACCGTGGAGCGCTCGGTGCTGCAGCTGCAGGCGCTCATCGACCAGATGCCAACCAACGACTCGAGCCTCGAGGAGCGCCTCAAGTTCTTCCACGCGCTCGACCTACCGCCCAAGTGGGAGATGCAGGCGGAGCTGGCACGCCGCTACGCCAGCCTCGGCGTGACGCGCAGCGCCCTCGAAATCTTTGAGCGGATCGAGCTGTGGGAGGAGGTGGTGCAGTGCCTCGGCCTGCTGGGGCGGCAGCAGGAGGGCGTCGAAATCATCCGCGAGCTGCTCGAGGGCCGCAAGGTCGAGGCCGACGTCGACGTGCACCGGCGCAAGCGCCTCGGCCTCGCCGTCAACGACTCGACGGCGCAGCAGGTCATGTTTGGGCGGCTCGACCGCGCGCGCGAGTCGAAGCTGTGGTGCAGTCCTCGGCGACCTCGAACCCACGTCGGCCGAGGCCCACTACGCCGAAGGCGTGGAGCGTGTCGCG